GGGGGGGGGGGTACTCCCCTGTTCCCCCTTGTTACGGATATGGAAGGATGTAACGCCACTGACACGCTAGTAGTGGCAACCTGAGTGTACTTCCTCCTTCTCCTATATATACGGCCCATACGGCCACTTTAATTCTACAGAGTTGCCCTCCACAATACTTTCTCTATAACACACTTTATGCTAACAGGAACAAGGGCGGAGAAAGCCCCCTGGAAAATAGCTTGAGCTTGTGAGGCTTACAAAACTGAAGGGGCCCTGATTCGTGACCCGGGACAGATTTGAGGCCCCTCGCTAATACTTGACAGTTTCTGGTAAGGTATACCTGAGACTGTGCCGCAGCAGGTGAGCAAAGGTGAGCAAGGGTGAGCAGGGGTGAGCAGACCTGAGGAGGCCTGATCCGAAGCTGAGCAGACGTAAGGAGACTTCAGCCGAAGCTGAGCCGGGCCTGAGCCGGACTCAGCCACAGCAGCGCCGGATCACGTGAGGGGAGTGGGTCGAGTAGGGTGCACATTGGGGTTAAGAAACATCTGGTACAGGGTGCGCTTCGCCGCCTCCTGTCGTCAGAGCTTCAGGTGACTAGTGGCTTGGCAAGAACCTGGTCCGGCTAGAAGCGCCGAGATTACATCCCCATTTTCTTCTCCTGACTTCGCCGCATGGAAGCTTTTAGCCCAACAATGACCGCACCCAACATCCCATTCCCTATGCCAAGCGCAGATGTTACGATTAGCGCCCATAACTGTTTATGGCGAGTAGACTGTGACGGAGCCTTCACTTGGCACGTTCCCGAACCTGTTGGAGCCTCCACACATGCAGAGGAGCCGCACATGTGGCTTCGGTCTGCTCCGTACTATTCAATGGACAATACAGGTACACCGAGTGGCAACACATGTGTGCTTTATCACAAAACGCTCTTGTTGTCGAACGAGTTGGTGTTTAGCCTTACGGATAACATGGTGAAATCCTTACCGCGATAGGTTACAAGGAGATATCAACTTTACGATGCACTAGATCTAGTGAATTCATCCGCTTTAAGTAGGATAGTGTAAGTATCTACGTCTAGAAATTGTCAATCTTACGTTTTCTTCCAGTCGTACTGTTCGCATGACAGCTTGGTGCTGCCAAGGGCGTGCTTTCCTCGGTATGGTCCCCTGATTCCGAAATATGAATGAGTGTCCAAGGTAGGTTGTTGGTACTTCAGCCTTGCTGTGCCGTAAGAAGCGCTCGGAATCTGTTTGAGTTCCTGCGTGCATTATATGCGCCGACCTGATCTTTTACAGATGGTAGTCTCCTTTCTATACGCCTTTTACCGAAACTGACTACATGATTGAGTCCACGTACCTTAATTAGAGGCCGACTTCTTGTCGCGCGACAAGCCTATACCTGTCCAAACTTAGAAGACTCTTGCCCAGCGTTCTAGAGGCAATTGCGGCGAGGTATCCCGCTTGAACCTCCTGTGTACATATCAGAGTGCCCCAGAGCCATGCATCCTTACGCAGTCATCTTTACTCCTGATTGTTCAAGCTCCTGGCACGCTTTCATTTGTCGATATCTATACGAACTTGGAGCTGAGGGGTCTTCGCTATTTCCTTAATCCCCCACTATCCTTCATACTTTGGCTCTCACTTCGTTCGTCGTTATCGTTCGTTCCAATTATGCGCCTGGCACGCTCTGCAATCGCTTCTTGCCTACTATCTTTCGTTGTTGCCGTGCCCATTTTCAACCCGACGACCCACAACAATGTATACCCCCCAGCATCCAACACGCTGTCGGCCAGGGACGCTGCCCCTTTCTTTAGCCCGATGACTTACAACAATGTATACCCGCCAGCAGCTACTAATAGTCCCAAACCGATGATTAGGGACACTGCCCCTCTTTTCAACCGGAACTCTCAACCCAAGTTCTCTGCCACAGGAGACTGGACCTCGATCCCGTGCCAAACTCTCAGTCCACAGGATGATGATGTTCAAGCATTGTGGGATTCTGCTCATGCTACTGATAAGATTACATATGAGCCGCGCTAGATTCTTGGGTTAGAGCTAACATAGCCCGTCATGGTAGACGCGTGGAATCAGCTCCTTGATGCGTGGAATCTTCCAGGTCGTCCCGATGAAATGAAAAACGTTACATTCGCCGAATTTGCTTGGGATATGTTCCAGCAAGATACAAATGGCCTAGGTTGCGACACTTCTGATAACTCTATATGCAGAAACGTAGTCAAGTGCTTGAACGAAACTACACCTTTACCGCAAGCTGGATATTTAATACTCAACTCTTTAGTATTTCTTAACACGGTACGTGGTGGATGCGTTGTTTCGCTGATATATGTTAATCGGTCATAGTTGTTTTACGAAATTAGCTCCTCAATGGATTCTGCGCAACAAGCCATGTCGGGCGAAACACTAGTATTGGCAGAGAAGTTCGCACCGTCTGCAGACACCAAGTCCACTGAGACAGCCAGCATCGTGTTTGGTTTTATGGAAACTGCTTTGGGCCTAGTCTCAGCAGGCTCACTCAGTAGTGGTTGGTGAACCCCGTTAATTTCGGCTTTCGCCATCGTCGTTGCGAGCTAATCCTTACCCTAGCTTTCAATGCGTTACGATTTCTCGGAAGTAAGACTCAAACTTAAGTACACCATTCGAAAATAAAGCTTACACTCTCAGCAACAACCGAGAAGACGATAGAAACACTGAAATCGACGGCCGAGGCCGGTATTGGGTTCGCTGCTGCTGCACTTGAAGCTCTCCCACCGTAAGTTTTATATTTAGCAGATTGCAGATAGCATAAACTAAGTATTGAATTAGCCCAACCACCTCCGAGGAGATGGGCACCATGCTACAAACCGCCCTAGGAGAGTTCTACACGACGGCGAAGGATTCTTTGAAAATGACCCTAAAGATCGTCATGGGTGCAACTGGCGACGATACCTAGAAGTGGCTATCTGACTTTCTAGCGACGGCCAAAGTTCTTGAACTGCATTAAAACGTTGCAAGTATCGTCAATACTACCGAACACAGTGTAGAGTCCATAGTCTGGGGTAAGATGATACCAATGTCCTGGGCGTTGTCATCGCCACCACAACGTCCATTCATCTTGTAAGTAACACCGTCTAGATTAGTGTCAATCTAACCATTTTCAGGCATATACCCAAGGATGAACATAAATGCAACACTACGTTTGATCCTCATAGTGATATTGGCATGTTCATGTCTCCGGAGGCAGCTGAAAAATCACTTTGGTGCGACGATGAGTAAGCGTTCCTTACCTTATCCGCTAACGGAATGCTAATAGCTCCTGTAGCGGTAACTCTTGGTATTTGCTTAATGCTCATTACAAAGGCTGTGAACATAATACGGAGGCGCCGTGTTCTGGCTTTTATTTCGAAGCATTGGCTGGGGCCGATGAAGAAACTCTCGACGGCGTAGCATTTGGAGGGATCACGATTCAGTAGGTAACACAGACCAGCAAATTACGATCGGCATTGCTAACATCTTGTCAGGAGTATCATTACTTCTAGTTGGGCTGGCTTCAAATTGAATGGCTACCAAAATGAATATGTAAGTCTGTTCTAATTGTGAAACTGTTAGGGGACTAATAACCTCCCTTCCTAGTCGGTCGATACCAGTTCGCCTTTACAATAAAACCCTGATTTGAGCATCACCAATCCCGACAATGCCAACTTTCCATTTATCGGTGGCTTTGAATCTCCCGGTAAATAACGTCGAGACATAATTTATCCTCCTAAACAGTAACTGATGTACCAATCAACAGGTTTCTTCAATTTTACGATATGCTTCGACTATAATGAGGCTGTTAACACAATCTCTGCTGATCCTGGACAATCAGATGATCCATGCGGACCTAAACGGAGTGGCGCTCCTGCCCCAGGGCCATCAGATCCAGCCCCTGGTGCTTTCGTTCACGGGGAATGTAAAGTACATGTCAAGGAGTAAGGGCTCTCGACATCAGAGACAACGAAAACCGTACTGACAGAATTACAGATATGCGAGAAATAATGGCGACACAAATCTCCTGGACAATTACCAAATGGAAATCACCATCTTCGACCAAGACAACAACCTTGTCGGGGAAGCCGCCAAAGAAACCGCAGAAGCTCCTTTGATAGTCGCCAACAGCGTCCTGCCCTACCAACTCATCGTCACAGCTGACGGGCCCGGCGACGCCGACGACTCCATCGTCGAGTTCTGGTACTCCAACCAATGGTGGACCAGCGTTGATCAAGAGCACAAATGCGACTTTCATCCTTGGGACGGCAAGACGCGAGTAGGCGACTGCAACTTTGATTGCCCGCTTCCAGCGGAGACTCCGCCTCAATCCGCGACAGTCACACGCGCACTTCCTGCAGGAGCAACAGCTGCTCTCGCGGGGACCGTCATATTCACGAATACGTATATCGTTCCTACGTCGTCAGCAGCGGATCCCTCATCCACGCCGCCTCCACCGCCTCCCCCGCCTCCCCCTCCCCCGTATCGAAAAGGCTGGTGCGGCATGCACGTCCGACAGTACCAGAAGAACGAGAAGGGGCGAAACCCGACTCCAAACTATGAGCTCGAGGTGACGCTATTCGACGGCGGCGCCGACGGGCACGGGCATGACGCGAAACCAATCGGGAGTCTTGGTAAGTCGGCTGCCCTAAATAATCAACCCGTCACCATCCCAGGAGACCTGGTCGGCTTCACGGTCACTGTGTTCTCTGTCGACAGTGATGGGATAGGGTTCAACTACAACGGGCAGGAGTGGTTTAGTGATAAGGAAGAGGGCAAAAGGTGCAAAAGGTCGCATTATGCCAATGGGCATCGAGACATGGATTGTGGGCTTACTTGCTGATACGTTTTGGCGACATGGGTGGTGTTTATGTTGTAGTTTGTGGGTGGCAGGGCTTTTCAAGTCGGAGTTTATGAGTCGTGTTGGGGTCCTTATCTTTAGGGTCAACGACCATGCGTAATGTTTGTATTATTACGGAAGCGATGTCGTGCCCAGCCTTTCACATTGAAAATTATGGTCTTGATCATGATGATTTTCGAAGGAAAGTGTTCAAACCCTTTGATGAATGCTTGGATGGGAAGGTGCGTGGCGAGCAACACTGATGGTAACTAGGTAACGTGAGACAGAGTGACAGCACATGCGCTCGTTCGAAGGAGATACACTTGGGCTTGGTCTGATGGATACTCCTTGCAGTGTTGGGTTTTGAGTCTAGAATCTGTGTGCGAAACTGGGTAACAACTTCCATCGGAGATATGGACTAGAAAACTACTCATACCTACCTAGTAAGTCGGAATAATAAAGAGAGAGATGGCGCAGTAGCAAGGTAGCATGTTTTCCCTGTCCAAGTAGTGATTCCTATGAAACATCACGAATTTTGGCATGTGACGGGCCGCGGAGTACGGCATACTGCAGCTAGATTCTACCTAGTGTACCGTAGAACTATCATGATCAGATTTGGCACCTCTCCAACCTTTGGAGCAAATCCGGGGTGGCTGTAAGCACGAAAAGTTCATCATTGAAACATTGTTTGCAAATTGCCGCCCCTCAAGGCCGAGCAGCGGAGAACTGTAGAGACAGGTGAGGTTATCGGTGATGCAGGCGACAGAGAGAGTGACTAGGATTGTGGAGGAAGAAATTCCCAAACTTCGGCCAAGGTGTGATGGACTTGATTAGCCTCCCCCACCTTGGCACCACCAACATCCGTCGAACTTGCAACGATTACGGTACTAGAGCACAGTCCTGGGCAGAAGAGTAAACGTCAAACATCTAAGGATGCCACTCTGTACTGCTATTTGGATATGGCCCCCATTGCGTCTCTGGTCAATCAGAGACACGTGAAAGCCAGCGCCGCTTTAGGTGCATCGAGGTTTACATCCGATTCTGGTTATGAAACACCAGAAGTATCACTTTACAAATAATCGCATGCACGTGACTGTACGAGACCCACCGTACTCTGTACGACGGCTGCACTCCGAAAATATGTCCAAAGGTATGTCCCACCATTAATTCGGCAAAGTTTGCTTAAAAGATGAGACTATTCCCCAGATACTGATATGTTCTTGCGAACGCAGTTCGAAATTAAGCTCAGCTCTTGAGTCTTAGCCTATCCACATCGTTCCAAGTCAACATCATACTGCTGGTAGTACTCCTTACGTTCATCATTTCACTACTTAATATCTATCATTTCGTGTGAAGCGTGTCCAATGCCTGACGTTGAAGTTTCTCGCACACTCTTGTCGTCGTGGGACCCGGACAATGAGGCGAAAGACAACTGTGCGTCTGAAGTCAGATCACGATACGCAACACTTACCATACGGTACTCAGTTTGGAAGAAGAAATACGCAACCGGATGGCGATCGGCCCTAGCCATGAACACTGGATCTGCGGTAGTGGTCCTGTTAGTCAATGTCGTCTTCACCATTGTAGTAGCTCTCGGACCAGGGTTTCTGGACTGGCAAGGTACCTTGTATGAAGGCAAATGTTCGACCTCTCGGTCTATGGGCATGTTCATGGACGTCATAGTCAACATACTTGGGACTGTGCTCTTGTCAGGAAGCAACTTCGTAATGCAAGTGCTAAGTGAAGCGAGGTCAATTCGGCACACGCAAAATCTATCTGGCTTGATATTGGCATGCCGAGTACTCGAAATCTTCGGTACATAAGCAAAAAGCGAATTCTCCTATGGTCTTGCTTGGCTTTTAGTTCGTTGCCGCTACATCTATTGTATGTATAGGTCGCCACCCTGTCTGCAACCCCTAATTTTCGTTCTAGTTACAACCCTACCATATTCTCTAGCGTTGCAGTGAATTTATACACAGTCATTATGGTAGAGGAGTCCTTCGCAGCAAACGCATCCCTGAATAACTTCAAGCTTCATGGTGTTCCCGAGGCAGCCGATTGGGGTCCCGGGCAAGGCGAATACGAGCGAGCATTAGTTCACGACATGCAGGTCTATGCCGTTGCGAACCAACTGGTCAGACTCGATAACAAGGCATGTATCGACGCGTGGGCTCAGGACTATCAGACGGCCTACAGCAGCGTCCTACTGGTGGCAAAGAACTCAAGCATTAGCGAGGCGAGGACCCCGTTCTTGGAATGACTTGGAACCGTCCCCTTGACAGCTCCGTGACGAGCGGTGGGAGATACGATCGTTTTCCATGGATCTGCGAAACCGATCGGCCCTACGAATTTGCACACAACTCACATCCGTGTACGGGTAAATATCTCAACAAAGTCACGGATCGTCCTAGTGAATGGCTTGTCTGGCGCTACGAAGTCTCGCACTGCCTTAATAAGCCCGGGCCACGTCACTGCTAGGTGTGCATCAGCCTGCCTCTCATGCTCACTGTCATTGCTATGAACGTTGTCAAGGCGGCTATAGTGATTGGTGTCGCGATGCGTACTCGCAATGGCCCGTTGCTTACGGTTGGAGATGCTATATCAACATTTCTCGAAGATGAGGAATCCATATACCCAAGGGCTGAGCGTTTTTGGGAAAAGCCACTTTGTCAAATACTCCAAGCGGGAATATCAGTGGCACACGCCACCCCGTCGACTGACGCTGCAGCGACGACGATGGTTCACAGCCGTCAGTCGCAAAAGATGGATCTTTTGCACTGCACTGTATGCCTCCGCTATCGGCCTTTGTTTATTTTTATTCATATATGGGCTAAGACAAATTCCGAGTCTCCGCCTTAGCACTCTTTGGAGCATCGGAATGGGGAACCCGGACCCAAGAACATTCATAAGTTACCCCGAAAACATAAACGAGGACGTAACGTAGGGCAACCGAGGCTTTCTCTTCCAAGTTCTAGTTGCCAACTCTCCGCAAATTATTCTCTCATTGATTTATTTCTCCTACAATGGGCTGCTCACATGCATGCTGGTCGCGTATGAGTGGAGTACCTATGCCTTGAAGCGCAAGGCTTTACGCGTATCCGAAATCCCGAAAGGGTCGCAGAAAACATCCTATTTTCTCCAACTACCTTACCGCTTCAGGATTCCATTGATGGCGACGTCTGCCCTTCTCCACTGGCTGACTTCTCAGTCAATCTACTTGGTAAACATGCACGTCTATCAACAAGAGACACTCAGCCAAGATCCAATTCCTTGGTAGAGCAGCCAGGATATCCTCACCTGTGGATACTCTCCATTGGGCATCCTGGCAGTCATTATTGTGGGATGTATGATGATTGTTGCGGCCTTCGTCATCGGCCGGAAACATTTCACGCCTCTTGGTCAGCCTGTGGCAAGCAGCTGTAGCGCATCAATAGCAGCGTCTTGTCATCGCGAGGCAGAGTCTGACGAGGATGATATTCATCTCAAGCCTGTCCAATGGGGAGTTTTGAAAATGCAAAATGGATTTGGAAGTCTTGGGTTCTCAAGTGAAGAAGTCACTGAAGTTAAGGAAGGCGTTCTATACGGCGGTACTCGAGACGAAGATGGAGCTTTCGACAGCTTAACTTTTGGAAGCCGATGAGGTGCCACTTTACCGTCTCCTTATTAAGTTATCATGCCCAATGCATTCACTGGTCACTTTCCGCTTCATTCGTTAGGCGCTACCAAAGCCAACTAGAGTAAAGTCATATTCCGAATCCTAGTGGTTTGCTGCAATCTGTGCAATCTTTTGCCACTTCTTGGGGTACCTCCATTGTCTTTCAGAATTCCAGACCGCATGTAAATTTCATTGCCTTGGGAACTGGGCTGCTTTTTGACTCACTGATTACCTGCTGGACTACTCTTGATGGTGGCGTTAAGCGAGCAAGAGCCGAGCTCCGCGAATGCTATAGCCGCGTGCCCAATTTATATCTTAGTACTATTTATCGATATATATCAGGGCAATTCACAGTCAATTATCAATGGAAGTGAATTGAAAAAGGTGGAAAAGCATGTTCTCGAAATGTACCGGGATGCAGTTCAGCGGAATGGTTGTGATAGGTAACCTTGTCGACGAACCAGTCTCGTGACTTGTTCTAATTTCAGAATTCTATTTCTTCTCTTTATTTCTCTTGCGAACCACAAGAGTTTTGGGCACCTAATTTGCAGTGACTGTTAAGAACCTCAATTCACTGCTACGTCTAGGCCACCCTTAATCACTAGCACAGCCCCTTGGAGTGGCTCAACCAGGTACGCGACTGGTCAAAAGCGTCAAGCATTGTTGAATTTGCACATTCACGGTGATTTGTGAAGAAGAATTTGAGTTTTGCATGAAATTAAGCTAGCAGCCTTATGGGGCCTTAAACCAATTAGGGAAGGGGCATACTCGCAAGCTTTCTGCCCAAAGCTGATCCAGATTCAAATACACTAATGACACCGCCGGCATCCATGTGATAGATGGCCAAGTCATCCAAGCACAGTTCAGGTCGAGCTTCAGTATTACGGAGCGTTGCTAGCCAAGACACTTGCTCCTGCATCATGGCTGATCCTGGGCCTCGTCTTGAACTTCACACGACCTACCTTCATGGTCTCGATCTCATCACCCTCGACCCCAATGGCCGCAGTCGGAGAGAAAAGTAAAGACTCTCCAAGCTTGAGTCCCATGATCTCCTCGAACATTTTGCTTTGCCCCTCGCTGCCGATAGCTGCGATGGAAGCGCCGCCAATATGTGCTTTGATGGTAGTGAACCATGCCGGAGATGTGAATCGGTGGACGAACGTCATAGAACACAGATCGAGAAGTTTGGGGGATATTGTTGGTTCTTGCGTAGCGACTATGATGCGGGCGCCTTTGTGACGCTGCTCGCGGGCGGTATTGAGCAGCTTCTCGGTGAAGATGTCAGCGCCAGGTGCGTTGGCTGACATATACTACCTAATGGTTAGAACAAATGAGAGACGGGTGCGGGGCTGTGACTTACGTTATGGGCTTCATCCAAAGCGACCACCTTGCCGCAGTCCGTCTTGTCGAGGAACTCCGAGAGACAGATCTCAAAGAGCAGGCATGCAGTATCTGTATCTAGGAATGGGTCGGTAAGGTCGATTACAATCAAAGCTCCCGGTTTGCCTGCAAGGATGTTCTTTGTGACCACTGTCGGGGCCTTCTGTGGCTGAGGAACGCTCTGTCCCTTTTTGGGACCTCCGGTCTTCTTCGTTTTGGGTTTCGGGGCCATGAAGCTCTCGAGAATGTCTAGACGTAGACGAAGTGGGGCCTTTTGTTTGTTGTCGAAATCTTCCTCGTCGATAAGTCTAGAGAATTCATTGTAGTCGAATTCTCCTCGTCCGGCATTGATGCGCTCGGCCATGCTCCTGAGGATCTTGCGAACGGTCTTGTAGATGTTAGTATCAGTGAGTCCTGATCAAACGAGTCACCGAGATGCTTTTGAAAGAGGCCATACCTGCATATACAACGGTGGGTCCTTCTCAGCATCAGAAAACGCCATCAGCCGCCACATGCGCTCGATATTTAGGTGGCTTGACTCGAGGTACAGAGGCTCAACGGTCAAGTGAGCACTGGCCCCAGGTTGAGCTTGGTATAAGCCCCTCATCGCCGCTAGATTGGTAGGGGAGCACAACACCGTGGTTTGGATCTCCCCGGAATGAACCCCGGCCGCCTCGCATGGTGCGCCAGCTGATTTGTTGTAATGAAACACCATCCCGGCTAATGGATGAGGCAACTTTCCGATCTTTGAATTGTTGCTGAGGCAGCCTTCAAGCATGCAGCCCAAAGTGTGACTCTTGCCACTTCCTTGAGATCCGCAGATGAACGCAGACCATGGTGTGTTCGTGTTCAGGAAGAGAGGACGGAATGACTTCTTTCCAGACGACGGCGATACGTCCGTGGGCGCCGCTGTCAAGGATACAGTTTTCATTGGGCCTTCCAACTCCTCTACAGCGCCGCCATCCCGGGACTCTTCGGGAATGTCCAGTTGAGTGGAGACCACAGCAACCTTTGAACTAGTGTTGGAGGTGATACTTCCCATGTAAGCGTACTGGTCAAAGTCCGCGAATCCAGCTTTCGCCGGAGCGGCGCCGAATTTGGACGGTTGGGAGCTGGCGCGCTTCTTCACCAAGTCTCTAACGGGCCAAGAAAACAGCGGCGTCATTCGGAGCTGTTCGTTGTAAGCCTCGTGGGCGCCAGATGCCGCAGTGCCACTGTTGAAATGGTTTCTGTACACGCCGAACTCCAAGTCATCCTCGGTCGTTGATGGAAACACGGAAGTGCCGTTCGTGTTCCTATCAGATGCCATTAGAAAGCGGAAAGAAAAGTTGGGATAGCGGAATTTTGAGGTAGCAAAGTACTGAAGAAGCAGGAAAACATGGGAAGAGCTATAATATATCCTTACAGGTGGGATTGATTGCCAAAGAAATTAATGAACAAGCCCGGGGCCTCAGACAGTCCATTGCCCTTCGGGGACGTGAAAGCACCGAACTGGAACATGACAAAGAAGCGATGCAAACACACCTGAGGGAGTTTGCGAAGGGAAAGACCGCACGTGTCTGGTGTTTGTGAGACGGTGTTTTGGGTTGTTGTAAAACCCCTTTGGAAGCTTGGATCACCAAGCCGCCATCTCCCAGATGTGGCTAGCGGGATCTGATCTGATATTTCTGGCAATTTGGCCGCTAAGTGGCTCGTGGGTATATACATTGCATTAGACGCCGCCCCAAGGCACCACCAGTATCCGTCAATAATGTGATCTATTCATCGTACTCTCACGCCTTTTGATGCTTCCGTTGGTCTCCCCACATCGGAATCACCGCCCTCCTCTCCCTGAACCACCAAACCCCCTCGATCTTGTCCAGCTGATCCAGATACCTACCCGCAGCAATCGGCTGCAACGGGAAGTCTTGTAGCGCCTGAAAAACAGTAACATACGAGCTCGCGGTAGCTGTAAGACCGTTGTCTGCGATCTCAATGTGTACATTTGAGTTCACGTGAGCGGTCCGAGGAGTTCCGTCTTCGTAGAGCGCGGAGTGCTTCTGGTGGTGCTCGAGAACGGCAGCAGGACCATTCCGCACGGCGCTGTCTAGACCGATGATTCTGCCGTGGGTGAAGAGTTTTGAGTAGCCCTCGTAATCCCCTGTGTCGAAGAGCTCGCAGTAGCGGGCGAGGAGGTTTGAGATTGGGAGCCAGTCGGCGAGGTCTGGAGTGGGCATGGTTTTGGACTATCAAATTGCAGTCTTTTGAAGTTTGAAAATCTACTGTTTGAAGAGGAGGATCTTGTTTTAATATACAGTTACTCGGAGATCGGTCCCTGGAACTTCAATTGGGCCCAGCGATATTCCGGATTTCCGTGCAGCTAATGGAATAAGAACCCAAATAATACACCCGTCTCTCACCCTTAAATGCAGAGTAACTTCTAACGACTCGCGAAGGACATTAGTATTTTCACGGCTTGTCATTCGGGCATCAGCATTCCAATACTCAGGTTACGAAGATCTCAATGCTGACAACTTCGAAACAACCGAGCATTACCTCGTTAATTAAGTCTCCTATACCTAACGCCTAATGCCGCAAACCCAAAAAATGAACCTCTCAGACTATCTATCTTACTACCATCCACAAGTAGTGGGAGTGAGCGCCAAAGTTGGCCGGGAAAAGGTGATAGAAAAATGAAGCATTGTCACCTCACACAGCCTTCCCCTTATTAACCTTAACTTTGAAAACAGCCCCAGTCTTCTGCTCCGTAAACCACATCGCCAACGCCCCATCCCTATCCAACATCCAGCTCACCTGGCCCAAGCCCTTCGCGCTATCAGTTCGCCCCTTCACCCCCTTCTCGGCGCCCTTTTTAGTGTTTTCATCACTCTGCCCCTCTTCCCCATCCTCATCCCTCCAGAACTCCCCAAACTCACCCCCTTCTACGACATCCGGATGCGCCTCCTTCAAGTACTCCAAACACTTCTCATTTGCCGCCTCGATCTTTTCATACGTCCCCACATACTCCTCGAACTCCTGCTTTCCCTCGACGTTTGTCTTCGTGTGCGTGACGATGTGAGCTTGCGAGGGGGAGGGTGGCGTATAGCTTTCGTCAAAGGAGAAGACAGGGCGGTAATCGTAGCCCTGGACGGCGCGCTGGCGGGCGATGCGGGCGATACGGGCGAGGCGGGCGTTGCGGTTGGCGGAGGTGACGGCGTGGAGGAGGGAGGCGGGGTAAGAAGGGTAGATTGGTTCGTGGGATGGGGGTCTGATTTGTGTCATTGTGTGATGGTAGGGATTTGGCTGGTGTAGACGGTGTGTTGCTCTCCGTTTGAATTATCTGGGGGAGGGAAACGAGCCTTCGGCTTTCGATTTTACAGTGATACGGAATGATGATAAAGAGATTGAGAAAGCTGATAACGTTCGGGGAAAGGGAGAGAGCTTCTTAGAGGTAGTCTGTCTCTCTTTACCTATGTAGTGGCTGGGTGCGGTCGAAGGTAGTCCAAGGCGGTCGAGTGACGTGATGGTACCGTGGTACGGAGTAGAGTGGGCTATTCTTAGTATTTTGGCATGGGAATGTTGGATACACGACTGGCTCGATAGGTATATACGGCTTTTGTTCTTATATAGACTCTTGCTCCCGTAGATCTCGATTTTATTTGCAATTGTTCAAGGAGAAGTAAAGTCTCGACTTCGAGGCATCGAGAAATGGCGTCAATAATAATCCACATTGGAGTACACGTCCACCAATTGGGCGTTTACCTAGACCCAGACTCAGGTTGAAATTGATGTGAACTCTGATTTCTATAGACGTCTAGCTAGTTGTATATATACTAGGGGAAGGAAGGGGGGCCACCCCCTGACTCAGGTTGAAATTGATGTGAACTCTGATTGTATTTTCGTGGCCGTACGGGCCGAATATATACTAATAGGAAATGGCCCACCCCCTAGGTCTATCAGCTCAGCTGAATAGAGGCCAGCTGAAAGGAATGGACCCAGCTGAGAGTACCCTGGTGTAGCTGAACAGAGGACCTCGCCACGCTGAGTGCGCGCCAGTAGCAACCAACCAAAGAACGAGAATTAAGGAGAGAGAAAGGGGGGAAGTGCCTGTACGTAGGTGACCGTGAACCGTATGAGTTGTTGATCCTAGGTTGTAGCTGTTACAACCCGAGTCCCTGGGTGGCGCGCTAGTAAGTTCAGCTGAACACTGCACAGCTGAGCTTTCAGCTGGGTTCTCTACAGCTGATGTTCGGAGAGTAACTTTCTAGCATATGAGTTGTTGATCCTAGGTTGTAGTGCTGCAACCTGAGTCCCAGGGTACCCTCCAATGGGATCGCAGTTTTGTCGCAATCTAAGAAGTGAGTTAAAGAGGTTACGACCCATGTTTTCGAAGTGTGGTTAATTAGTATAGAAGTGGCGACCGGCTCGTGCACGCTACCACCTCGTGCACGGTTTCCCCGTGCATGCATCACGAACTTCAAAAACATATACATTCACTCATATTACTCAGAACCTCATAGAAATCAATGGGGAGACTAAACCGAAGACGCTTTTTCATTCTATCATAATCACAGAGTCATCGTACCTCTTAGGCGTATTCCGGATACGCTGAGGCCGGCCAGAGGCTGATTTCGCTACCCACTCCTCTACCTCATGATTCTGCTGGCCTGTAGGCTCCTCAGGAATAGTAAATACAACCTGGCGAGCCTTCTGCCTCTGGTGTATTACCTTCCTCTGATCTTTAAGCTGCTTCTCTGCATCACGTGCCTCACGTGCTTCCTGTGCCTTGCGCTTCTTGAGATCCTCAGCATCCTTCTGTTCTCTCTGCTTAGCAGCTTTAGCAGAGCGATTGAACTCAGCTATTCTTTCCTTCTCTTCCTTAGCAAGTTGCTTCTGTACCTTCTCCTCAGCCTTTAAAGCTGTATCACGAGCCTTAGCATCCTCTTTCTCTTGGTGTAGCTCTCGAGCCTGCCGCACCTTATTAGGTGAATAGACTGCCGCTTTTCCATCATTATCTTCAGCCAGAATCTGAAAGAGGTTCTTCTGCCGCTTCCTCTTCTTCTGCTCTATCTTGAATGCTTCTTAGTAGCCTCGAATTTGACTTTAAAGAAGTGTATTAGTTGCCATCAGTTGGTGAACATCTTTGGTCAAAGCTTGTACTTCTTTTTGGAGGCTGGACTGTATAGCAACTTCTACCACCTGTTTTAGGCGTGTTTCTATTCGCTTCCAGTCACCAGCCGTAAGAGCCGACCCAGTAGAGTTGCTTGATGATGGCCTTTCTTCATCTTTATCCTCTTCCTCCTCTTTCTTGGCATTGAATTGATCTAATACAACCTCCGGGTTCCATGGGTGAATACCCGTCTTTCTCCATCCACTAGCTATATTAGAAGGAGTCATAGCCTTCTTCCATGCCACCCAAAAGGTCCTGAAGAAGTCTCTCTTTATAAAGCGGGAGAATCCTTCACAATTCATTATAAACCGGTTCAATTCATTGGAATAGTGAATGGCCAAGGGGACGAAGAGAGAGACGTCTAATGGCTGCAGGCGGTGTGTTGAATGAGGCGGATATACAGCCAGGAGAATCCTGTTGCTGATGCAGTAGTTAATGAACTTCATATTCACATAAGAGCCGTGGCCATCAATAAGTAACATCCTCCACTCCTTGTTGGCTTTGGCCTTTGTCTCTCGATCAAAGATCTTCAACCAAGCAAGGCCTAGGTCGTTGTTGGTCCATCCGGTTGGTGTTGATGTGAAGAAGCAGGCATGTTCGTCCGGATCAAAATCCTTAAGCCATGTATCCTGTACATTGTTTGTTCCAGCTTAATAGATAAGTGTCGGAGGAAGTGCCGTATTGTCTGCACAGATGGCTGCCACCACAGTAATCCACTCTCTATTGCCATCTTGCATAACATGGCGCATCCTTCCTGACTCGTAGGCAAGCTTGCTGAAGATTCTCTTCTTCTTAACCAATTTTCCAATAAGAAATCCTTTCTCATCCATGTTATATGTATTTCCTAGCTGGATGTTGTATTAATCTCTTTTGCGACCAAGAAGCTCAAAGTAGAGGCTGTAGTAGAGGGCAGAATCAGCCCTTTTCCGTTCCTTATCAATAGGAAGAAGGTAGGCTGATTTGAGGCGTTTGGAATTCGAATGGACCCAGCGTGAAACCCAGTGGATTCCTGGCATTCTCCCAGCTAAATCCTGGGCGAGATTTCGTATCATTTGATGCGTAGGAGGCAAGCCTCTTTCGGAGAGGTTGTTGATGTATTTGATGAGAGCCTTAGTCTTGCCAGGAGAGAGGAGCTTTTGAGAATTGTAGGCCTCAGCCTTTGACTTCGTGATTCCTCGGTACCTCCGTGAGAGCGTGGTTCTGTCAATCCCATGCTTCTTTGCGACCTCAGTATACATCTTTTCTCCATCAAATCAAGCTCCGCGAACGCAGCTTCCATTGCATCCATTTTCGAAGGAAATCTGTGTATTTTTGGTGGAGTTGTGCGGTGTTGAAGCTTGAGAGAAAAAGCGGTGAGGGGCCTCCGAGACCGTGCATGAGGTGGTAGCGTGCACGAGCCGGTCGCCACTTCTACTTTAGAACTTCGTGTTTATACGCGAAGGTTCTTTACTGCTAGGCTGTCAACATCTACTACTTCCAAACGTAGCGTTATTTAAGCGCACTTAACTAGGAGCCGAGTCAGTCCGGCAGAACGATTCCTCGACCTGGGTTTCAAGAAGTAAAATTCAAAGTTGCAGAAAGGCACTTAAAAGGTTCCCTTTCGTATGCCGACAACTCTCTAAGCCAAGACAACCGATCCGGCATTGTTCTAAGTTCTGAAGCCGCTCGTGGCAGCGAACTTCAACTGCTGGGGCATGCGACGTTTTTGTAATGGTATGTAGATTGGTAGGACTTCGGCGCCTTATTCAATACTGAAGGTACCGCTATGAGGTATCCCTAACAATTATATGTGAGGCTGCTTTTACGCTCTTGGTTTCAGACCTATTACCTAGCATTGGTTCTGAAAATATGAGATGATGTTGTGCTTGGAATCGAAGTTGCAAGCATCAGCGACGAGACGGAGATTCAGACCATTCAGCCAATCAAGTGGATCAACCAATCAGAAAGGTATAGTGACATGTTGAGCGATGACATACCGCTTCGTCTGTCCCTACTACGACAGCTTTCATTCCATCAATTTCAGTTTTCTGTCGTCAATGCTTCTCTCACATCTGCCGTCCCATGAAAATATCCTCCTTGTTATCATTTTTACCCTCGCTCCGTCACCGCATCTATCCCCAACCCCTATCTCATCTCCCAACCCCCCAAAGAATCATTCACTAGCGTGTATCTACTATCACAAACTCTACTACACCAGTACCACCAGAATGGGCGATCAGCTGCCGCCCGCGCGGTAACCGAGATAGAACCCGATCTGTCATATTTCAATCGTACTTTAGTTGTTCTAGTATAGAAGACATGACAGAGATCTGCAGCATATGCCGGCCCTCCCACCTCTCGCCAGAAGTCACAAAATATGACTGGATCTCGAGATGCGGAAGAGGATGGGAGTAGGATGTTGCCGAGTGGCAACAGGGAGAGATGCGTGGATTGTATGGAGGAGTTTGTTAAGTATACGATGGCGATGAGGCCGCATTTCGAGGTGTTTGGGGATTGATATATCGAGAGGAGGGAGAGAGGTTAAGAGGGAGAGGAAGAAGGAGAGAATGAGGGTGGAAGAGCAGGGGAACGTGCCGTGATAGGGGACGGGGGAGACCTCCTGGGGTTGGGTGCTGGGCTGTGTATATTCTGACGGTATTTATCAGATTTAGATCATTATCACGGCTGGGGTATATGAGACCTCCTCGACATCGGCTATTTCCGGAACTGATCACATGGACGTCACGTGACTTGTTCAACCTCGGTCGCTCACAATCTTATGTCGCGATCAACGTCAGCTCGCATGGTGCTGCATCGCTCCGACCTGCATCAATCTCGGCGGTTCAGATATGACAGGCCCTAGGGATCATTGACCTACTCTCCACATAGGGTCCTAAAGGACGACGCGGAGCACAGTGGATGAAGGGAAGTTGAATGTTTCCCCCGCTGTTCTCAAACTTCGCATAGCAGGGGTAGACTACTTTCTAGAGGAGCTGGCCTACATATTCCTATCACACTGCAGTTGAGCCTTGCAACTACATCATTCCAAGGTCTTTGATAAGTTTTGGCCCCCAGATGAGACCACTCATACTGCGTCATCTAGACCAAGCAGTTATCTCTACGTGTCGATCCCCTCGATCTAGGCTCGGCCCCCAAAACACATCTTCGAAATACTCATGTTCTGACCTACGACGAATTTCCTGACTCCAAGCTCGTGGCGCGAAAGAGACCTGGCTGAATCCCCACCAGACCGCGCAATCCATTTCACTAATTCTCCATGTCGGAACCTGAGGATGGAGGTGAAACAATGCATTGAACGAGGTAAGTGATGTATTGGTTGAGCATCTATCTAGGCTACGTACGCCGTATATATACTCTGTGTGTGTGGAGGCTTACGTAGCCGTACCGTAGAACTGTGTGGGCTAAGTATAGGAACCGTGTTCTATATCAAGGTAGCCGAGCTAACCGTACCATACTCCGTAGGCTAGCTGGCTAAGAATACGTACTCCGTCAGAACCCACGCAAATGTACACGCGCGGTCAAGTTCAGCCCTCCACCAGCTCCGGATGCTAGCCAAATGCCTGTAAGGCTGAAGCTGAAGCGTGATAGCGCCTTTTTATCATCTGCGTCAAACTGCTTTGGGAATTACCGATACTGTTCTAGGTTCGCTTCGTCATTCCGGGTTGTGAAAGCCACGACAGCCTTACATAGCGGCTACGCTAACTTAACGGATTCTCCGAGTGCATGGTTAGCTGCGTCCTCGTGGCTGTCTCGACGGGTCTGGCGGGTGTTTAGTTGTGCGCTGGGCGGGCTGAGGTGCTCGGACCGAGAATTGCATCGGTCGGTGGGATATAAGCTCGACGAATGTACGTGATGGTGGTGATCGTTGGTCGTAGCTGGGCCTCAGATTCCCCTCTTGAGTCACCGGGGGTCATTGCGACGATTACATCACCTTGAGTTTTTCGACTCGCTCACTCTCTCGCCCTGATTCGTCTCCTTGCCCTGTTGTTATCTTGTCTTCTTTCATTTCTCCCTCGAAATTGAAGGCGGGGAAGCATCCAATCCCATCAGCCCTTTTTCAGCCTTGCGTTCTGACATCACTATACCCACCATCTCTTCATTCATATCTGTTACTACTTACTTATTCTTACCCTCGTCCTTACCCTCTATCACTACCGCCTCATCATCTCCATCTCTATTCAAACTGTAATGGACTCTTCGAAAATGGAATCCATCCCATTTCCACCACCTACAGCCCACGACTCCTACATCGCCTCATCCGCCAGCTCAGGCGTCCTAAAGAACATCGCTATCGAGCGCGGCTCCTACATCGCTTCCTCCAACAGCTCCACCATTCTGAAAACAGGCGGCAATGAAAAGAACGAGGCCCCGACGTGGAAGCCCACCCCCCACGAACTCGCCATCATGCTCTCGCTCGCCCTCATCTCGCTCATGGTATCTCTAGACGCCACGATCGTCATCACAAGCCTCAGCGTAAGCCTCCCCCCATCTTCCTCCCATTCCCCTCTCGCACCTCTCCATCCTAACTCCACCATCACCAGACCATCGTCCGCGCCCTAAACGCCACCTCAACCGGCGGTTTCTGGATCGGCACCGCCTACCTCCTCACCTGCGCCGCCACAATGCCCTTCACAACCTCCCTCTCCTCCATCTTCGGCCGGCCGCCCCTCCTCCTCCTCTCCCTCGCCCTCTTCACCGCCGGCACGCTCCTCTGCGCCCTCTCGCACGCCCTCCCGCTCCTCCTCGCCGGCCGCTGCGTGCAGGGCATCGGCGGCGGCGGCATCATCTCCCTCTCCCTCATCATCTTCACCGACATCGTGCCGCTGCGCTTCCGCTCGAAATACTACGGCATCATCCAAGGCGCGTGGGCGCTCGGGACGTGCATCGGGCCTGTTGTAGGTGGTGTGTTCGTGCAGAAGGCGAGCTGGCGGTGGGTGTTTTATGTCATGTTTCCGTTCTGTGGGATTGGGTTTGCGGCGGTCGGGGGGCTGTTGACTCTTAAACCTAAGACGGAGTCGCTGGGGGAGAAGATGAAGAAGGTGGATTGGGCGGGTGGGGTGTTGTTCATTGCGAGTTGCACGAGTTTCCTCGTGGCTGTGAGCTGGGGCGGGACGCAGGAGCCGTGGGCATCGTGGCGGACGATCGTGCCGCTCGTGCTGGGAGCGCTGGGGATGCTAGCGACAGGGGTGTGGGAGCGGTATGGTGCCAAACAGCCTTTCTTGCCGGGGGACTTGTTCTACTGCCCGAGTGCGTTCGCGGCGTACTTCGGGGCGACGGTGCAAGGGTTTCTCGTAAGTCCACCTCATCCCTCTCCCCTATCCCTCCTGTCATGTTCGAGTAGATGGGTTGCTAACGGAGTGTGTGGTTAGTTGTACGGCGTCCTCTACTACGGCCCCCTCTACTTCCTCTCCATCCGCCTCCTCTCCCCCATCCCCACCGGCCTCTCCATCCTTCCTACTACTGTCGCCCTGGTCCCCGCCTCCGTCGCCGTCGGCGCCATCGTCTCGCGCGTCGGCCACTTCCGCTGGGCTATCTGGAGCGGCTGGCTTCTCACAACACTGTCCCACGGCCTCATGATCTTATGGGACGTGCACACACCCACTGCTGTCTGGGTAGTCATCATGATCCTTCTCGGCTTAGGCCACGGCTTGGTGCTCAACGCGCAGAACTTCGCCGCCCAAGCGATCGCGAAGCGCAAGCAGGAGGGCGAGGCGGCAAGTATGTACGCCTTCCTACGAAGCTTGGGCATGGCGCTGGGAGTCGGAGTAGGGGGGAGCGTGTTTCAGAACGTCATGAAGGTGAAGCTTGGACACTTCCATCTACCGCTAGAGATTGCGAGCAACGCGGAGGCGTATATCGAGACGGTGAAGCATATGCCAGTGGATTCCGTCATGCGGGCGCAGGTGTTGGAAAGCTATGTGTATGGGTTGATGGGGGTGTTTGGGCTGTTCTGCGGCATGGCGGGGCTGGCATTGGTGGCGAGTGCGTTTGTGGGGCGGTTTGTGTTGGATAAGGAGCTGGAGAGTGAGCATAAGCTTGCTGAGAATCGGTGGAGTAGGGGGTTGAACAATATGGTTTGAGGACCTTGGGCAGCGGGTTATACTTTTGGCTTGTAAGTATACCCTTTATGATTTATGATCCAAAATTTGGAAACGGAAAAGGAAATTTAGGTCATGGTAGGTCTAGTCTAAATCATGGAGTTATATTCATAGTGGACTCGAATGGTGTGTTCGCCATTTTGCTTTTTCAATCTCCCTCTTTGATCGCAGGACTTTACCTTGCACGTGATTCGCGAGCATAGCTGGAAGATATATCGACTCTTGTTCATCAGCCCACTGAAACAAACAAAGGCAAGATTGCTCAAGTCTCATTGAAGAGTACTCAGAATGAACATGTCGATGATGGCGAAGGTACAACTGAACTCCTGGAGGTTGACTTCGTTCTCTCAAACATGTCGGGGGCGGATGACTCTCCGAGAAGCTGGTCTTTGATTTGAGGCGTGCGGCAGCTCTATCATAACCAATGCGCCAAAATGTAGAGTCCCGCCGGAGAATTGTTTCTACCTGACTTCCCGGATGGATGGGGTTTGAGGGTCAGGGGAGGTGAAAATAGGAATACGGCTTTAGCGAGCTGGCTGGCGCCACTATGGTATGTGTGTCAGCCACCTGGACGCCGCGTCGCACCTAGGTAGCCGCCAGAACGCCGCTCACAGTCACTTCTCGTGTCCATAATGTTTCAAGTTCACGGTGTTGAAGCAAAAATGGTGAAGTCACGGTGGGATAAAATTGTGCGCTTGTCGGACACTATCCCCAATCTCGTCTAGCGTAGGATTTAAGTTAAGGTTACAAATAGACGTTGTGGATCGACAGGAGTGGACCGGAAATTCCCTCGTGGCATGCGCTGATCGAGCTGCCTCTCTTGCCACCACCGCTTCTCTATTTCTTCTCTCACCACTCTCGTTCTCTTTTCTTCACCACACACTCGTTTGTCAGGTCTGATACCACCACATTCGTTAATACCGCTCAAAACAACCAAAAATAAACCATAACCCATCCAAAACATCTCCATGCGTTCATCCACCACCCTCCTCCTCGCCACGGCGGCCCTCACGACCACCACCCTCGCCCAATCCACCTCCGTAACCTCCCTCTTCATCCCCCAAGGCGGCGACACCCAGCCCCTCGACGCCTCCATCGTCGGCGCCCACGCCGCCACCACGACTTGGGCCATCAACTGCCCGGCCAACGAGGACGCCAGCGACTGCGGCTACGAAGGCGCCTTCACCTTCACCCTCGGCCCCTCCTTCTACGAGGCGCAAACCACCGAGGCGCCCGTGTTCAGCTACAGTGTGCACTGCGATCTCGACGGCACGACGGTCGCGACCTGCACCGAGAGCGCGGGGGGGCAGAGCGCGAACTTCCCGGGGTCGAGTGTCGAGACGTACACGGGGACGGATGTGGGAGGCGTGCAGGTAGTGACTGTTACGGCGGGTTTGGAGAAGCTGTCGGGTGCGACGGGTGGTGCTAGTGCGAGTGCGACGGGTGCTGCGAGCGCGTCTGCGACTGGCGCGTCTGCTTCTAACACCGGCTCTCCTGTTGCTTCCAACACCGGTTCTGCTGTTGCTACCAACACTGGGTTGTCTTCTCAGAGCGCATCCCTCACGAAACTGATTGGCACGAAGACGACGATTAGAACAGAGGCTGGAACAGCAACTGGTACGGCGGCTGATGCGACATCGACTGGTGCTGCTGACGGTCGCGCGGCGATGGGCATGTCGGCTGCTGGTCTTGTGGGAGTGGCTCTGGTTGCTTTCGCGCTCTGATCGGTCACTTGGATCTTCGTCGAGCTTGGGGAGAGAATAAGTCATGATTTGACGTCAAAAGCATAGCGTTGCAGGGAAGTTACTGTATAAACAGAAGCATCACTCTTCACGGAGGTGAAATAATAGTAATTTGCGCCCGTCTACTCGTTTTCGTGTTTTATATCTTGTCCATCTTTCTCTTTGATCTCCATACTGGTGCTGTAGCAATCGGTGCTTGATAGCAGTGGGGATCTCTTCAACCAATGTCCTCATCGGAGTATCGGTCACGTGATTTTCACATGATTCTAACTTCCACCCTCTTTCACTCAAAGCTCATAAATCCCCACTCCTTTCGTCCCCGGGCTCTCCACGTCGAAATCAAACCGATCCGGAATCGTCAACCCCTCTCTTCCATACCCCTCCCAATTCCGATACCTCCTAACTGCCGTCCCATCCCTCCACAGCCACAAATCCCTCGTCTCCTCCTGCCAGTTCTCCAACCTCGCCCTCAAACCCACCAACACCTCCTTATGCGCCGGATCTGCCGCGAGATTGTTTACCTCGAGCGGGTCCGCCTCGAGGTCATACAACTCTTCCGCGGGGCGTTGTATATATGATTTGAGCGAGCGCTGCCCGATCACAGGCGGCGTGCTATTCCTGATCCCCTCAAATGACAGACTCGCGTACAGGTCCATCGCAAACGGGAAATCAAGCTTCCAGCACACATTCCGATGATACTTCCATCGCCCCGTGCGCAGGTACCGCGTCGGCCAGTAGTTCGTCACCTCGTGGAACGTGTGGCTCCCGTAAACCTCTGTCCATCCCTCCTCCTCAGCGCGTGAGCTCAGGATTGGGAGGATCGAGCGGCCGCGGCGCGGGCCGGCTGCGGCGCCGGTGTTGAGGTCGTCGTGCCCGGCGTACGCGAGCAGCGTGGGCAGGACGTCGACGTAGGAGATCAGGTTCGGGTTGACGGCGCCTGGGGTGGCGCCCGGGATGCGGAGCAGGAAGGGGAGGTGGATGCCAGCGTCGTAGAGGGTGGTTTTGGAGTTGATGAAGGGGGGGCCGTTGTCGCTTAGAAACAGCACCAGCGTGTCCTGCCCCAACCCGCTCTTCTCCAGCGCGGAGAGCACGAGGCCGATGGACTGGTCGAGGCGGTGGATCGCGCGGTAGTACTCCGCGAGCTCCTGCCGCACCTCGGGTAGATCGCTCAGGAATGGTGGGACTTGCACCTCGTCGGGCTTGAACACGCGGTCGTGCAGGAGGGGCGAGTGGTTGCCCTCGACGTTGCCGAAGCCGCCGCGGGTGCCGAGCGCGCGGTGCGGGTCTGTGTAGCCGATTGTGAGGAAGAAGGGCTTCGCTTCGGCTTTGGCGTCGCTGAGGAACTGCGAGGCGCGGGCGGCGATCATGGCGCCGTCGCGGCTCTCGCCGCCCCGCTCTTCGATTGTTCGCACGCTCCAGGGGTAGACGTCTGGCGGGCCGACGTGGACTTTGTTGATGATGCCGGTTTTGTAGCCGAGGTCGTTGAAGAGCTTGGGTGGTGTTGTTAGCTGTTAGGTTAGTTTGGGAAGCGGTGGGTGATGGGGCTTACTTTGGGAGCTGTGACGATTTGTGGGAGGGTTTGGAAACCGTTCATTTCGCCAACGAGGCCGTAGGAGCCGGTTTGGTGGGTGTGGAGGCCCGTATATATCGTGGTGCGGGAGCCGGAGCAGGATGCTAGGGTGTTTCAGCGGGTGAGTTAGGAGGGCGGAGGGGTTTATATGACCGCAACAACTGTAACTGGGAGAACATAATAGTAAAGAAAGAGAAGTGTAGTGTGAAGACAAAATGAGATGGCGTTCATTTCAGAAGAAGAAAAGGAGTAATGAATGAGAACGAGGAAAATGGGAACGTCAAAGGACCAACCGAGGGAACCGAAAGAATCATAGCAAGTAAGAGTTATGATGAAGAAGCATCTTACCAGTACTAGCAAAAGCGTTCGTAAATCGTGTGCCAGATGCGGCGAGGCCATCGAGGTTCGGGGTCAGGGAGGTCGGACCGCCATAGCAGCTCATTTGCTCGCGACCAAGGTCGTCGGCAATAAGAACGAGGATATTCTTAGGTGCCATTGTGGTGAGTACTTTCTGCGCAGAAGCTAGCAACGTGATTGTAGTGCTCAGTCCTAGTCTTTGAATTCTTATAACGAGTGGCTAAGAGCTTCTGGGCGAAACTCTTCCTTATACGATCCAATTGGCTGGACTGAAGGTAACCAATATCAGATGCATCATCTCAGAAGGGGAAAAAATAAAGAGAATTGAAGTTGCAGAAGTGATCGCTTACAATCACGTCACTAGTTGAATAGATTGCACCATTGCGGGTACCTTAAGTAGATATGTCCTATCCCTGTGCAGATCGGTGTTGCTTACAAGCTCGACAATAGGACTAAAAGTATAATTCCGCCAAAGGATTTTAAAGACACGTGAGGGTGATTGTCTAATTCAAGAAGGCTCGGCGGACTGGCGAAATTTTTGTTATATTAACTGTCAAGCGATATCTAAAGCACGTGATGAGATTACTCAGTCGGCAGGGCTTGGCGGGGCTGCAAAAGTGTGGAGTTTTGTTGTAGAAATTTCGCCAAGGGAGACTGCCCAAGTCAAAAAGGCTTGGCGGGCAGGTGCCAAGGTGCTCAGTTTTGTTGTAATTACGCCGAGAGGCTTGTCCACGTGACTTTGGTACCTGGGTATCGCTTTGACAGGTCTGATACCTCGCTGGGCCTCCTCAGAGAGCGGCGGGTGTTAATACACTGATCGACGTACGATGTTACTCACGTGTTTGTTTAATCTTGCAGCGGTCGAGGTCCGACTTGTACTGGTGCGATTGACCCGCGTATGGAGCTCATTTCCCACATTTTTTGCGGTTGTTAGAGGTGAGGGTGGGATGACACGTGACTGTCCCGAATACTCGTCGTTCCTTCAAGCTTCAACCGAGTCGTCTACAACTTCCAAAATCCTCCACCTCATTCAGACAGCAATTTTACTTAATCTCCAGAGCCTCAGACTTTATCCTCCCCAACAAAAACATGCTTCACAGCCGCTCAGTCACGAACTTCTATCCAGCGGTGTGGTCTACGCTGCTCGGGGCGCAGTCCAACGAAGGTCCAGCTGACGAACATGCGGGGCGGTTTCCACAGGCTGCCGGCCGGTGAGCATGAGTTCATGGGAAAAATGTGAATGATAGGTTGGGCAGCCGCGGAGCTGCATGATGGCGGTCAAGCCACACTTCAGCCATAGGCTGTGATCTTCGCCGCAGCATCGGCCGGTGACAGTTCGTTGTGACCGGATAGACAGATGCCTGGAAGGCTGTATAGAGAAAGAAATGGTGGTTCTGTAATAAAGTGAACGGTGTGCATAATAGTTCTTTCTTCTCTCACCAGTCCACCAGCACCCAAAGCAGACAAAACACCATTTATCGTACAAGTAGTTCTAGCTAAGCTCTCGACTAGGCATACGTTACGGAAACGGCTTCGTTGCGCGTTCAGATCTGCTCAATGCTTCGATTTTTTAATTCTTATTCAAATCAGTCTTTGCCACAATGGCAGATCCATTTGGAACCGCTATCAGCATCGCAAACCTCCTCTCACGAGCGTACGATCTTTACGATCGCTGCCGCAAAGACACCGACGAGCTAAAAACCGCCGCCGGCCATGTCCACAGTATGACCATTGTGCTCGAAGGCATCCACTCCAACCTTCGTCGCAACAAGCACTCCCTCTCAATCGTGGCAGCGACATTGCAAAAACCAAAGAGCACCGCTTGAAAGGTCTCATTCATGGCTGCGAAAACTGTCTCAATAAGCTGAAGTCACTCCTGGATAAGTTTCATCCCTTGAACCGCCGTCACGATCCGAGCATGTGGGATCGATACAAGTGGGCAAGCAGTGGAAAGGCGGAGGTAGCAGATGTGTTGGCCGATCTGATGCTCTCTACGACGCTGCTCAACACCTTCATGCATGGAGAAACATGGGGAGGTCTTGGGGATATTGAAAATAGTATCGAAGAGTTCAGAGCCATGCTTGCTAGGCTGCCGCAGACGCCCACCAAGAACTCTTCACGCCGGCGCAGCCTTTCTCTTTCTCATGTCGGCCGCTGTTCGATTGCTAGTCTCGCGATTGCCAAACTCAGAAGGAAAGTTACACGCCGAAGACGACTCGCAAGAAAGGCTTCTCCAGGGCGACACAGCGGTGCGACAAAGTTGGGCAGGAGCGTCCCGAAACCTACGACCACCATAAAGAAGTCGAGTAGAAGCGCTCCAAGACCTACGACGCTCACTCGAATGAATACGGGATTGGTGACTAATCAGCAACGGAACAACCGCCTCCAATCCTACCTTAGCAATCTCCCTAAACACACTCCCCCTGCCAGCGTCGCGCACTACCAATGCTGGAAAGTTGGGAAGGGTAGCTACGCTTTCGGGGGGTTTCGGCACTTAAGCATACCAAGCACCGGCGGGGACAGCAGCAACTGAAAGAGATGGCAAGATTGTTTCAGGAATCTTCGAGTATAGGACGGAACCATGTTAGCAGTGATGATGCTAGGGTCAAATTCATGTTGAAAGCTAGGCAAAAGGCCGTGAAGGAATATAGATGGTCGTTCGTGGCGGGGAGGACGTTATATCGTGATGCTTCGAAGACGAGGATGGTGTTGTATGAGAACGCAATCTTGAAGTACGAGAGGATCTGGTAGCGGGAGTCAGCTGTAGGAGCGATCCTGTCTATTATTTCTTTGGGAGTTTTCAATTCGTTTCATCGACGTATGTTTCCATTCAGGTGATTGACTCGGGTTGCAGCACTACAACCTAGGGTCAGCAACTCATATGCAGTAACGTATCAGGATAGCATGCTGATACAGGAGGAAGTAACAGGTAGTGCAACAGCAGTGCTGCAGCACGGTATCAGTACTGTATCAGGAAACAGGATGAATCAAGTAACGCGTCAGGAAGAGATACCACGTTATGCCCCCGGGGCTGGCCCCCCTCCTTCCCCTAGTATATAAACAACGAGCTAGACACCCATAGAAATCAGAGTTCACATCAATTTCAACCTGAGTATTATCGCGTTCCTAGAGCTGCTGGATGCGGGGAATAAGAAGGGGAATCTGGTGCAGAAGAGCCAGGTGAGTAGTGTTCTGGATGAAGTGAGGCATTTGTATTTAGCAACTTGATTTTGACGCAAACAGGTGATTGCTACCAGCTCTATCGGGGCTTTCAATAGGGTACCGTTGGCCGGGTATGCGTACGGAGGTAGTAAGGCCGGAGTGGTACATTTGATGAAGCAGTTTGCAACGACTTTGGTGGCGTATGATGTCAGAAGCAATGTTATTGCACCAGGGTGTGAGTGTCCAATCTTCTTACTTTTGTAAAAATCGGATGGGAGTGAGCCGCTGGTGCTGACGGCTTCGATGATAGATTATCCGTCTGAGCTTACGGAAGGAATGCTCAAGGCGAAGGAGGAAACGGGATTTACGAAAGCTGAGGTACCGTTACAGCGTGCTGGGAATGAAGATGATATGGCCGGAGTGATTTTGTTCCTGGCATCGAGAGCTGGGGCGTATATTAATGGGAATGTGGTAGTCACGGATTGGGGGAGGTTGAGCGTTTTGCCGGCAACTTATTGATCGCAGAGTACAGCACTGGATCATAAGTTTGGGCACACGGATCTATCGCTACTTCGGCTCTACTCTTGCTCGCCCGACACCACTGTAAGGAGTGCTCAGTGCCCCAGCTAGCCGATATCGGCTTCGTCAAAAGGTGACCTAAGTTCCACTACATTGGCCTTTACATCGTATTGGAGCTTTGAAAGCCTATCGGGGTACCCAAGCAGTTGCAAGGGGCGTCCAAACTGATGTCTTGGTGCTGTAGAAGAAGGAGGTCTTCATTTGGTCATCTATGTGAAGTCAGTGTTTGAAGCTCTGGGTTTGTAGAGGAAGTAGCTAGCGCGCAGCCCCGACTTCCCTAACACCTCAAGCAGGAGCTATACACGCTCATGTTTTTCGTACAGCTCCTCCGTCCTTGACATAGCTTCATACCATCAACTCACTCAGTATCGCTATTCCCTCACTCGCGTACAACCCGACACTTCTGTGACCAAGGCCCTCAATCGTCTCATTACGTCTCCACATCTTCTATCGATCAGACTTAAATCAGATCCTGCTACAATGGGGCCACCCGGAACTTTTACTCCACCGGGATCCCCCCCACCCGAAATCCAGCGATATGATAACTTAAACGGTAAAATACCAAGTCATCCTTCCCATCACTGAGGGCTCTTTGATATTGACCCCTCTCCCATGATCCAGCGCTTGAAGGCCCTCAGAGAGAGCACATCGGGCCCAATGACTATGGACTTTGAGGATGAAGACGCGACGGTTGTGCCATGGATGATCGAGTTCCTTTATCGCGGCTCCATCACCAATCAGCTCTGCCGCTCGTGCTCCGAATCCTCGACTACGATCGCCAACATCCGCAAGAATCTAGATTCTCTCGACAGTATAGAAAAGCTCTTCCGTCTCTGGACCCTGGCATTCAGACTGAAGTTTCCGAAACTACAAAATGAGACGATTCGACTACTCTGCTTGAAACTAGGTTTCTACCCCAGTGCTGACAAGTGCGAGGACGCTCGGATTGATGAAGCCATTGAATGGGCAAATGAAAATGCCTCGGCACCTCTAAGTAATTTTATTACTCGAGTGTTTTGGGATCGTGTACCTTTGAAGCTATGGAAACAACCTCCGTATAATACATTGCCCTTGGTAGCCGTGGTCAATGAGATGAAGGGCATACTTGAGAAGAAGCCATTTGATATCCGGGATTTCTATGTGGAGGAGTAGTGTCGTTAATGCATGACGCTAGGGGAGGCTAGACAGTCGACAAATCGTTTCAATTGACTAGCTTACATCTCGTTCGAACCACATCTTCATTGCCGTCTGGTTTTCTTTCGCTTGCTGCTGTCGAACTGCCTCAACCTACTTATTCAGATGAAAACGAGATTACGAGTCACCACTTTGGACAGCCCGAAAGATCGTGAGGCCACCTCGGACGTTGCCGTTCGTCAGACTTGATTTGAGAGCGTCTCAACGGCCTGCTGAAGAGTTTCGTCGTCGCGCTCAAATATTGAACGACGATTTTACACTATTCTGGCACCGTCTGAGGTGCTTCAACCTTCCCATGACTCCCGCAGTCCTCTAGCGCCTGAGCTACGAATCCTATTGCCCAGTCAAACACATCGATTTGTGCCTCCATATCAACTTCTTGGGCCATCTCTCCTGCCTACCACTGTGCAGTGCTCAGGGTATCTCTATAGGCTTTTAGAACTCCGGACGCGATGTAAAGTTCAACACCGTGGATATTAAGCTAGCTTTTGACTCACTGAGAATCAGGTAGCTGAGCTACCCCCGACAGTGGCGTCGAGCGAGCAAGAGCCGTACTGATGCGCTCCTAAATCCGTACGTCCAGACTAATGGCCAAGAATTGTAGACTAGACCAGAACTTTCTCAGCCCAAAGCATGAACAAACATGAAGAGCTTCTGAAAGAGTTCCAAGACAGGAACTTCTCGAAAGAGCAAACAGAGCCTAAGCCTAGATGTAATGTATATCTCTTAACATCTGCATGTTCCGGTTTTTTTCAATCTACCGTCAGTATGCCAGATTCTCAGTCACAAGCCAGGCGGTCAGAATCTGGATCTACCGTCAGTGTGCCGGAATCCGAATCTAATGGAGCAGAATCCCGCTCACCAGCTGAGACGCCACCCGGAGGCCCACAAAATTCTGCACCCGAGCCAGCCGTACCTCAGCCATGTAACACAATGTTCTCTTTTGGTGATGGATTAGGACTACCTAGAAGCCAGCCGCAGCAGAACAACCTCTTTGGTACGGGCAGCCCTATCGTGAAAAGCGAGACACCCATTCAACCACGTCCTCCCTCCCTTGAACTTATCTTTCCGGCTGCCTCTACGTCCGCTAAAAGTACAATAACCCCTTCTCCGACCCTCTTTGGCTTCAGCCGCCCCACATTCCAATCTGATCACCTTTTGGCTGGCCTCTCTCTTATGCTCCGTGTACGTGCAGAGCCACCCAAATCTGAGACTGTAGAGATTCACACCCACGTCAACCTCGCTTTGCAGGTTCCCTTCCTCGAAAAGAAGCTGAAAGACCGACTCAAAGACGTACATCCTACAAGCCGGATCGTATTAGACTTCGACCTTGAATCCGAAGATATCGTGCTGTGGATGCTGGAATTCCTATATCGTGACTCCGTTGGCGTCACTCGTAACCTCCGCATCCCCACTGGAACTTCTGATATCATGATGAATATCCGCGCGAAGCTGGTGTCTACTAGCGTCCAAAAACTTTGTCGCCTCTGGGTCTTGGCAGCTATAGTCGAGCTACCAAAGTTGCAGAATGAAGCTATTAGGCTTTTGTGCCTGAACATGGGCTATTATGCAGATTCCCCCAAGATGGATCAGATAACGCCTAGTGTTGCGGCGTTGAAGTGGGTATATGAACATACCGAGCCTAGATCAGCATTACGGCAGTTTATGAGCTCTGTGTTCCAGGACCGCGTGACGCTGGAGGGTTTGAAGAAGGGCCTAGGTTCAGGGGCAGAGCAGGCAGAGCAGGCAGAGCAGGCAGAGCAGGCAGAGCAGGCAGAGCAGGCAGAGCAGGCAGAGCAGGCAGAGCAGGCAGATCAGGGTGAATATGATGATTTGCCTATTGAGTTATGGCAGGATATGTGTAGTGCATCGAAGGGATCTGGGCCGACGAAGGCCAAAATCCAGAGCTTTTATGTCAAGGAGTAAACTTGCGGTAGAATTCGAAGAAGGTTTGGCACTTAGACTCTTCCATATTCAGAAGCACTACGAAATTTACCTTGTGCGGTATCTTGTGTCTAGATTCCAAAGCCTATGGGGCCATGTTGGAGAGCAGATAGCGCCTTCAGAGGTGGCTTGATAACTTTGCAGATTGTTCAAAATCACACTTTCGTCACTTCAAATTTCGGAAAGCATCCTCAAGTAGTGATATTTCATGGCGAAATAGATCTACCATGAAGGGAGCCGATTACAAAGTTCAAATATGACGTCATGAGGAACAGGTTTTCAGTATGTTCAGGGGCGTCTTAGATTCACACGTATGTAGTCAAAAGAGAAGCCTCTACGTCCAGATTCAGGGCCTCATGCAAAAGCTGTCCATTTTGGCTCCCGGATGGACGAATTCCTAATTTAGGGGCTTCATATTTTGACATAACAGGTGTGATTGTTCTGGTCACTCCAGGGGTGCCTTCGCTCCATGCTTGGGCAGTCAAAAGAGAAGCAGCTACGTCCAGATCTAGAGCCTCATGAGGTTAATCTTTTCAGTCACTCCAGGGGTGTCTTTACCTCACAATCGGGTTGTCAAAAGAGCAGCAGGTGTGTCCCAATTAAGGCTTTCATGCAAATTATATTCCTTTTCGCTGCCAGCTTGACTATGTTCCAATGGGCCAATGTATGCAATACCTAAGGCACTGAGCTAGTCAAAATAGTGCGCTCTCGTATGTAGCCAGATGCTTTTGGGTGAATAGTATAGAAGACTATAGGATTCAGAGACACACTGCTAATCAAGGCTTGCCTCGTCGTAGTAACAATCTCTAGATATAGATATTAGTCATGCCGCTCAGAACATCTCCTCAATGGGTGGCCCTTCCCTCTCAGCCTCTAGCTCGAGTCTGGCGCCAATGATGTTGATCAATAGCTGTTCCCATCCGTACCTGCTCATCAAGTGATCCACCTCCGCATTTGTAAGACCTCCGTACTGTCTCTCCTTCTTGATCCAATAGTGAGCCGGAATGAATGTTTGCCTAAGTTGGGCGCGGATGAGGGTATAGTTGACCGCTGTCTGCAAAACGTTCTTGAGCTGTGTGTACCGCTGTGCCTCTGCTAGTCCCCGAGCATCTGCGTATCTCCCATGGACGATGATATAGGGGTTCAATTCCGACGCGATCTTTGAAAATAACAACTCCCGCACTAGATAAGGCCTCTCTATTCTAGCCCCGTGTATGATCGGGGTGCGGCACGAGTTCGCGAATATACCCTTCACCTTATCAATTACAAGGCGAAACTCCTTGAGTGTCTGAGGCCCCGAGATTCCCGCTCATCTACGGATCAATTGGGCCGCTGATTCGAACTCGGTGTGAAAATCGTGCGAGAAGAGGGCGAGTGGCTGGTTGCGGTTCAGGGGTCGACCGAGTATATGTTCTACGAGCATGCCGTTGAACCAGCTCTCACGTACTTCGAGGAGACATGCGGTGAATGGAGACTTTGTCCACTGTCGACGACACAACGGGCAGTGGTTCAAGTTTTTGAAGTGCGTCTTGATACAGGTTCTGCCGAAGACGTGCTTACATGGCGCCGGTAGTCGAATGGCGTCGTGGTACTACGAAGGTTCGCCCAATTTTGTGGACGTATGTGGCTGTTCTTCGTTTTCATCTGGCTGCGTATCGTCTTGGTCAACAGGCCCGTACCGGTCTAGGCAGATGACACAAGTTCGTTCGTCTTCGGGGAGATATGTTGGAAGAATGCCGGGTAAATGATCGAGATAACACTGGAATCCGAGCCTAGAGAATGGTGGTTGCCACAGATGTGGCAGAGGTGTTGCGTCAGCAACTGAGCCGGGTGCTGGACACTCTGGGGCAGGGATTTGACGATGGATGAGGGCATCGTCAATTCCGGGGCGAAGACCTAAAACAGACTGCTCAATCGTGAGCTGCTCTAAAGTCTGACGGTACTCTAGGTGTCTAGGACAATAGTTAGCCATTGTCGCCCCTAAATGACCCAACTTGGAGCGCGATGTTGGTATAAAGATGGAGTAAGGTTGATGGTGGTGGTGGTGGCTGACTGAGGATGATTAAATAAAGAAAGAGCTTCTGGGTACGTGTGAGGAAGGCATATATAGGCGCGCTGTAGCCATAGTAGTGAATATTCGAATATTTTTTTACGGTCGCCGTAGCCCGAGCAGAGGATTCTAGAACCCGCACCGACTTCCCAAAGCTCGGGAGATATTCGCAAATCACCGGCTCAAAAAGAGATTTGGCTAGCAAGCTGGAACAATAGCTTGTTACCTTGAATATGGCTTCGCTAGCAAGGCTATTTAAGCCAACTCGGCGTAGTATCAAGTGTACGATGAATAGATTAGTCACCGCATAAAACGACCGCAGTGTGCCCATACTGTGCGTAATTTTACTCTGAATTCGTCATTATTGCTTCAACTCACTTAGAAATAGACCTAATAACTCCTCGACAGCTGTGAAGAGCTTAATATATTGCTCAAGTTGATTGCTAATGTGCAAACGATTGCTTAAGGCAGTGAGCAAGGTGATATTATATTTTAGAGTTTGATAGCCGAACGCCTAACATATTACCTCCTGATCGAATGCCCTACAAACGTATCACTGCTTGAACACCGATTTTGGAAGCTTGTCACCACTGTCAGGGGTGGCCCGGCTACTAGGTAGCCAGTCAGTCAAGAGACAGTCCGATTTGAACGGCTTGAAACTTGACATCAGGTCTACAGCTTTGAAACCCCGTGGCATAAACCCATATAGTGGATTCATTACTACCTGGCTTTGATCTTGCTTACTCGACACCGCTGTGAGGGGTGGCCCAGCTGCTGGTAGCCGGGCAGCCAAGAGGTAGCCTGATATCCACTGTGTGTCATTCGCATCGCACCCCAAACGAGTGTGCACACCTGCCAAGCTATCTCGAACGTTTTCTCTAGTTTAAGTGAAACAGAATACCACGTCGTTGATTCACCAGCACCCAGCTTCGCGAATCAGACTGTTGCATAACGCTAATGCAAGCATAATGTTGACTTTATAGGGACTCTGTATCCCAGCCAGTGGACATTCACCGTCGACTGACGTCACTGACTAATCTAACCTTATGGCTCCCTACATGTTAAGCTACGTCCGCCTCGCGACGGACGACAACCGCAACAACACCCACATAACCACATAACTCCAATATCCACCTAATCCACCTATTCTACCCACTTCGCCACCACCACGATGCCGGATCCTAGCGAGCCAGCACCCACGACTAGCGGCATGCAGGCCGGGTCGCCATCTCTGCCTCTTCCACAACAGGTGCCCTCAGCGCCCTCCGAGAAACGGTCTACGGCCCTGAAGAGCTCAACAGCAGCTGTGCAACAACCTGAATCGACCCTTCCGCAGCTTCCACCGGAATCGACACCGGCGAGACCACAGAATGCCGTGAACCAGCCTGAGACGCCCTCCGAGCTAGACCTTGATGAAATAAACAGCGCTATCGAATCTATCAGCATCAAAGACAGTGCTAGCACAGCTACTAGCAAGGTCGCGACGGAGACACCCCTTTCGACGGCGCTCATCACAGCGTCTGGATTTGGGTCTGCGGTTACGACAACGCAGAAAGCGCCAGCGACTTCAGCGACAAACCAGAATCAGTTTGTGTCGGGACTCGCACCACGTGTCTATTCGCAACCCGCTTTGGGAGCAACTCCGATCACCTTTGTTCCGTATACAGAAGAAGACGTCAACGGCCACGAGAAGACTACACTGCACTTCCAAACCATCACTGTTCATCCTCGCTATCGACACTCATCGCTCGAGGAGCTGCGCTTGATAGACTATTCAAATTCACGAGTCTTTGGACCCGGATCTTCTACTGCTTCATTGCAACCTTCCACGCCTAGTGGACCCCCTCATCAGCCCCAGGCCAGCCCGTTTAGAACCGCCTTCATCCAAGCTGGACTCCAGCAACAAGGCAACCCTTTCCGCGGTGTGCACATTGTAGAGCCTCTCTTCCCACCAGCACCTGCGTCTATATTTGGACAACCTCAGACGACTCTCTTCGGCCTCTTTCAGGAGCCCTTTTCTTATGGACGTGGCATCTCCGGTCCCATGGTCACCCTCCAGATTCCGGGTTCCACTCCGTCTGACCCCATCACGGAACAGCACATTCATCTGGGTCTGGCCTTGCAGTCTCCGTATTTACGCGTCCAGCTATTTGGCCGGCTAGTCCACCCACCGGTCCCATCCACTTCGACCCTTAAGTTCGACCTCGAGACCTCTGACATCATCGACTTGGCGGTACAATTCCTTTACACCGGTTCCGTCACTCTCAAACTTTCAAGCTCTCCCTTCCAACTCGTTGCCTTGCGCGGCAAGCTTGACTCATTGGATACAATTAAACTTTGCCGCCTTTGGCTACTTGCTGTAAATATGAAGATGCCGAAGCTACAGAACGAAGCGGTCAGACTACTCTGGATCAAGCTAGGCCTCGATCCAGGCACGCTGGATCTACAACGAATGACACTTAGCTCGGCGACAATAGAGTGGGTATATTCAAAGACGGCGCCTGATGACGCACTGAGGCGGCTGGTCGTTACGGTCTTTTCGATCAGGACAAAGCCTGACATGGTGAAGCAAGGCTTGAAAGCGGGTGGATATGATGTATTGAGTCTCGAGTTTTGGCGGGAAGCGTGGATGGTTGACAAAGACGCTCGACTAGATGTGAAGGACTTCTATGTAAGGGAGTAATTATGACGGCGGTGTTCCGGGGAGTCGTGACGACGAAGGTAATTACAAAGGCGATGTTTCTGAGGTTTATCTAGGCGTACTTTTCTCGGTCTCTTGCTGCAATGGTTGGCAGTGAACCTGATTTCGGCTGCGAAGGGGATACTAGTAGGTTCTGGCGTTGAAACTGGAGCGGACTTCATTCTCTCTTGGCGATGTTCCCATAAACTGGAGGCACCCCTGCATAGACTAAGAAACCGCCCTCATGATGATGAAATCTAAACTCCGTAGAAAGGAACATGGTCAAGCCGGTAGGAAATGGGAACGCTTTTGCACGAGGCTCTGAATCTCGACGTAGCTGCTTCTCCTTTGACAACCCAAGCGTGGAGTGAAGACACCTCTGGAGTAACCAAAAAGATCAACCTCGTGATGTTAGAACCTAGAGCCCCTAAATCGAACTCTATATCCTTGTATACTATTTAGTAAATGCCGATAGGTTATATATGAACCCTTGACTAGTGCAGTAACGTGAGGACTGCTTGTACTGGCCTATCACGGTGTCTTCTTCTTGGCGGAATCTCCTGATTTGGAAGTTCCGCTAACCAATCGGCCTACGCCCAATGGATGGAATAGATGCACTCCGATAAGTATATGTAGCCAGTACATATGAGGGTGAATGAAGGAACGTGGACAAGAGGTCGCGGTTCTGCCCCTCATTATGTCATGCTATCGCGGGGTCATGACTGACAGGGAGTCCAATCTTGAAGCTTATCTCCAGACATCGCCTTTCTCGTAACTCATTATTTCTCTTCCACTTTTGACTTCATCAAAACCCCAGCTGTGCTCCCTACATCTACTTTCCTTCTTTTCAGCCTTCCGGGAAAACTGAGCGCTACTTTTCTCCAGTAGTTCAAAACACGAGTTCCCCTCACTCTAATAATTCAACACCACCTCTTCCTTGCCCAACATGTCTCAAACCACCCAAGAAAAGCCCCGAGACCCTACTCTCCATCTCATTGCCGCCCGTCGGGGCGCCGCCACCATCCTCCGCGCCGGCCAAACTATCAAAGTCATAAACACCTCCGGCCACCAAGTCGTCGACACCTGGGCTTTCGCCCTCCCCTCATCCTCCCTCCCAACAGTCGATGCCCCAATCTTCCCCGCCGCCCTATCTGCTCCAGCGACCTCTTACTCCGTCGCCGCCAACACAGCCGCTGCCGCCCCTGAGTACATGTCCATGTCCCACACGCGAGCCTCACTGCTGAAGCTCACACCCGAACTCGGAGATACACTGCGGAGTCAGAAGCGGGCGCCGATGTTGACGCTGGTAGAAGATACAAGCGCAGGTGTGCATGACACTCTGATCGCGGCGTGCGATCGGTGGCGGTATAGCGAGTTGGGAGTGACGACGTACCACGAGTCTTGCACGGATAATTGCTGGGACGCGTTGGAGAAGCTTGCTTTATCGCTTCCCAAGAATACAGATGCGGAGAAAGAGGTGGTAGATGGATTGCTAGGGTTGCAGGCACGGTGGGGTGGGCGGGTCCCGGACCCTTTCAATCTATTTATGAATATTCCGGTTACGGAGGAAGGAGAGGGCGCGAAGAGAGGGGTTAGTTTTGAGGCGCCGCTTACGAAGGAGGGAGACTATGTGGCGCTCTGGGCGGAGAGAGATTTGGCGGTTGTGATGAGTTCGTGTCCGCAGGATGTGTTGAGTATCAATGGGGGCAAGCCGATGGATGCACATTTTCAGATTATAGATATTCCTAAAGCTTAGTATATCTCTTAATAAATTTAAGTTGCGACTCTGAAGAGAATTCAATAGCTAAGATTTGATGCTTGATTCTCCGGGGTTTGTAATTAACTGTATAATGGCGTCGGATCGAGGAGCCACTCATCAGCGTATAGTGGACGCTGAGCAAACGGAAATGATTATTTGGAGAATGGGATTAATTTCATCTAAACTACGATCTTGGTATTGGAACTAATTAGCAAACTCTCCTCCGCTCTGATTACCGATGCTAGACAAGTAAGGGGGATTATATGTCACGTGATGTCCAAATGCACAGACTTACTCATTTGTAAGCGGAGGTCCCGGTCCACCTCTGCGACATCAACTTGCCTCGACATCCACAGCTATATCACTGGCCTCATTAAAGGCCACCATATATACATGAACTCTGTTTATCGTCCGCCGTTGCGCGGCAAGCAGGGTTGCTGGACCTGCCGCTTGCGAAAGAAGAAATGCGACGAGGGTCGACCGCATTGTTCGACGTGTGAATCGCTATCAATTACTTGCTATGGTTACGGTCCAAAACCCGACTGGATGGACAATGGGGAGAAAGAAAGAGCAATTTCGAAAAGTATCAAAGATATCGTCAAATACACTTCGAGACGCAAAAGGACAACCCAGCTTCCGAAGGAACACGAACCAATCGTCCTAGCGCCCAAGTCCTCGAGTGCTTCTGTGGAGAACACCTCTTCCAACTCAGGGTCAAGCCGCATGCATGAATCTACCCCTCCGTCAGATCATGGGTCATTACACCAAGATATACGCACGAATGAAGCCCATGCACTGTACAATGGATCAGACCTCATATTCTACATACCGGCGGACGAGTCTACCCTTCTGATGCATTTTCTAGATGAAATCTTTCCGCTCCAATACCCCATGTATAAACCGGGAATTCTGGATGGAGGCAGGGGTTGGCTACTTGCCCTTACTCTCCGGACAAAATCTCTCTACTATGCCGCTCTGGCTACTAGTGCACACCATCGCCGGATGATCATGCAAACTAAGATGAGCCACGTCTGTCGAGCGCTGGAGGTCCAACAAGCGCAGCATCTTGAAAACTGTTTGAAGTTGGTCAATGAATTTGCGCAGGTATCGTGCCCGTACAATGGGCTAGGCGTTACACATACAGTCATCCAGCTGGGATATTACGAGGTATTTTCCATTAGTGAACGTTTTGATTCGCCTACTGACAGCTTTCGTGAAGCTTTTTGCTGGCGATGGGAATGCGTGGAAGGCGCATTTCCGTGCAGCGATGAACATGTACCAGCAAGGCTATAAAGAGAACCTGTGTGGATACGCTCTAACTGAAGAGTCGCGCAAGATTCTTTTGGAGGACCGCCATATCTCAGAGATTGATCCTCTAGTTGCAGAAGAAGTTAGGAACCATAGATTCTTGGGCGGCTCGTTGTTCTGGCTCGATATAACATCTTCCATCACTGCGGGAACAGCGCCATATTTGCAGTCGTATCACTTCCGCATCATCACTCCAGATTCCCAGATCAGACTCGACCAAGTCATGGGCTGTAAAAATTGGGTAATGCTCCAGATTGGCCGCATCGCTGCGCTGCATGAAAATTGGACCCACGCGTTGGAGCAAGGAAATGGGGATTGTGCAGGATTTCAGCATACTGTATCCGATATCAGTAAAGAGATCCAGCTGTACAGTCTCACCCAGGCGACCCTAGACGAGTTCAGCATCTCCGAAGGCCTCTCTCCTACAACGTTCAATACGGTACCCTATTATTCCACGCTCATCACAAACATGTTCGCCTGCACAGCGTCTCTTTACCTCCACCTGATTACCTATGGCTTTCACAAACTTGAGCTTGTGGATACGATCTTCTCCGAAGCCATGCGAATGCTTCACACTCACATTCCAGCACAGCTTTTGCCAGCCTTGGTTGCTCCTCTGTATGTTATTGGCTGCGTTGCTAAACAGGAAGACCAACAGTACTTCCGGAGCGCGTTTTCGTCTCCACCATTGGTAGATCCATTACTAAAACATCGAGAGAGAATTTTGCCGATCTTAGAAGAGATCTGGCGGGGGAGGCAGGTAACGACTGACTTCACGTGGAAGGACTGTCTCGAGCTTACAAAAGATGTACTGCTTTTTTGAGTGCTCGCGGTAAATTTTGTTCTTGCAGTCTTTTCATGGTTCAAAGGTAGCGGGGGACCGCCCCAATATATCGAATCCGAACTGATCACGTGGTCTACACGTGACTAAGCCTATCATCAGATCCATGCGTCTGTGCACCCGTTTGCCACTGCCTGGGGTTCCCCCATGGAGTGTCAAAAGCTTAGGCGCGATGTCAAGTTGCAAGCAGTGCAAATCAGACTGCGCTTTGACTCATTGGTTACGGCCTAGGTGGGCTACTCCCCACAGCGGTTTCAGGTGAGCAAGATTGGAGCGTAGGAGTGATGAATCCTTCTGCCCAGACTTATTCTATGGCCTAGTACTGTCATTGATGCAACCCGCGCTTTTAGACACCCGCACTGAGTCGCATTTCGAGATTGCGTGGTGGGCCACTTCTCTCCTTCGCACACGACAGTCTCCCCAACGACAGAAGCCGCAGGGAAAGCTCGCCTCACTAAGATGCTGGGACGCTTCAATATTGAGAGATACAGTGTAGAATTGACCAATCTGCGTCGGCGCGAGGCCGACAGGATGACCAATACAGATATCGGGAGAGCGACAATAAACTGCCTACGAAAGGACACTTACGATTGGATTCATGCGGCGGAGGCTGTAGTTCAACAGCCATGGGCGCCTCATCCTTCTAGGCGTAGGCGTCGGCAGCGGTATGGCGGGACGTGCATTATACGCGGCGCGGGAGCCGCTTTCATTGGCTACTGGCTGCGGCAAGTTCGTACTCGTGAATCCTCCTTTACTAAACTGCGCGCCGCGCGAAACCCTGCTATTTTCTTACCTTCTGCATATTTCTACACGTGGTGTCGGGTGCACGGGAAAATCGTAAGGCGCGGCGCTTTGCCATCTCATTGGCTATGCTTTGCGGCGCGCTTGCTTGCTTTCTCATGTACCATCACCACGAGGGCCTCTTGGAGACATGATTTCTAAGAACACCCCTTTGCATTTAAAATCAGCATTGCCAGTAACTTGTCCGCTATTCTCTAACAATGCTTTATATCTTTCATCTCATCGCAAGCCTATTCCAGCAATCCTTCCACTTCCTCACTGCAAACTACTTCCACCAAATACAGAGTTCACACGAGCCGTCTCAAGCCATGAAGCACATCGTCATCGTCGGAGGCTCCTATGGAGGAGTCAGCACATCCCACCGGCTTCTCAAGCAGGCCGGGAAGTCTGGCTCAATCAAGATCACTCTGGTGTCGCCAAATACCCATTTCTACTGGAATATGGCAGCGCCTCGAGGCGTAATCCCCGGGCAGTTCGACGATGATACACTCTTCCGACCGATCGCGAATGGTTTCAAGCACTACCCGGCCGGTTCATTTGAGTTTATCGTTGGCTCTGCGGACAGTCTCGACGCCGAGGCTAAGAAGCTCCTCATTTCCACCCCTTCTGGGAAACAGGCAATTGGATACGACTTTCTCATTCTAGCCACGGGCTCGCATACCAAAGGAGGCGCGCCGTTCAAAGAGCTAGGGTCGACGGAGGAGACAAAGCGCGTTCTGCACGACTTCCAGGCGCGAGTAAAGAAAGCTAGGACGGTTGTGGTGGCTGGTGCTGGCGTGACTGGGTGTGAAGTCGCTGGCGAGTTGGCGTGTGAGTATGGGATGGCGAAGAAGGTTACTTTGGTAAGCTTGAGGCAGTTCCGATACACATGTGTGCGTTACGACGGCTAACGCGTTCTAGATCGCCAGCGGCTCCACCGTCCTCCCAGATCCCGTGACCCCCGCCTTCATTCCCGAATTCGTGGACAAAGAGTTGCGGAAACTGAACATCGATATCAAACTGGAGACGAAGATCACGGGCTCAGCTGAAACTGCCGACGGCCGGACGGAAGTCACGCTTTCGACGGGGGACAAACTGGTTACAGACCTCTACATCCCGACGTTCGGACTCGTGTACAACACCTCCTACCTCCCCGCCAAGTTCGTGAACCCAAACGGCTCCGCCATGGTGGATGACTATCTCAAGATCAAAGGGGCTGGTGAGGTGTGGGCAATTGGTGACATGTGCGATTTGGATGGCTCGCAGTTCTTGAGTATGGAGAGGCACTCGATTTATGTCACGAAAAATATCGGGTTGATAATGAAGGGAAAGCCGCCACTTCCTTATAAGCGTATCACAAGTCGTACGTTGTCTTCGAACTTAACGGATGTGAAGTTGAAACTAATTGTCCGTAGGGATAATGGGTCTCCAAATTGGCAAGAAGGAAGCGGTCGGCCACTACGGATCTTGGAGACTTCCGCGCTTTATGATGATGTATGCGCGGAAACAGTTGTTTTTGAACAGGTTCGCGGGGACGATTGATGGCTCTGAGTTTTGATTTTTTGTTCATTTGGGAAGGATGTTATGTTCGTTTCTTGCGTCGTGCTAGCTTACGATGCCCAATTTGAGCTTTCTCTTAGATCTCGTTCTCTGCCACTTGCATAATCATCTTTAAAGGATGATATTTTCAAAAGAATGTTCAAACTACAGTCACGAGAAGGGTGTTGGTACAGTGCAGAAGTTTGTGCATGCCTCGTTATTAGAAATCCAGATGAGATGCAAAAGTCTAGCAAGTACGAACTTGGTTGCTTTGAATACTTCTGATTATTATACGCTGCCGTTGCCTAGGGTGATTCAACAGGTATCAGAATGTAGCAAGAGGATTTAAGACATGGGGCAAAACTGAGTGCATAAGCTTGTACCCTAGTGTTGTAGAATCTAGACGTCTACTCTCTGGACATCGGACGATACCAACGAGGTAAGTAGCCTTCGCTTCCCCAATATGCTAAGCCTAATATACGTCTCTAGAGTTGATAGGAGACAAATCGTCTACTCTGCATCTGAAAATTGTACCTCTTATGTCGACCCGCAACCCAGCATGCTACTTCCTCCGCTTTGAGCGCCGATATATATCCTCTTCGCCGGAGGAGCCGTCATTGTCACACATCTTGCGCTTCTTCAAAGCCGGATCTCTGGGAGCGCTCTTTGCTGGAACCACCCCTTGCATAGACCATCGTCGACCCCACGGCGGTAAGGTGGGAGTCCATGGGCTTCATCGTAATGCCTGTGCATAGCGTGATTGGCGAAGTCCTCTTCCGGCACCCACCGCTTCTCTTCGGGCTCATCCCAATGCTCATGGCCTTCCCAACGAACCTTGTAGGTCACTGTGTCTTTGCCGTTACGACGATGTCCGACGATGTCCCTCACGGCCCAGATCACATCGCCCGAGCTGCCTCCAATCTCGTATCCCTCCTGGATATGATCGTGCCCCTCATGGGAGAACTCCTCCAGCATCTCCGTAGCCCACTCACGGATGCATTGGGTGATCCATGGAATTGCTCTCCCGCTGTCTAAGTCCCCGTTCTCGATGACATCCACGGACCACGTAAGCCGCTTAGACGGCCCTGCATACGGAACCGGCTTGAAGAGCCCCTTCCCAAACTCCCGGCGCACTTTGGCCCTGTCGAACGCGCTCAGCATTGGGTCCATCATTCTCGCAAAAGCCGCGGGCGGGTGGAATTGCCTGTCGTACTCTTTGAGCTTCCGCTGGACTTCGGCGAGGAGCTTGGCCTTGGCGCCAGCGGCGATGCCAAAGAGCTTCTTATTGTCTTCGGCCCGCTCCTCGAGTTTCTCCTTGAAGGCCCGGAATATCTCGTGAGCGTGCACGGCGATGACGGTGTGGGATCGCGAGCCGCGGTTGCGATCCCAGCGCAGGCACGCCGAGCAGGTCTGTGACTGGATAGGGGCGAGCGGGTCTCGATATGGGCAGCTTTTGTTTGAGGCGATCCACTTGGAGATGCAGGCTTCCCCGTACACATGGCCGCAGGTAAGTCGGACCGGGATCTCGCGATTTCCGTCTGCGTTGTTGGTGAAGTAGGTAGTGTTGCAAATCGCACAGGCGTCGTCTTTCTGAAGGTCGGCAGCTCTCAAAGGTTCGAAGTAATGCGGGCATTTCGGAGTGTCGGACTTCGCCTGGTGGACGGCTCGTTGTGACATTGTGTAGTTGGAAGATACGGATATTGAGTAGCGCTAGAGTCTTAAGCTTGATGACGGTTGTGTGGTGGTGAGATTGAGTGGTGTATGTAGAGTTGGTGATAATAGTTCCCTCCACATTGGAACATGGACTCTTATATTCAGAAACTTGTTGGACTATAACGTTGAATTGTATCGTAAAGTGAATGTACGAGTTGATGGGCAGAGTAGCGCGGGAGACATGTAAACCGTGAATGCTTTAACATTCACCTCGCATACCTTATCCTATATGCTTAAGTTATAGCATCATAAAGCACACATATAACGGCCTCCTCGTTTGCAGGATTCTATCCCTTACATCCTATATCGAAATTCTTAGTACGTCTAGAGGGCCCTTAACAGGATTCCTGCATTGTCAAAACACTCACCTTAATGACCTGTTTTAGGCGCTTTACATGGCGAAGTGGTCGTAGATTTGGTTGCGGAGTTCGGTGAGTCCCAGAAAACCGACCGAAAACAGGTCCTCGCGTTCTTTGACATCCGGCTCTTCTCTCTCATCGAGATCAGCCACGATGGCGTGTCCCAATACCGACGGAGATTCGAAACATCCGACTGTCATCTCCCAACTCTGAAGCATATATAGGTCGGCTCTTGGCCTAATGCTTACGCTTGATGAGGTCCTGGGCAGTTACTACCAATGCCTGCTTCTTCGTCTTGCGTTCGAAACTGTCCTTTGGAGGAGGCGATTACTTCTCTGTATATTTGGGACTAGACAGGATCTATTATCTTCGCGAACGCGGCCGGAGGATGGAACTGTCGATCATAGAGCCTCAGATTGTTCTCGAGGAACTCATGCAGTCGCTTCTTAACCCCCTTGAAGAGCCCCGAAAGCTTCTTGTTGTCTTTCTCGAGTTCTTCAAGTTTCTCCTTCAAGCATCGGGACATTTACTCCGCGTGGACAACTAGGACCGTGTTTGTACGTTCGCCGCGATGGCGGTCCCACAGCATGCACTTTGTGATTTCGTCTCGGTATGGGCACGTCTTATCTTTTTCTATCCACCTGCTGATGCAGTCCTTACCAAAGAGACGTCCGCAGGTCAGGCGGACCGTAATCTCTCGAACACCATCTGCGTTGGGGACGAAATATATGTTGCCGCATATTTCGCAGGTAACATCCTTGGCAACGGCTTTGAGCTAACGGGCCAGGTGGCTTAACATGGTGTTGATGTTCCTAAATTGATAAGGAAAGCTGTATAGCTATAGAGCTATATAGAATCTATTATACTAAAAGGAATAGTGGTAAAAGGGCGGTAGCATCTAATAAGTTTAGTGTATAAGCACTGTTAGTATTAGGAATAACAGTTTTAGCATTTGGCACTAAAGATGTAAAGTATAGACTATTAACCTAATTAAGGATTACTAGGGAGGATGAAATATAAGATAAAAACGTAATATAATACTAATATAAATAAAGCAAAATTTAAACTTAGCTTTAGGAAACCCGGGATATATATAATAAGATAGTTTAACGTCTCCCTTTATTACTTACAGCAAGCTAGCGCGCAAATTACTAAACCTAAGAGATAGTTTGTAATAACTTTACCTAAGCGGACAAAATATACTCTAAGCATACTTAGATACTGCGTGTAAACTTTTATTAATTAGGAAGCAGTTAGTATACTTAAGACAACAATTGAAAGGGACAAACGAAAGGCCACCGCAATTTCCTATTGTTTGACCCACACAAAATACCGCTAGGCTGCTCCTGATGGTGGTGTGGAGCGAGCAAGAGCTACTCTTGTGCATAGCGTGATTTGCGAAGTCCTCTTCCGGCACCCACCGCTTCTATCTGGAGGGTTTTCATCTTCCTCTGCATGTCGTATTTCACAGGATATATACTAGGGAATAATTATAAACATGCTGTCTGATTGGGAAATTTTACGACGTCAAAGCCGGTATAGTCTATCAAATCTCGCTGAAAGTCTTAACATCAGCCTGGTCCATTCATCTCCACGCCCTTCTCTCCTATGGCTCTATAGGGCTCAACACCTTTCGTGCTAAGCAACTTATCTTGTGCTCCGGAAATGCCGAAATCATAGTATTATAGATGCCCGGTGCCAATAGATCTGAGCTGTTCTCAATGCACCTCCGGAATTGGATGCCGCCAGCTACTTTTTTCGCCGCGTGCGACGAATAGGCCTGTACTCATCTCCATCCGAGTCCGTATCTTCCAATTTTCGCTTCTTGCTGGAAGAGTGAAGTGAGCGTTTTCCAATGGTCTTTGTCGCAACGTCTCCGGCTTCCTTCTTCGCGCCATCCATCATCCGCTTGCTGCTAGAGGAGCTGACTGATACTTTCCCAGTAGGAATCTTTGCGATCAGCTTGGTGTTCGCCTCCTTGTTTTCCCCTTTCTGCTTCCTGCTAGACAAGGTAGATGAAGTCTTTCTAGTAGCATTTCCCACGACAGTTTCAGCAGTCTTTTCCGCAAATTTTCCATCGGCCTTGGCTGCACCTCTTCCAGCGACTTTCTCCGCAACGCTTCCCGAGGGCTCTCCCGTGGCTGTTCCCGAAATATTTCCCCGTCGAACTACATCTTGTCCCGGCCAACGTCGGCCCTCTTTGTGGTAAGCTGGGATCCGATTCTGCCTATCATACTGCGCGTGATTCTCATGATCCTCAAAGTCTTCTTCGCCAACCCACTGGCTCTCCTCCGACCAGTCCCAGTGGTCGTGTCCCTCCCAGAGGACCCTATAACTCACCATACCATTTTGGTTCCGCCGGTGTCCAATGATCTGCCGCACCGCCCAGACGGCGTCATTATCGCTGCCTCGAATCTCGTATCCGTGCTGGACGTGGTTATGGCCTTCTTGCGAGAACTCTTCGAACATCTCCGTTGTCCATTCACGGATGCATTGGGTAAACCAAGGCAATTCCTCCTCGGTCCCCAGTGCTGTGTCTTCGACGACGTCCAGCGACCATGAGAATCGTTTCGTAGGTCCAGTGTGGGGGATCCGCTTGAAGAGTGACCATCCCAGATCTCGCCGAACGTGGGACTTGTTCGAAATGCTCAGCAACGGATCCATCATTCTCGCGAATGCGGCTGGAGGATGGAACTGTCGGTCGTATGCTCTTAGCTTGTTATCGAGGAACTCATAGAGTCGCTTCTTAACTCCCTTGGAGAGCCCGAAAAGCTTCTTGTCGTCCTTCTCGAGTTCTTCAAGTTTCTCCTTTAAGCACCGGAACATTTCCTCCGCGTGGACAACTAGGACGGTGTTCGTACGTTCGCCGCGATGGCGGTCCCACAGCATGCACTTCGTGCATGTGCCTGGCTGGATAGCCGTGAGTTCGTCGCGGTAGGGGCACGTCTTATCTCTTTCTATCCATCTGCTGATGCAGTCCTTGCCAAAGACATGTCCGCAGGTAAGACGGACCGGAATCTCTCGAATGCCATCTGCGTTGGGGACGAAGTATACATTGCCGCATATTTCGCACGTATCATTCTTGCCAACGGCGCTGGACTTCAACACTTCGAAGGAGTGAGGGCACTTTGGAGTTTGCTGCTTGATCTGGCGGCTTGAGCGTTGCAACATATTGTAAGGTTGGAATTGGGATATGAGGGCGTGCTGAGTAGTTGCTGTTTGAGCCTGGTGGAAGTGGTGGTGTGGTGAGAGCGGATCGATAGGGGTTGGTGATAATGGTACTATCGAAATTGGGACAAAGAATTTTTATATGCAGAAATGTGCTAGATTATAACATTGAATGGTATCGTAAGTGAATGTAGGAGTTGACGCAGAGAGCCCGCTGGGTGCGTAGCGCGGGAGAACATGTAATTCGTGAATTCTCTAACATTCACCTCGCATTCCTAATCTTGTATGTTTGACTTATAGCCTCACACGGCATACGTATAACGGCCTTCTGATTTACAGCGTTCCGTTCTCTACAACCTGTATTGAAATTACTAGTATGTCTAGGGGGGTCCTAAAAGGAACCCCTACATTGTCAAAACACTCACCTCAACGACCTACTCTAGGCACTCCATGCCCCCCTCGTTAAAGTTCCTCTGCGTCCCGCTTTACGTCATTCTACGCATCCCTCTGCATCGCTGCGCGTAGTCTCCGCGTGCCTCCGCAAGCCTTTTGTCCACCAGGTCTCCCTCCAAACTCGAACGCATCAAATCTTTTAGAAATGCGGGCATTCGGGGCATGAGGCGGCTTCTGAGGGGCCAGGTGGCTTTACATGGTGTTGATGTTTCTGAATTGATAAGGAAAGCTGTATGGCTATAGAGCTGTATGGAATCCGTTATACTAAAAGGAATAGTGGTGAAAGGGCAGTAGCATCTGATACGTTTAGTGCATTAGCTCTGTTAGTACTAGGAACGACTGTTTTGGCATCCAGCATTAAAGGCGTGAAAAGGTATAGACCATTGACCCATTCAAGGGTCACTAGGGAGGATGAAATATAAGAACACATGATGTGATGCTAACATAAACGAAGCAAAATTGAACTTAGCTGTAGGAAACCCGGGACATATGATGAGATAGTTTGACGCTTCCCTTCATGGCTTACAGCAAGCTGGTACGCAAATCGCTGAACCTGAGAGATAGTTTGTGACAACTTTACCCAAGCGGACGAAATATGCTCCAAACACTGCATGTAAACTTTTATCGATCAAGAAGCAGTCAGTATTCTCCAGACAACAATTGAAAGGGACAAACGAAAAGGCACCGCAATTTCCTATCGTTTGACCCATATAACACACCGCTGGGCTGCTCCTGGTGGTGGTGTGATCCTGTATGCGTGAGAAGCCGCTAACCTAAAGTGGTTAGCTAGCACGTGACCTAGAGTCTAAAAAGTCGATACTGCCAACATGTCAAACGAGAGGGGCAAGCTCGAGGCAGATGTTCAAGGCAAGCAACGAGTAATGATCTTCAATTTAAGCTATTATTACCAGTCTAAGCCGTCCCCGGCTATATGTATATACCCGAGCAGTCACGTGATACCGCAATGAATCACGCCTGCTTCGCGGCCTTGCTTCCCTCACCCGTCTCCGGTGTCCCAGCCTCAGCCTCAATATCAGTGAGCTTGCGCGACGGCTCATGCCCATGGAGCGTCAATCCGTGTGTATGTGTGATATCGCCGAAGGTGTATGCCGACTCGCCATGGATGGCGTCGTCGCCGATCATGAGTTCCTCCTCTGTCATGCGCAGCGGGATGCGCAAGACATACTTGATGAAGAGCATGATGGCGGAGGTCCAGAAGGCGTTCCATCCAACAATGAAGCAGATACCGGCCATCTGCCAGCCGAGCTGGACGCCGTGGCCCATTTCGGCACCGCCAGAGGAGACGCATGCGAAGGAGATGCAGCCCTTGGATGTTGCGAAGATACCGGTAAGGAAGCCACCCATTGCACCAGCAACAGCGTGCGTGTGGACGACGCCGAGAGTGTCGTCGACGATTTCGAAGAGGCGGAATCTCTTGCCCACGATATTCATGGAGACCCATGGGATGCTACCGGAGCACAGGCCAATGACGACCGCACCCCAACCTGCGACGACACCGGCGGCGGGAGTAATGGCAACGAGGCCAGTGATCATGCCCTGAACGGCTCCAATGACTGAGGGCTTCTTGTAGACAATAACATCGAGAATCATCCAAGTCAAAAGGCTCATTGAGGTGGTGATGTTGGTGTTGAGAACGGCGGCACCAGCGTCAGGGCTTGCGGTGTATGGATCTCCTCCGTTGAAGCCGTTCCAGCCGATCCAAAGGATACCCGCGCCTGTAAGCATCATGAGGACGTTGTTGGGCACGAAGTTATCGCGGTCGGATTTGAGGCGGGGCCCGATCCAGTATGCGCCGACGAAGCCCGCGGTACCAGAAGACAAGTGGATGACATAACCTCCGGAGTAATCGATAATACCGCGCTGGAATAGAAATCCGCCGCCCCAAACGCTGAAGGCACCGACGGTGTACGACAGTGTCAACCACAAGGGAACAAAGAAGATCCACGCCCTGAAGCTCATGCGGCCTAGGAATGCTCCAGCCATGAGGATGACGGTAATGGCAGCGAAGCAAAACTGGAAGTAGACCATGGTCGACATTGGATAGGCGGCGGTAATGTTTGCGGCGGGGAGGATAGCTTGCGTGAGCTCGTACTCCATGCTGACCACAGGACCAGGAGTGCCCACGAATGGAAGCATTTGCTTTCCGAATGCTGCTTTGTATGCATACAGCACCCAGCAAACAAGGACCATGGCGAAGGCGTAAAAGCACATGAAAGCCGAGTTGATGACCCATTTTGTCTGGACCATGCCACCATAGAGAATCATGAGGCCCGGGACGCTCTGCAGCGCGACCAAGCTCGCGGCGGTGAGCTGCCAGGCATTGTCGCCATTGTTCAGCCAGTCCGGCGCAACGGCTGACATGATGAAGGAATTGCGCGCGTGGAAGAGAGGGTAGAAGCGTCAGAGGAAAACGTTGGGTTCAGGGCAAGGAGCCCTCGACTCCGAGGCTGTACCTGCTTTATAGCTACCGGGCTAGCTACCGGGCTAGCTACCGGGCTGCGGTGCCCACATTGGCCAATAGTGACCCCCATGCGCTCGGTTGAAATTCCTAGATGGGGCCCTGAAAGCAGCGGGCGCTGCTGCGAGTGTTCGGCGGCGTGCTCCCGGTGGTTCGACGTTGAGGCGGAGAGCTATGGATGCAAACGACGCGCCCGAAGTAGCGCGGCTGGGCCGAAGCTCCCCAAGCTTGCCAAGCCAGTGAGCGTGCAGTCCGTTATCTGTGGCTGGAGCTTATCTCCACGTCGACCTGCCGGAATGCATCATTTGACGATATCCCCGCCTCGCCGGGAGCCCCCAGACAAAGGGGCCCGAGCCCGCGGGCGCACAGGCATGGAGAGCTGCTTGGCTGAAAACGCCTAGGCCGTCGCGGTTTTCAGTGTGATCAGAAATCGAACCATGTCCGCGCGCCATGCTGATGTGTACTGTTGAAGGCGCTGAGAAGCATCGAGGGCGATGTACGACGCGTGCATATCGCAGGGGGCGAACCGAACGAATCATTCTGGGCCTGTGCTTCATATCTCCAGCTTATGATATTGCACGTCCTCTCGTGGCTGTTGGCAGCTCGCGGTCAGGCTCATTTCCCCGTCGCTTGACTGTTCTCGTAAAAGCCTCGTGCCGTAACCGTCATGATAGTCGAGCGTGGAGAGAGCCCTCGCTTTTCCGGTCCAGATCCAGCGGTCATGCATGTGGGCGATGCCATCGAGGGCTGGCAACCTGATACGCCGAGAAAAGCGGCTGGCTGACGCTAGTAGTCCACTTGTTCGTATGAGCCATATGGGGTCCAATTCGGCGCTGAGCTAGAACGTGGAGTGCATTGTTCTGGCTGGCGTGCGGAGCCTATCCTGCAAGTTCCCGCGTCAACGACCGCGGGCCCGGAAATACCAAGAACCAGGACGTGTGGACGCCCTCGCGCGCTGCTATTTCAGCAGAGATAGCCGCGGGCCTAGAAATCATCAGTGTTACTCACGAAGATAAGAGAAATGGCTCTGGTCTGAGGGCCTTGTGAGCTGACATCTACATCAGCTTGCTCTCTAATGTTGCGTTAAATGAGCCTTGGAAGAAGGTTCGCGAGGTATTAGATGTCTCTGGGCAGATGCTTGACCAGTGAGTGAGAGCCGAGCAAGATTTCGTAGATCTGTAACAAGTTGGTTCCGGAGTGCTCAAAATGGTCCAGCATTGCTCTCGGCCGTGGTGATGGCCGCCCATGTGATCGCGGGGCACCGCTCCTGTCTGGGAGGCGTGCAGCCTTATCCGGCCAATGTGGTGGTACGAGAATAAATTTGTCAGAGGCCGGCGCTCGCTTACACGTCGCAAAAGGGGTCAGCCAGGTGGTAGTAGTATCTTTTGAGATGGGATAAAGAAAACTTGCAAGAAAAGATGTTACAAAGGAACAAGGCTGGAGATGGTCAACTTAAGAATTTCGTCACAGCTTTTACCAAGAGGGACGGATCGCTTGGCGCTCTTGGCAGTCTCCGCCATCGGACCCGCTCAAATGCACGTGCATTAGGGGCCAGCGGGGCGCCACCCGGGCCATTTCCAACGAAAGAAGCACTGTTTCAGATATGCCAACGAACTCCTCTGTACAATATCTGTATGCATTCAAGGCCTTGGGACTTTCGGATCGTCAAAGACGCTTTCTCAACTTTATGAAGGTTTTCTGAAGACCTATTCTCAAACTGATAATCACCAATGCGGAACCAAACCACGCAATCCCTCATTCCCCTAAAACGTTTCTCTAGGTGCATTAGAGCTGGCCTGTCAAGCAATTATGTGGGGATACTTTACAACCCATTACTACCCTGAAGTGTCTCGGGCCGTTATTTGAGGTGATGCGAGAGCACAGAGACGTCAAGTCGAACTGAAGAAAGAGCAATCTTGAAGTAGAGGGAGAAAGCGCTAGGGGCGAAGCTTGCAGACACCTTACGATTTCACGACTCACGTTGACGCGTACCGCGTATATTGATGATAAAGAATCAAATCTTAGGAATCCTGCAGGATCATACACACACCTACGCTATCTTCTAGTACTACCGAGAAGCCAACCATCCTCATCGTCCAAGCCTCATTTCTAACGCCAAACGTCTACAAGTCCCTTCGAGATTGTCTCGAGGCCTTGGGCTACTCAACCGTCCACCCCAATCTATCAGGTCTAACGGACTAAGGGCACCCAGACTTCGCAAAGAAGAACATCATCGACGATGCTCACGCAGTGCGCATCGAGCTAATTCGCCAAATCGAGTACGATCCCAAAACTGCTCTCCTCGTAATGCACTTCTACGGGGCGGCCTAGTCGGAAGGGAAGCCGCGCCCGAAGAGCTCAGCTACATCTATCGACAAGCGAGAGGGCTACCAGGAGGCGTGATCCGTCTCTTCTACTTCCGTGCGTTTATTTTCGCGGAAGGCCAGTCAGTTGTCGGCGTGTTTGGCGAGTCCACTAGAGAGGATATTAGGATAAGTTTATTCGCCAATCTTTTCCGCCATTCCGCCATTCCCGCCACTATATATACTGACTACACCGCGTAGCCGGACGGCACCTACTGCATAAAGCACGCGGTTGAGCTCCTTTCTAATGATCTTCCGGGCCCCGAGGCGGCACTATGGGCATCGCGACTTGTCTACCAATCGTACGATGTTAATAGGACGAAGCGCCGCATACCGCTGCATCCCATCCACCTATCTCATCTCCGACAACGACAAAGCAGCACTACTACAATTGCAAGAGAAGTTCGCCGCTAACGCTGGCGCAACAGTAGACAGGTGTGCTGCAGGACATTCAGTCATGTTAAACCACCCCGCCATACTTGCTAGCAAAATTGCAGCAGTTGCAGATGAAGCTATGAGGTCAATCGAACCGAAACCATAGATTACGTCCTATTCACAACCTGTACGCCGCTATGAGGTCGAAATCAGAAAACTGCCGAAACAAATTCACAATAGGCAGAAAGAGATATTTCCCTTCCCAGGGCTCTGACACCTTTTCCGCTTCAGCTTGACCCTTCGCCCATTGCGCTACCTCGCTCCATTGTATCCATTGCCATTTAGCACACTTTTCAGGTTCCATTGCCTGCAATAGTATCAGCATCAGTAACGACCGCAAATTACCTAAGAATCCTGGATCAAGGCAAGCGCACGTACAATAGGCTCCTTGTTTTCTCCCACGATTGTCGCACCCATAAAAACAGTAACATAGTGGCGTCCCGCCTCGGGCATATAATCATTCGTCGTCGCTAGGAGCTGCACTTGCCCGATCTCGAGTCCCGTTTCCTCGAGCACCTCGCGTTTAGCGCAAGAGTCGAAGCTTTCGCCGTAGTCGAAGTGGCCGCCGGGTAGGGCCCATGTGCCTAGGAACCCAAAAGTTTAAGCATAAATCGGTCGGCGGGTGCATTAATGTGAAGACGGAAGCGATAGTTCCGGGGAAACTTACCAGCGCCATGGCTGCCCTGCCGCTGACCCATGATCACTCGCCCTTGGCTGTCTAGGATGATTACTGCGACGCCTATTTGAGGGCGTGAACCCATGGCTGCGTGCGCCGGCGTGCGGGCTGTTGAGACGGTGAAGATGTCCATGTTGTAGTGAGCGAGGTGTGGATTTATGAGCTGCGGTTCGAGTCATGGATAGCCCCGCTTCAAGATCTACGTGTGTGCCCGGTATCACTCGCCTTCCCTTACGTTACAGGCTCAACTTTCCTTCTGTTTTCTATCCATGTTCTTCCAGAGTTTCGCCCTCGGGATAACTGCGTCCTACTTTCAATGATAATATCTTAGCAGTCTTGGCTTTGACGTAGATTGGTCTAGGCTACTCGGAGTAGGTAATCTCGGTAATTATAATATACCGAATTAGTCCGCTCTTCTACCCCTCATCTTACCCACCACTTGTCACGTGCTTTCGATTTCTCTCCTCGGATTGGTAGTTCGAGGCTTTTCATGTTCTCCGGCCCATTCCGGGCCGTTGCCTCTTTGAACTCTTCCTTATACTTAAGATTGGGACCTCCAATACGCCGGCTTCCTCTGGCTTAAGACGACGCTCTTCCCCAAGATCTACATCCGCTCGACTCCATCCGCTTGCCTTTTGTAAGCAGAGCGCGTTAAAGCCGATCAAAAGAGGTTGACACAGTCCAACTATCTTGAGAAAGGCAGTCCCATCTTTTGCAGCATCTTCAGCTGGTATACAGACTCGTCGCGACGGCATCTCAACCTAATTATGAGACGTCCAAATCTAGCAAATCGAATGCCAGGAGAAAAGCTCCCGCACGTGTCCCAGGCCCTTAGAGAAACTCGGAAATTGTAGGATGCAGTGGCTGAATTGAAGGAGTCGAGCGAAGGTTCTAAAGTAAATGCCGTCGTTCAGTCCATGAACTTCGAATTGGCTACTCTTGGTTCGAGAAACTCCATTGTGCGACTTGGGCCAAGGATAAGAGCCACGCACTTCAATGGGCTACACGTCTAATCTGCAGTCTGCGTACACATATCCGCCACTGCCTGAGGTGGCTAAGCTCCGCATCGACTCGGCAAATGTTCGGGTTTGAGGCCGCAGGAAATGATTCGAAGAGCTTCAGGTCGTGTCAGAACAGTGCCACCAGACGAGTAACGCTTGGATTGACTCTACTAGCTCCTAGATCGGAGCGCAGCTCGTCCAATCTAAGATCTGGACACGTGATTTTATTTCTTCGATTGTCATGAGCTAGTTCCGAATCACAGCAGGCCATCATTACGAAAGCCGGGTCTCAATCATTGCTTCTTTAAGACGATATCAGATCGCAATGAACAGATGAAGTTGAATTGCGGACGCCGAAACTGCTTCTGTACCATGAGTCATTGAGAGCCTCCGCCCGTCGACTACTGACTCGATCATAGGGCGCAGATGACAAACGTATGTATATCTCTAAGCTATATCTTCTAACTATATACTCAACCTTCTCCCTATAGCGATTACCAAAACCCACCTTTCTTCTCCCATTAACCATCAGAATGTCCCTGAACCCACTCGCCACCCAACACATCCTCATCAATTCCACCCGCATCGCCTACGGAGTATACGGCACCGGAGAACCTGTGGTCCTAATCCACGGCACCCCCTCCTCCTCCCTGATCTTCCGCAACATCCTCCCCCACCTCCTCGCCGCTAATTACCGCGTGCACCTCTTCGACCTCCTCGGCTACGGCCTCTCCGAGCGGCCCTGGGACCCCTCCATCGACACATCCATCTCCGCCCAAGTCCCCATCCTCGAAGGCCTGCTAGCGCACTGGGGCCTCTCATCCGCGCATATAGTCGCCCACGACATCGGCGGCGGCATCGCGCAGCGCTTCGCCATCTTCTCCCCAGACCGCGTGCGATCACTAACGCTCATCGATGTCGTGAGTTTCGACAGCTATCCGTCAGCGCGGACGAAGACGCAGATGGCCAACGGGCTCAAAGCGCCAACCGAAGAGCACGATGCGCATTTCAGGGAGTGGCTGCTCTCCACCGTGTACGCGCCGGAGAAGCTCACGGGGGAGGTTTTGGAGACGTATATGGCGTATATCAGCGGTCCGGTGGGGCAGGGGAGTTTCTTCCAGCATCAGATGCGGCAATATGATCCTAAGCATACGATGGAGATTGCGGAGCGGGTGGGGGAGTTGGGAGTATTGCCTGTGAAGTTGATTTGGGGGAAGGATGATGCGTGGCAGGTTGTTGATTGGGCGCGTAAATTGAACCGGGCGATTCTTAGGTCGGAGTTGGATGTTGTGGAGGACTGTGGGCATTTCTCGTTGGATGATCAGCCGGAGAGGGTGGCGGGGATTTTGGTGGAGTTTCTGGGGAGGCAGACGAAGTAGGTGGTTGGATTGTATTTTCGTTCTTGAAGAGGAGGGGCCTAGAATGGTTGGAGTGGGCACTCCAGAAGGCAACCAGATATGAAAACAGCAAACTTCGATGTCGTAAGTTCCTGAATCTTCATTTGTCACAACTCGTTCGTGCGATACCACGTGTTTAGTATTCTAGTCTTCTAGCTCGATAGTATCGTGAGGTGGCTCAGCTAGGCAACATGTTGATCAGAATCACTCGAAGTCAGCTCCGACTCATACCGTACATACCTTACCTCCCATCCAGTAACTCTAGTTTCTCAAATTTCATGGCTGATCCTTCGCCCTCATCCCCCTTCTTTCCATACCTATACTCCGTAAGCACCCGCATAAGAATGGTAAGTCTCTCAACGTCCTCATACGCTCCCGGATTAACACCATCCTCAGCCACAATAGAATTAGTATCCGCCCAGTCTTCCAGAATCTCAAGCGGCTTCAACCCCTCCAATATCACATCCAGGTCCTCTCTAGATGGCTCTGCGTACTGATACCAACGACGCGGGATATGCGTTAGAAGAGCCAGAGCCAGTGGCATAGCAACCGCATCACCAAATAACCCTGCTACTCGCTTACATCCTGCGAGAATCTCCTCTGGGCTCCCGCTGCACTCCGTCAGCGACCGGAGACCCGCCTCGTTCAGGCGATCAAGAGCCACGGCTTTATAGCCCGCCCCTCGAATGATTCCATGCGCGAGGTACTCATGGTCTCCAGCTTCCGCAAGATCTTCTAGTAAGTGAGGAACGTGCCACACCTTTACCCCATCCCCTAATACCTTCGTATCTATCATGGCCAAGTAAGTGTCTCTGGTAAGCCGCACGTATGCAAACGCCGCTTTAAGCGATGCAGCCCAGGAACTGAACTCGGTTGGAGGAACTGGAGAGCCCAACCGGTCGAAGGCTTCTATGCCTCGATAGTGGAAGCGTGCCATCTGGACTAACTCTTCGAAGGTCATATCGTAGATGTTCTGGTGGCCCAGGCCGCGGTTGAAGGCGTGCGAGCAAACTTGGTCGATGCTATTGAGGCCGGCTTCACCACCTCCGGATGCCGGTGACCAGATGCGGAAGAGGTATCTGGGGATATTGTTGGTTCGTAGGCGCTCAAGCCTGCTTTTGTTGGGCTCGTCCATTAGAGGGCTGAGGTGGAATGAATGTGAGTTGCATTTCGTACGTAATCTTTCCGTGGGAGCTACTAAATGAGAATGGTTGCGACATGGCTTGCTTATTTCAGACTTCCCAAACTTCAATGCCTCTATGTTTGCCTCTTTCAAGCGTCGTCTTGATATTACTACTTCTTTATCTATCAATGTTTCCATGCGGTGTCCAGGTGTGTATGGTCCTGATAGATATCTACAGGACTTCTTTGCGTCCGGTCGACCTAGCGCGAAAACTGACTCGACCCCGGTAAACCGCCTTTTCTGGGCTAATGTTGAACTAGCTTGAAGATCTATTGGCTAGGAGGTTGCTATTCCCCTTTAAAGGCGTCCGGAAATACTACCCTATACGGTAATTTTGTGGCATGATTTTAGCGCCAGGTCACTGGAGGCAAAGAAGTCCTGTATATATATTACCAAGCCATAAGTTTAGGGGCATGGATATAGCCTTGTATGAGTTCGGCTCTTGCTCGCTCAACGCCACCGTCAGGATTAGTACCAGCTTCCAGTTACCAGTAACACAAGCGGAAGCTCAATCTCCATGGCATAGAACATTACATTGGGCCTGAGCTTTCGAAAGCCTATGGAGGCACCTCAAGCAGTGGTCAAAGGTGTGCACAACCTTGGGGCTGAAAGCTCGACAGTAAACCCATTCCTTAATTGGCAGCAAGCTGGATGCGGCTCTTGGCTGAGTCCTGACCTTAATGCAAAACTCGGGTTCTTCACGAACTGCGGAGCTTGCGCAAATCAACTATGCTTGACGCCTTTGACTAGCCACGCACCTGGTTGAGCCACTCCAAGAAGTGGTGCTGGTCATTGGAAGCGACCTAGATGTAGCAGTGAATTGAGGCTCTTGACTGTCACTTCGGATTAGGCGCCCAGAATTGTGCTTCTTCGCCCAAAGAAGCAAAGAAAAGTATTGAATTCCTAAAATTAGAATAAGCCACAATTCCTTGATGCAAGGCTAGGTCGTCGACAAGGAAGATTCGCGGTGAGTATCTATCCCAACCATTCCGTAAAAGTTCATCCCAGCCCATTACAGGGACCGACTTTTCTATAAAATCCAAACGTTTGGCATGCTTCCCACGCTTGTTTTCGCCTCTCTTCCATTGATAAATGACTACCCAGGAAAAGATCTCGGCTTCGGGTCAACGAGGCTGAAATACGCTGCGGTCTCCTATCAGGCACGATTGGCCGCCTCCATCATGCAACCTGCAAGCCATATCCTGAAAACATGCGGACCTGTACACCCAGCCCCGCGAGGCTGAATGTTTGTCGCTCATAAGAGCTGCCGTCGCCCGCCTCGAGCGCGTAGGCCTTGGTCCTTCAAAGACTCCATGGCGGCGACCACTGTAACAGACTTAAGCTCCATCAGCGCTTATAATCGAGGCCCGATCACGACAGCCTTCATCCCTCCGACTTCATGCCTTGCGACGCTCACACTGCCTAGCTCAGGGGGCGATCTGTTTTTTGGCCATCAATTCATCTCCTATGTTGATCTGGCGTGTTATCCTCATGGGACTATAGCTGCTCAAAACTTGGTAACTTGGAGTTCTTGGGATATATTCTACTGTAAGCAATCTGCGCATCCTTCCTAAGCTCTAAAACCTCGAAGTTAACATGGCCACAGACAGCCCTGCTATATGCCCCTCCGGCTGGACGCAAGCAACCGCTTTCACCTCTGTCATTCCAGCCTGGCCAGAGACCGTCTCGATTTCCATCGAATCCAACACCAACGTTGCTCTATGCTGTCCTAGGTCCGACGCTCCCGCTCCGTCTTTGCTCCAATGTATACATGCGCTTATAATATGAACAGTGGATACAGCTATTTGTCCACGGGTTTGGGCCACCAATGCACCTCTCCCATAACAATGAATCAGGTGATCCAGTACATCTTTCCTACCAACAACGGCGCAAACATTGTACGCGGGAATGTGTCAACGAGCACGTTTCCAGCGGACGCGACCGCGTGGGGCGATGGCGTGCCTGTCTGGTGGCAGAGCTCTGATGACGCGCTGCTTGCGGAAGCTTCTACGATGACGCCATCGGGGGCCTCTCCTACGGCTATTACTACCGGCGTCACGGGCTCTGGTGGCACCGCCGCTCAACCTTCAGCTACGACGTCTATCCCATCTTCTACCGCCACTACTAGCGCTAGCTCGACGCCCAAGCCGAGTGGTCTTTCGACTGGTGCGAAGGTCGGGCTTGGTGTTGGGATACCGCTGGCTATCATAGCTGGGTTGGCGCTGGGGTATCTACTCTTCCGTAGGCGAAGAGGCAGAGGGACAACGGATGGCGACGCTGCGGATGTACCGCTGGGAAAGTATGAACACGATGCACCTCCTGAGCCGTACTACGATACCCAACAGCCGCCTAAGCAACCTGCACATGAGCTCTCTTCGCAACGGGAACCGTATCATGGGATGCATGAGCTTCCGTCGACGAGGTACCAGTGAACTGGTAATGGGGAATCTGGTGTCGGTGATTTGGTTTAAGAGTAGCTCAGGACATTTTGGGGACGGGTAATAGGATGTAACGATAATTATTGGTCATAGAAGCACTTGCTTAGAAGTAATCTGTTGCATTTAACAGGATTCCTCATGGACGAGCTTGATTAACGTCACGCGACAAACCCTGTTCACTTTATGAACTAACCGACCCCAGATTAAATCTAGTATGAAGGAAGATATCAAACTTAGGACGACGGGACGTTATTCCCTCCATCCCACTTTACTTCATCGTTCAACCTCCACTTGTTGAGATTGCCATCTAGTTTTCTGCGTGCGTCAATCTAGACCTGGCGAGACTCGGCATGACCGAGTTTGGCCAGTATCATCTATCCAAGCACAACGCAACGTAAGGCCTATTTGAATGCAGATTCTAGAGCTAATCAGCAGCTGCCTTTTCATAGACTGCACTGGGCTGGACGCAGCCTTGGATCTGTCCAGGTCCCGTTCAGTCTCATGCTTCGCACGACATGCTTGAAACATCATTCGGTCCAGGGAACCCCAATATTCGAAGCGTGGGGATGTGCGTGGCAATTTTATTTCATCAATGTAATTTTAATAGATTGAGGCTGCGTCTTTTAGGTTTTGAACCATGGAACGAGTGACAACCTGACGTGGCGCGGTGGAGACCAAATGAACACGTTGCTAACTAAGGGACTTTTACTTTATTACATAGCCTAAAATAGATTATTATTTCCATGCACTAATTATGGGCTATAGCACTAGTAGAGAACATCTAGGCGTTGGATATATCATGGTTCCAGCTGTAAGCAGATAATATTTCATTGTCTCTCGTCGCCCTAGCCCATTCTCAGCGTCTTCTACACTCGCGAGCCTTTCCATCTGCCTCCAATATCAGAATCAGAGACTCGAAGTCTCGAGCCTCACAGCATCCGTCATCTACGAGCAGCACCCAGTCAATATGAAGCACGTTCGTATCCTCGTGCTCGCCTTTTCTACCGTTTCTTCCGTTCTGGCGAAGAATGGCTGCTACAAGGGCGGCGAGCGCGCTTTCTCCAAGGAACTGGCGGCCGCTAGCCTAGTCAGCGTCTGCGACCACATGCTCGCCTCGACAGGCAGCTCCAGTTTCAACGAATCGTCACCAAGCCGGACTGCATGCCGCACCTATCCGAGCATGGAGGTATCAACTGATAACGCATGGTACAACGATAACAGGGACAAGGCGTGGTTTTTCCAGATCTTTATTGACCCAAATAACGACAATGAAAATGGGTTCAATCTCAAGAGGGCAGACTGTGTGAAGGAGTTTGAACATGCGATCAATCTGTGCGACTTTGGCGCAATTAGGAAAGTGGGCAAACTATGGCGTTTCCGGTAGGTTGCTATGCCGCACTCTGTATGAGGCAGTTGGCTAAATGATGAGGTAGTGCGGACCCACAGTACAAGCGCTGCGAGATGGAATGGTCGGATAGCGTCACGGGTGAAGTGATCGGGTTGCACAAGTTGAACCAGCCCTGGAAGACCAAGAAGAAGGGCACGAGCCAGGAGGAGCCGGATGATGAGGATGATGAGGAAGACGACCAGGATGAGGATGAAAAGTTTAGGAAGGCCTTCAATGCCCTCGTGGGATATAGAGACCGTAACGGCGAGGACAAGAATTTTACAAAGGCCCTCGAGGTCCTCAAGAACTACAAGTTCCGCAAGGACGACAAAAAAGCCAAAGCCTCTAAGCATAGCTGAGCAGAGTGGCTAGTAATTTGCCCAGACGACGGTTTACGTTCATTATTTTTACCCTTAGCTTAATCCAATACATTTCCTCCTGCCGCAGTGCCGCTCCATCATTCGCTCTCTCTCGCTCACCAATACGTCAGCTTTTGGCTCCAGATATTATCCAGACCACAGCTCCTTGTGTCGGGCTCACAGCGGCAATGATTAACGAGGCTAGAGCGTGAGATGCCGAAGTACATCCAAGCCGTGAGATTGGAGCATAGTGGGAGAGGAGGAACAGCAAAACCAAGGATGGGAAGCTTTATTACCAATATACATTCAATAATTCCATAAGCAAGTGTTACAATTTGAACCCTCTACGTAAAATGGCCTATTCTGTACATAATGATCCACTTATCATGAACCACAGTACTACGGTAGTAGAAAACATCTGGCCACTAGGTAACCATGGTTCTACCTATGAGCAGACACCATATCTCACGTTGCCCCAATGCATTCTCAGCGCCTCCTGGCACGCGCAAGCCTTCCCCTCTAATATCACATTCGGATATCGCAACATCATTTATCGATGAGAACCACCCAGTCAACATGAAGTTCCTTCATATTCTCATGGTCGCCTCGCCCATGATCTCGCCTGCTCTTGCCAAGCTGGGCTGCTATACCTCAGGCGAAGGGGTTTACGACTACGCCTTAGCGTATAGTAGCATTCCAAGCGTCTGCGACTACCTTATAGAATCTACTGGCAGCGCCTTCTTCAACGATACCCACAAGACCCGCAGTGTATGCCGCGACTACCCGCACGGCGCGTACCCCTACAAACACTACAAAGACGAGCAGTGGTTATACGAGGTCATACTAGACTCTGAGTCTGATGGACATGGGGTCGAGCTCCTGAAATCAGACTGTGTGACGCAGCTCCGAGAGGCGCTTAACTGCCGTTGGGGCGGCTGGAATAAGTGGGGCCCATGGACGTTCCGGTAGGTTGCTTGCCGCGCTTTTTTTCAGGAGTTCTGGCTAATTAATGAAATAGTGCGGACATAGAGCCGACACACTGTGATACACTATGGACAGAAGTTTTGGGGGGGAAACCGGTGGAAAAGAAGAAGCTGGCTGAATATATGAAGATGGAAGCCGAGAATGAGAAGAAAGATGAGAAAGATGAAAAAGACGACGAAAGTAGACTTAGTAAGCTTGAAGAGATCCGGAGGATTCATTTGTTAGTACTTCGGAAATTAGCTGCAGTGATGGAGCAGGACAGGGGCGACAAAAGCAGGGACGTCAAGGTTAAGGATAACGGCCTTGAAATAACGTGGTCGCTATACATGAGAATATTTTACATATTAACTAGAGAGATCGAGAAGGAAGAGTTGAAAGGGAACTCTAGCCTACCACGGAACACCGTCTGAGGTGGCCCACATTCAGAAAGCTATCAGGCTTGCCAAAGCTGGTCATTCATACAACGATAGCAGACTGGAGGACCTCAAGCGGTGCTAAAGAAGCGTATATAGACACAGTACTAGTGTGTATATACCTTATGGATTCGTGGACTGCCACTTTCTGTTAATACTCATCGAGCACGCTGCCTCATAGGTGCACCAATCTACCGCTGCTTGAAGTGCTCCAACGAGTTTCCACATAGCCCAAGCGAAGAGATTCTATCCCGTTTAGCAGTCTGAAAATCCATTGAAACACCCCAAGCAATGGCATACATGTGCACATGTAAAATGCCACCTTTTTCATATCCCGCGTGCCTACTAAACCGACAGCGGGCTTTCAGTGGCGGCGAACCTACTCATCAAACCACAGCTGTGTAATACGCTGCAATTGATGGCTATTGTGGAGCGTGTAGATGGCGACAGAGCAAAGAAGCACCGGCGATTCTTTCACGCTTAGCTTGCTACTCAATTCTTCGCCTGAATTGATATGCTTTCATCTTCCCTCTTGTTTCTTAAACGTTCAATAAAGGACTCGAATAGCACGATGGACGAAGTCGAGCGATCATCTGACTAACTCTTGGGGGGCCAAAAACAGTAACTGAAGTCATATTGCGTCAACGGCCTCATTCCCAGCCGCTTCTATTTCCCAACCATCTCGAAATCACCCATTCCCGTCACCCCCTACTCATCCACCCACCCACCCATCTCCCCGCAACTAACAATCCACACCCGCCGGCCCGCCCGCACTCGCAATCGCCCGGCCCACACACCCGTTCTTAAAGAACAGATCAATATTGAACTTCGCCAGATACTCCGTATCATAGTCTCCGAGATTCGCAGCCGACCCGTCCTTCTGCACGCCATGGTTCCACCCAAAGCTCCAGCTCGTCACGCTCGTCGGCGTGCACCCGTTGATCTCGTCGTGCAGCGTTTTGCCGCCGTCGGTGATCCACCCGTTGCTGTAGATCTCGAAGTGCACGAAGCCGACCCCCGGCGTGCGCTGGCAGGAGGCGGCGACCTTTTCGTAGGGGTTGGAGATCTGGTCGGTTGTGCTGTCGGTGCAACATTCGTCCCAGATTTTGGAGTCTGCGGGGTGGTGATGTTAGTGATGGGTGTTGGAGAGAAAGGGAAGGGGGAGGGGTAGTCTTACTGCCAGAGTCGTAGAGACACCCGTCACTGACGTCGAAGTAGACGTCGCCGTAGTTGGCTGGCCATTGGGCCTGGAGTTTGCAGCCTGGTTGGACGTTTCCGTTCATAGAATTAGTTTTGTCGAAGTTGCCATAGATGGCGGCGCTTGCATAGGGCTGGTTGTTGTCTGCGACGTCTAAGAAAGCCTATTGTTAGGTTCATATCGTAGCAAGTATTGAAAAGAGCACTTACTATACTTGGAATCGAACGTAGAGTCGCTATCGCATCGCGGGCTTCCGTTGATGCTTGCACAACCGTTCCTCACATGCTTGGGTGGATGTGAGTGGTTGCGAATGAGAAAAGCGGGAAGGGGTACTTACGACATCCGTTCCAGCTGGATTCGGTATCGGCGTGCTCGTGGGCTGGCAGTTGACGTCGTTGGAGCAGCCGTTCTTGATACAAATCGCGCCATTACGAGTAACGGTTGTCGGAGGCTCCTGGCACGTAGGCATGCAAGCCTTCGCGTCGCCGAGAACATCCAGGCCATAGGTCTGCTTGCCAAGGCCCTTGTTGAATAGCAGCTGAATGAAAGTGCCCTCTGCCAGACAGAATTAGTAACGGCTTTCTTCTTTAATCTATCACACTTCGTAGTAAAGGACTTACTCGCTCCAGCCGGCGCTGTCCATTTGATAGGATCACTGGTCGCGCCACTAGCAACAATGTTTGTAAAGCCCCCGTTCCCTTGCGGATCAATCACAACTTGCCAGTTCTGCATGTTGTTGGCGGGATCGACGCCGAAACCAGGGTCAAACACTACGTTCCAATTCGTTCCAGCATTATCGGCAGCCGGAACGTATATCTTAATAGAAGGGGCCTTTGCATTGGCAGAGACTATTGCGTGGGCAGTTGGAGTCGCATAACCTTGGATACACGACGGAGTTATTGTTGGGATAGTAGCAGTAACGGGAGGCGCCGCTCCCTCTGCAGACTTTGAAGGCGACGGCGAGCTAGAGTGGGATGTTTTCTTGGTGGAAGACAAAGTCTTTGTTTCAGATGATGTAGGACTTGGCGAGCTAGACGAAGGTGATGATGAGTGAGATGATTTCGAGGAATGCGATGTCTTTGATTCTGTCGTAGAAACTGGCGAGGATACGGAAGAAGAGGGGGAGCTGGACGACCGAGACCTGCTGGAAGATATCGAGCTGCTGGACACCGAGCTACTAGACACTGAGCTACTAGACACCGACCCGGTCGAGCTTGCACTGCTCATAGACCCAGTTTCGGTCCCATCAGTGATGATTATCGTGGTACCGTAGAAATTCTGATCGATGGTAAAATACGATTCTGACTTTGTTCCTATATCTGCCTCCATGGAAGAGAGCGTGATTGCGACCGTCTCAGTAATCGTTGGGATCGAGTTAGATTTTGAGGACGATGATGATGAAGACCTCGAGGAAGACTTTCGGGACTTCGTGGAGCTTGGCTTGTCCGAAGGCTTGCTTGTTGGCTTGTCGTGATTATCCTCGTCCACTTCATCAGGGTCCGGATATGATTCCCTGTTCGGCATTAATTCATGAATCATTGTTTCATGTGACCTTTTCAAACACTCACAAGGCGAGCCATGCAGCTGCGGAAGCTAAAACAGCCTCCGAAGCAAACGGGAAAACGACCACCCCCCCGCCGAAGAGAAGAGCGGGTAATTCTAGTGGTGCTCCAAGGAAGAGTAGACCCAGAAGCGCGAGAGGAGCCAAGTCAGTCGCATCAGGATAGTCTGACCGATGGGCTGCCGGCAGTTTGGTAGTTGTGAACCCGACAGTCTCGGTAGGGTTTGCCGGATTGACAACGACGAACCCACCACTACCGCCGCTGGAAGTTGGTTTCGGTGAAGGAGATACCACGCCAAAACTGAAAGGGATCGTGGAAGTGACCGTCGGAACAATGAAGTGAACGGAGCTGCTGGTAGTCGTAATTACCGCGCTGCTGGACTTGCTCCTGGTTCGACTAGACGATAAGGATGTGCTTAGAATGGTACTCGAGTTCGTTCGGGTGAAGGAGTGGCTAGAACTCGAGGAAGAAGAAGCGCCTGAGGGCAAAAAAGAGAATGAGGCGGCCCGAGCGATAGCCGGAAGAGCCAGCAAGGCGCAGGAGAGAAAATTCTTCATGATGAACTTTGATATACGAAACGAAATACAATCTGATGAGAATAGTTGAAAAGCTCCATGGGAGTCATTACTTATATCACTGGTCTCGAAGTGATGCTCTGATATGTTACAGCCTTGCACCAAGCTTACGCAGGGAGATGCAAAACACATTAGTTTCTATATTGGGGTCTACTTTCTCACATCATGCGGATACTGATCAAGGATTGTTTTGTTTCTCGTACTTGGATTAGGTGTGGGTCCGAAGGGTGGAGAGGTCGCAAGGGAAATGGGGAGATGCTGTGCTTACACCCCTGAGCCCAACTAGTCTACTAAGCCTAAACGAGCGCTGAGTAATCTGGGGCCGAGGCGATGGTGAAACGATCCCTTCAGCCTCAACCCAGATTAAGCATTCCCTATGATCGGTAATGTGAGACAGCGGGACCACGAGGCGTAGAATGCGGTAGAGGCGTGAGGGGGGCCGCTCTCCCGCTGCAAGGGGCGCTTATTCACCAAAGCTTGCTTCTGTTCTAACCACATATGGTAAGCGATAGCGGCGAACAGAACCCTCGTCGGCCAAAGCGGCGTACTATTCTGAGACCACGATGCCGGAATGCTGATTGACCAGTCAAGTAACACGGCACACGCCCCGTTTTTATCTCGTCCCTGCGTCCACACAACTAATCTGCATGCGAGATCTCCAGGGGCCACCCGTGGTATCCAATGGCAGTCTAACAGCGAACAAAAATTATCGCGATTTGAAAAGGCTCCACTCCACCTGACAGTCAGCCCTGCGAGACGTTGGGGCGGTAGCACTGTCATTTCCCTCTCGTGTCACCGCCTAGGTTCCGCATCAATCATCATGACGCTCAGGGGGCACGAGTGAGATGTCTTTGCCGATGCAATAATAGGTAGGAGTTCAGTCAACACTTCGAACTTCACAGACGCTTGATAAATAGAAGAGAACCGCTCACTGCACATTAATCGTTCATTCCAGCATTATCGAGTCTTCCGTCTTCTTTCTTCACCATGATTTCTTCCTTCTTTTTACTTCCTGCCTTCTTTTGGCATGCTGCCTCCCATCCTCATTATGTCCCGCGTGAGAACAAAGAGACCGGGAAACCTACCACTCTCGCTGGAAGCCTATGTGCCTCGCCATCTTGCACAGTCACCCCAACTTCCCTTTCTTCCCTGGTCTTCACTGCTTCTCCGGTCACAGTAAAGCCGCCTGGCGCCGAGTCCTCCATTATCGTCTCTTTTGACCCAGTTACCACAAAATCATTCCAGCCAGAAACCACCGTACTCGCCAACACTGACACCAAAGGAACCCTCACGCTCGGCAAAGCCACTGTCACAGGTCTTAAAGCAACTGCCACAGCGACATATAACCTCTCTCCAACAGAAACATCCCAAGTGGTCATAGTCGCCGAAGTCGAAGCCACCACCCAGCTCTACTTCGGCACATCCGACGACGACGGCGCCGGTGGCTCCTGTCCCATCGACGGGCCCTTCTCCAGCAAGGAAAGACGTGATCTTAATTTCCACCGATCGCTAAGCAAGCGAAGTGTCCGAATCGTCGACGTAGATGACGGCCTCGGCGTCAACCGCGCAGCGCTATTGCAAAGCATGATCGACGAGGCTACAACTGTTCTCCATGCCGTGGACGCGAGATTGGACAGCTTTAACGGGAACTACGACGGCATCACAGACGTTGGGTAAGCGCGAATCCGCGGGCGAGCTTTCAACTTAATACTGGTTAACCTTGAACGAATGTAGATTTACGAGATGGTTCCCGAATACCCAATTCAAGCGTCTGCACAACATGGTCAAAGCCGAGCTGCGCGCCCTCACCACCGCCGACACCAACGACCCCCAGAACATCCTCACCACCTGGACGACGCTCGAATCGCGCCCGGACACCCGCGACCGCACCTGCCGCAGCGAAAACGGCGCCGAAGGGATCCAAGCCCAGACCAGCGCGAGCCAGTTGTCCCTACGCCCACATCCAGGCCAGCCGAATGGCGAGACGTGTCCCGGGTCGTGGGTCATCATCTGCCCGAAGATCATCAAGAACTACCAGTCGTTGGCGCTGCCGAAAGACTTCTGCACCAAGAAAACTCTAACACGGAAGACGTTCAACAAGAAGCTGCTCAACGACGCCGAGTATAACTTCGACATTGGGATCGGCAGCGGTGCGAGGGTGGTCATCCACGAGCTCACGCATTTCGTGGACGTGTGCGCCGCGGTGGAAGATTGGGATCTGGGGGGCGCTGCTAACAAGCCTCCATCGTACGTGTGCTGTATTTCTGCTGAACGATGTAGCTTTGCTAATGCCGCGCGTCAACTAGGTGTAATGTGCAGGGTGACTACACCGAGGAAGTCTACAAATACAATGAATTGCAGCAGCTCAGAGAATGCTACGAGAACGACCCGACCGCGCAGTGTAACGGGAAGCCGGGAGATATGGCGCTGTTCAATGCCGAGAATTACACTTTAGCGATTATAGAGTGGTACATTAGGAGCCTATGCAGTGGCTGGAATACACCTAAGGAGTAATTAGAGGTTTGGAAGATGGATGGGTTGGTAGAGTGTACTATATTTTAGTCAGGAGGAAGTCAGGACTGCGTAGTACTCCGCAGTATACCTGACTGAGTCAATGAAAGTCTTTGAAGCAGAGCATACTCCATCTTTCATTTCACTTTTGATTTCACCTTTTACCTACAGTACTACGGCTTAAGTTTGTGCATTCTCTTGTGTAGCTATTTTTAGGCTTATTTCCGGTTCTCCAACGAGAGGCTAGGTCGCCCCGGATAAAGCGATGAAAGATGTCGATCTAAACCGTTCAGAACCACTCTAATTTGCGTTGTCTTGACTTTCTAACCCTGATCTGAATTTTTTAATATTGCAATTAACGAAAGACCTTAGACATTGGTGAGCGAGTGCATAGGATTTCGTCCTGGCACTTACCTTATACCTCACACACTCGCCATCAACTCCTTCATCAACTGCGGATTAATCGCGAACCCCTCAAACCCCTCCAACTTCGTCTCATCACTTCCCCCGTGCTCGAAATCCGGCGGCGGCATCCCCTTCGCCATCTTAGCGTACTGCCGCTGCATGTACTCTTTATTAATCCGCGTAGTCGGCGTAGCCGCGATATAGGTAACGCTGGCATCCTCGGTACCGATATGTTCTGCATCCACCGCGTGGCACATCTGCACCCGTCAGCAATCTTGTCTTATACGACCCTGCCATAGCGAGGTGATAGGACGAACTCACATCCGCATGCCACCAAACCGTATCCCCCGCCTCCATCGCCGGCGCATGCAGCAGCGTCTCCTTCAGCCTCAGATGCGGATGGCTCCCTGAGCTCAAATACTGGCTATCATTCTTGAACGTGCCAGGAAACCAGTTCCCGTCCCCGCCAAACGTCCAAGCCTCCGCATCCATAACTTTTGCGCTATCCGCTGGCGGGCTGAAGAACGGCCGCAGCAACACGTACGCAATCTGCCATTTCACATTCGGAAACAGCCTGATCGTCCCCTCACGAGGAGCTGTTCGGGTCAGTGCCGTCCACCCCTGGAACGCGCGAAGCACAGTCGATTGCCCGTCGCCGGGATACAGCATCTGGTTCGCGTCTTTCCGCGCATCCAGATCGTAACAATCATGCTCTTCTGGGAGTCCCCCGAAGACCTTCCCATACGCACGGCGGTAGTCCGGGTCCGCCCACCGACACAAGCTCCCAGCGTCGACGTGCGGACCTAGGCCCAGAAACTGCGACTTCGGGGGTCGAATCCGCACGCCGTCAACATAGAGCAGGGGGTCGGCGGAGACGTCGGGGTCGGGTGTCCAGTGCCAAAGATTGTTGATCCAGCGCATGAGGGCGATCTGTTGGGGGTGCGTGCGGAGGGCGTTTTGGGGGGTGGAGTTGTAGAGGTTTAGGATGGAGGGGGGGTTGTCGGGCCAGCCTTTGATGAGGGATTTGTTGGTTGCGACGAAGGCCTTGAGGTTGGCGAATTGGGCGTCGACGGAGGGTTTGGGGATGACGCCTGAGGATTTGTTAGATTTCTGAAGGCTCTTCGATTTCTAGAGGTAATAAGGATACAGGGACATGAGACCTACCTCTGACAACGAAACACCCAACTCTCCGAATCTCAGTCTTCGTTTCCTCGGAAACCGAATCCGAAAGCACGTCTTGGATGCTGAGTATTGGTATCACTTCATTCCCCTTCTCCTCCAGCTCCGCCGTGACCTTCTCAAGCGCTGCACACGTCTTCACCCAACTCTTCCTCAGCGCCTCCTCGCCATACTCCTCGATAATCGCCTTCTTAGCCGCCGCATAGTCCCCATCAGCGTCATAAACCTCCGCCACCTTCTTATCAAGCACGTACTCCTTCCACGGCGGCCATTCAGTCGTGAGTCCAGGCATCGCAATCTGTGGTGGTCTGAGTCGTCTTGCAGCGCAGCGCTCAGTAGGGTTGCGTTGAAGCCTTATCCAGACCGCGCCACCTCTTGATAGACATCTCCTGCACCATACGGTAGAGTTGGCTTATGATATTTAGATCAGATCATGGCTCTCGGCGCTCCGCGCCGAGGGGTCCTTCGTGCGGAGTACTACGAGCGACTATCGAGCGGAGTACTACGAGCGACTATCGAGCGGAGCACTACGAGCGACTATCGAGCGGAGTACCACGATTATCGACCACCGAGCCGGAGTACTACGATCGACTAGCAGCTCTAGGGATAACAGTGTCGCTGGGGTGGTTAAGTAGACGTTCCCAGCGGCACCGGAAGGGCTCTTCCGGAGATCTTCGCTCATCCGTCCAATCACGAACCAGCAGGCGACGGACTTGTCCGCTAACCCTGTAATCTATGTAAAAGTTTCTGCATTAGGCAATTCGTGATAGTGGCTATAGCCAATCATATAGCATGTATTTATACGACGGGGTAGGACGATTTAGGTTGTTTAGTGCGACATGAAGCCGCGAGATCGCAATCTAGAGCCTTGACTTCAAGGTCCGCAATCTTCGGAAGCGGTATCAGATACCGGGGATGGAGATATCCGTGTCGAACTACCACAGCATAGTGTGCATAGGCACGATGCTTGGGATCCATAAAACGATCGAAGCCTGACCCTGTTCACTCGAGTGTCGCTTCAATCAATCGATCTCTATCGAAGAACCTCCTGCTCTCCTACAATCACCATGGCGGTTTCTAATCGACAGCATGTGTCTCGGCTGGTCCCTCGCAGCTCCAGAACCCTCACGGTACTGCTCATAGTAGTAGCTGTGGTGAACTCCGCGGTGAGATCAACCACTTCTAACACTCACGGTCCTAGCTAAACCCTCAAAAAGACGCTGGGGTTCGACAGCTCTATGATGAATGGCCTCAACATCTTGCCGCAGTATAAAGATTACTTCCACTTGAATGCCTCGACTAGAGGTCTTCTTACTGCTGGATCCTGGCTCGGCGGTGTCGTTGCGACGTTCTTCATGCAGGTAAGGACTTTCTTGTTACACCCCTAAGCTTCCGGATTTTTTCTTTCTTTCTCCTTCGTGGATTCGACTTTGTGACACCGCAGAATGGACTACTCGGTGCGATCAAGAATACTCAACCCCAACCTTCACCCACAGCGGTTCACTTACCTCCTCTCAATTCGCTCCATGCTTTCACTCCAATTCGATAAGACTCATTACTAACACCCAGCCCAGTGGGTCCCCGACCGCTTCGGCCGCAAACCCACCATCCTCATCGCCGCCTGCATCGGCGTCATCGCTGCCATCATCCAAGGCGCCGCTCAAAACACCGGCATGTTCGTCCTCGGCCGCATCCTCTCCGGCATCGCCGGCCAGCTCTCCGGCGGCGCCGCCCCGACGCTCATCGGCGAGACCATCAAGCCGCATTACCGCGGCACGATTCTCGGCATCTTCTTCAGCTGCTACTACGTGGGCAGCCTCATCGCGTCGGCGGTCAACTACCGCACCGTCGACATCGCGACGACGTGGGCGTGGCGCATCCCGTCGATCCTGCAATGCGTGCCCAGTCTGCTGTCGATTGCGTGTTTGCCGTTCGTTCCCGAGTCCCCAAGGTGGTTGGTGGCGAATGGGAAGCCGGAGTATGCGCGCGAGGTGTTGGCGATTGTTTATGAGAATAATACGGCGGAGACAACGGAGGTGCTTGAGGAGATCAAGATGACGTTGAAGTATGAAGAGGAGCAGTATCCCGCCAACCCCTGGAAAGAGCTGATTACTGGTACCCCGAATCTGCGGCGGCTGGCTATTATTGTGTCTTTCGGGCTGCTGATCGAGACGCTAGGGAACTTTGTGATCAGCTTTTATCTGGGGACGATGTTGACGCAGGCGGGGATTACGAATCCGACGACGCAGTTGCAAATCAACGTTATTTTGAACTGCTGGTGTTTCGTCGTCGCCGTCGTCGGTAGCTTCCTCTTAGACGTTGTGGGTCGAAGGAAGCAGACCTTGTGGTGTATGGTGGGGATGATTGCGACGTTTTATATCGCTGGAGGCCTTACCAAGTGTTAGTATCCAATCGTTTCACAGAGAGCTCCTCAACTGACATACCACAGCTTTCGGCGAGAGCACTAACAAAAGCGGCATCTACGCCACCATCGCCTTCATCTTCCTCTTCCAGGGCTTCTACTCCGCATCCATCACGCCAATGACTACCGCGTATCCCCCGGAAATCATGCCGTACCACACGCGAAACGCTGGCATCGCCGTCTTCAGATTCCTTGATTGCAGCACTGGTACGTTCCAATTCCTCAACCCGCATGTTCCGAGTGCACACTGACACTTCTTGTAGGCATGATGTACAGCTTCCTCATGTCATATGCTATGGACAACCTCGGATGGAAGTTCTTTATGGTCAACGCGTCGTACGACATAATCTTTCTTGTGGTAATTTACTACTTCTGGATCGAGACCAAGGGGATCCCACTGGAGGAGATCGCGGTGAAGTTTGGCGATATGGATCCGAGAGAACTGATTGTGGGAGAAGGGAGTGAGACAATGAGTGACGGGGGTGAAGGAAAGGCTACATTTGCGGATAAGGGAGGCGTTGACATTGGTGTGAGGCAGGCTTAGTGGACTATAGTCTGAGTTTCGGTGCTATTGTTGAATTAGTGCTGAGATGAGAATATGATCAATGAATGCTCTACCTTTGGCTTTAAGTCTGTTTCTGTAGCCGTTTTGACCAACATCGAATGACTTGAATGAAGTGACGTTGTAGGTGTGAGTTCTTTGCGATTCGTTAGAGCGGTAGGGTTAGAAAGAGAAATGGTTGATATTTCCGCTACAGGTAATATTATGAATGCCTGGGTGGGCTGCAATATATATGCACCGAGAGAACTGGGTAGGAAGAAGAAAATTCCGATACTAGAGAACCATAATGAACTCACTACCTTCAGGTCGTGAGATTGTGGAATAACAAACATGTCCCCGCCAAAACGAGGACACCCATGGATGAATACAAGAAGAAATCCATGCCGAAAAGAAAAATGTTCGGTGCTTGTTTGCCAAGAACCATCAAGGAGAACATTGCGAAACTGAGAACCAAGCACGAAAGCTGCCATCTCATGCGTACCAACCTGTAAGCCAAGCTCTCATTCCGGGGCTTCAGGGTTCCAAAAAATGCCCTCCGCATATAATCCTTGATGAAGTCCTTTTGGCCAGCCGAAATGAACGAATTCCATCTCTTCGCTCGAATCTCATAGTCCTCCAACTTCTCCCCACTTTTTGGTCTCGCCATCGCATCTAACCTTCGATTCCACATTACACCCAGCAATCCTTGCCCGTCATAGGGCTGCTTCCTCATAAACTCAGTCCACCTCCTCACCGTGCGCTTCGCCACTTCTTTGTCCACTTCAAACCACTCCCGATGTTTCCTCCCGCATTCGGGGCACACAAACGGCCTCAAACAATGACCAAGCTCGTCGTGCACTAGCTTCTCCGCGCGCTGATAGTTTGCAATCGGAAGCTGCTCCCTGCCGCCTTCATCATCAAGGTACACGACATCGAGGGGGCGCCTGCAGATTGCTTCGAGGCCCCGGCGGCGATCAGTGATGGTGCCTTTTGTCATGCCAATTTTAAAGAGCCCAGGAATAAGCGGATCGCGCATGATGTAGACGAACCCTTTGTCGGGTTTGGGAGCGGGGAGGGGTCTGCCGAGAGTGCTTATAATGTAGTCGTCGATAATGCGGGGGCTGAAGGTCTTGGGGACTGCTGGTTGCTTAGGAGACTTTTCGCTTGGTGTCACAGGCGCTTCTGTTGATGTGGCTTTCCGTGGTCTACCTCTTGGCCTTTTGGTGGGAGTAAAAGGAGAGAGGGTAAGATTGCTGGCCACTTCGGGGGTATCGTCTCTGGATTCTGTAGGTCTAGATTCCTCGGAGTCGGAGGCGTCATCTGATCGATCACTAGCAGATTGAATTGCGTTGAAAATGGTAGAGCTAGGTAAGTCGCTCATCTCTGCGGCAGTCTCGATAGACTCTACATCGGACCTAGTGATAGTGACATTGACGGCTGCCGAAAGAGGTCGTTCTATTGGCTCGGCCTCACTGTCGGATAAGTTAAATCCTCCTGGCAGTTGTGGTGCAGTGGTGCGCGGTCTCGTTAGGGCGTTTACCGTTGACGACTGAATGTCCAAAGGTCCTTGAATGGTTGAGACCTCCCTCCGACCCTTGTTCGAAGACCTATTTTGCGATTGTTCTGAATCCCCGCCATGGGATGAGCGCTCCGTTGGGAGAGTGGTGTTCTCTCGCAATGGCAAGTGCGGTTCACTGACGGACGACTGAGCGTGTGGTATCTCAAATGGGTTTTCCTTCTGCTGCGAGTTCGGTGGATTGGTCGTAGAGTTCCATCGGGGGCGTTTGCGGCTCGATGATTGCGGTAGTTGGTATACCCTTGTATTCGGAGGTGGTGGAAGGGTTGGAGATGGTGATCCGGGGAATATGGCCGTCCCAGGTTGGGTATTTGGAATAAGTGAAGAGCCTTGTGAGAATGGAGACGTTGGCGGTATGCTAGTTTGACTGGTAGATCTTGCTCTTCGAGGGGGTGTGCCGGGGTCAAGCGTCGTTTGAGTTCTTGTCGTGTCTTTGAAAGATGCGCCAAGAGAGCTACGAGAGGGCTTTGGTCTGCTACTCCGGCTCACATATCGAGTCGGTGGTGACACTCTTTCTGATTCTGCTCTGGTCGATTGCAACAAGTTGTGATCGGAATTTGCTTTTATTGGCGAGGGACTAGGGCGTCGTGGATGATGACTAGTGGCAGTGTCTGTGTTCTCAACCGATGGCAGTACTTCAGCACCAGAAGCATCAGTATACTCTTGATCGATTTTCCAAAGTTGCACCCTTTCGCGTAGCATGTAGATAACGCCTAGATTCTGATGCTGACCGCAAAGCCATTGGCGAATGACTGGTTCCTCAGGTACGTCGGAGATAGCGTCAAGTATTGACTGCGCATCTAATTGATGGTGAGTTTTGTTTCTGCAAGGCCCGTGTCCTATGAATGAGTAGAAGCATGTGTAAACCCCTAAGCCATAGGTAATTTCGTCGACGAGTTCGTTGAAAGCAGCCATTGTGCAAAGAAGTGTCCGAGAGATCCAGAAGCTATTCGAGTAAAAAGAACACCGCCTTCCGCACTATTTATCTGCAAATCTCATTTATACCAGCAGGAAAGTACCTCCCACGAGGCTGAGACTTGGAGGGCAGTGCTTGGGCTATATGCTGGCAGCCATACCGGGGGGATGGAAGACCACCTTCCTCTTCCCTTCAGCTACAGCGAGCTAGGCTAGCCGATTACAAGGCAGCCTTGCTCGTTGGAGTTCAAGGTGTTGCTGTGCCGCACGCATGGCCCCCGTTGATTAGCACCGCCTTGTCCCGCAAGTTCGGCATTCCTTAAGTAGAAGCGTGTGCATGAAATTCGACGCAGTTGAAGAGTCAGCTGGAATAATCCAGGGGGAAAAATCCTTCTCTGGCTGGCTGCCCAGTTGTGGTGGTTGCTGGAGATATGGTGACTCCCCTGCTTAGCGCGCGGTAACTGCGTGAAACGTGGAGCGTGACAACTTCATGCAGGTACGTTACTACCCAAACTTAAGACCAGTCGTTCAGTTCATCGGGCGTACCGGCAGGATGCTCTCAGGGCTGCTTCAGACGTCCCCTTGCAGTTGCGCGGTCTTGCTTACGGCCTTGAATTGTATCTTTTACTTCGATCCTGGACCGCTTTCGAAGGCGCGAAAACAAGAGGAAGTAACACATTGGTATTTGAACGCATGTAAGATGAGGATATTAAAGGATATTACCGAGCTAGATAAGATGGATGGGAGAGGTGGAGAGGTACGAAACGTTACTCGATGCGGGAGAACAGGACTAGATGTCTCTAGCGAAATGCCACTAAAATATTCTATGTGAAAAGTGGCATGTAGTTCTAGTAGTTCCACACCAGCACAAGCAGGTGTGGCTGGACAAGCACCCTTCATCAACTACTATCATAGCACCATCAACAGCAGCTTCATACCAGTAGAGTATATTTTCTTCCATCCTACTCCGTTTCCGCAATGTACTGCGTTTCTTTCCATGTCCCGACGACGCCGATTGAGATCTTTGCTCGCTCCTTCAGTAGCTGCCCCTCAAGAAGGACAACCCACATCTCCTTCACTCGTTTTGCCTTTTTAGAGATTAAAAGATAGTTCAGCGGGCGCGAGGCTAGAGACATCACTTACGCTTGAGCGTCTCATTTGTTTGATGGCTCGTCTGTCTGGTCTCTCCACCACTGTTGCTAGGGTCCACGTTCCCGTTCGTACCGTTTTGTCCGCTACCACCACCAGCTTTATGGGTAGTAGATGATGCACTCTCGTCGTTGTGGGTAGCATTCTGGTAGTCTTGCGTGGCTGCTTTGTCCTGCACCGTCGAGAATATGTCCCCAAGATTGCCTGCAAGATCGTTAGTGCGTCGTTATTTCCTGGTCACGTGAGCATACCGTCGTTGGAGATTGAGTCCAATAGCTTGGCCATATTAAGTGGATGGAATGGGGAGAAAAGTGTGGGATTGATTCGTTGAAGACTTAGGGACTTCGACGTTTGCTCTAGATGGGAAGAGACGTGAGCAGGTGAGTTTGGAATCTTCATTTATCAAGTCTAGCAATTAAAGAGGCAAACGAGAGGTCAACTTCGACCTACGAAGATCTCTTTAATGGTCTATTGCTGAACCAAAGATGGCAGCTAAAGGACCTACAGCACTGGCAGAGTACCCCAGGGCCGGCCCCCTCGAGCTTCGACTGCTTTGGCTAGACGTCTTTCTATAGAGCATCCGCAGACCGGTCAAGAGCAACCTCTAAGAGTCTCCGACTTCTACACCCACACCATACCCCTCTTCGATCGCCCCTCCAATCGCCCCTCCAATCTCCCTATAAGCGCCACGATCACAAGAATCAAGTTCAAGTCAGACCTTCCTCCATAACATAGATACAGTACTAAGTCATAAGTTTGGGCACACGGACACCCCATGGATCGGGCTCCACTCTTGCTCGCTCGACACCACTGTAAGGAGGACCCCAGCTAGCATGTCTTCGGCGAGCCAAACGGTAGTCCTATTTCCACTGTGTCGAATTTTACATCCTAGTTTGGGGTTAGATGGCCTATCGGAACACCCCAAACAGATGGAAGCAGTGCCCAAACTTATGGCCTGATACTGTACTATCCGCATTTCCACGCTAACAGACCGGCTCGAGCATCCTCCACCACCACATTATAACCAGAAACCCGGCGCAACTCGCCGTCTCGTTCGCCACGCACCGCCGCCACCTACTATAGCGTTAGGGAGAAAGCTCGACCTCCGCATCCTCCACTTTCCATGCCCTTCACCAGCTCCATCTCTAACACGCGCCTACCGCGCCCTCGGCTCCCTCCTCTATGATGGCCTCGACTCCATCTCCGTCCCTCCGCCCAGATTCTCCGGGAGCGCGCTATCGATGCTAACACCACTCCCTTAGCCCTTCCTTCTCCAGTAGCTAGTTGAGGTGCCGTCGGTGGCGTAGGTGGTGTGGAGGGGGGTTGACGGTAACGGGGTGATGGTGACGGGATGACGGTGACAGTGACGGAGTGACGGTGAAGAAGCCCACACGGGTACCCCAAGCAGTGGCAAGAGTCCCCAAACCTTTGTCGCAGGACTGTAATATCTCGGGAGTTCATCGTCATGGCGCTTATGGTCTTGGCGACCACTGCCTTCGTATCCACTATCTTAGTGTTCGCTGGCTAAGTGGTCGTCCTGTCCTGCTTCATCGTCTGGCAAAGCATCAGTCATGACCCAAGGCCCAAGAGGAGGAAATGGAACCAGTCTTTCCGGGGCTCCAGGAGCAGCAATTGTAAGATTGATAGCGGAGAAATAAAACTCTAAGAGATTCGCAATAAAAGTAATGAGAAATCCCACATTGTGGGCCGCTTAAAGTCCCTGATAAGATATTTAAAATAGAAAAAGGACAGTTTTGACACGCCCGATTCCTCGTTTCATGATCTTGGAACGAAGCCCCCTGGCCTGAGTGCCCCTGACTATGACCAAAACAGACTAATGTGCTTGGACCCCTTATTCTACCTTATGACGTTTTAGACGCAGCCTCGGCCATTTTCTCCAGCTCGACCTCGATCAGGCCCAATCTCACCACCAACACGCTATTGCTCATTACTGATGTAACCACCAAGAGATTCGCTCAGCATTGACGTTTCGTTTTCTGCGTTATTCTTCGTTTCTTCGACCTGCATCGCCTTTGGTCGCTGCTCTACCTTTTCGCCATGCCGCCTACCAAACGCGTGCTCCAAGAGGACTCGACCTCGACCTCGATCCTCAAGGACAAGCTCAATGCGCCACAGAACCCTGGTTCTGGAATGCGGGGGCGTCGCAATGGTGCATCTGCGCTTGCAAACGGGAGCTCGTTGAAGGAGGTCGTTTCGCAGGCGGATTCCGCGTCGACCCATGGCGGGCAGAATGGTCAATCCACTGTACGCTCAAAGCAGTCCATAATAACTTCAGCCCCTACTATTGGTCTCAACGGCATGATACTGACACGCATCCACCAATGCAGATGTCATGGGCCTCCGAAGACGCAGCGCTCCTGCAAAGCTACCGCCGCACATATCGTCTCGACGCTCCCTCGTCCTTCAAGAACCCCCTCAGTCACGTTGTCCTTTCGCATGGCATCGGCAAATACTCTCCTACAATGGCAAGGCAGAAGGCGAAGCGTAGGGTGCCGAAGGAGCAGCTGGCCATGTCGGTGCGCAAGAACTTCAACGCGCTGGCAGTGAATGAGTCGGAGGTTATTGTGGATCTGTTGTACAAGACCAAGACACAAGGCATGAGAGATCCCTCAAGAGACATAGTATCAAAGCTAACGGCCTGGTAGACAAAGCGTTCAGGGCACGCTTTGCTCCACCTTCCGCGAAGAAATAGTTGGGTGGATTGATTTTGGATTTCGATGGGCACAACGGCGCAGGCAAGGAGTACTTACATAAATACCCGGACAAAGTTTTGGCCAAGGACGTTTTCATAGCATGGCATTTGCATTCATTGGCGTTCTGGGCTGGGACCAGGAGTTTGGTACGGTAACTTGAGATATCCTCACTTTTCGTTAGGGCTGCATCGCCACGGGTTCGAGGGCGTACATGCAAATACATGAGTTTCACTCAACGACCATCATATCTTTATCACTTGCTTGACGATGTTTGAGGTGCTCCAGCTAGGATTACAGATTGCTTGAATAGTAACATTCTTCGCAGTGCCCATCTTTATAACACGGCAATTCATCGAATTTACCGTGACCTCGGGATGCCGAGAATATGACGCGCGACCAGCCGCTATACCCTTTCCATCGCCGCTCCCGAACTTTTTCCAAACTTTCGATACCTTTCTCCTCTCCAAACCAACATCCCACCCTCGCCCTCTCAATCGCCCTCTGTCCGACGCACTTTCGTCTTCACAATCTGGCCCATCTCCCACAATGAGCTTCGCGGCTCCGGCTGTGTCCATCACAGCCGCCCTGCCCGGGCGTCTTGCCTGCGCGACGCGGGCATGCCACCGACCGATATACGCTGCCTCAACACACAAATGGCAGCCCCAAAAACGTGCTCCCCAGATCCGGGTAGGCCTTCTCCATATCTTCCTTGATGGAAGGCTGATGCTAACATCGAAACAGTCATTCCACTCCACCCACCCTCGCCTCGCATCTCCTTCAGACCCCTACTCGACCCTCGGCGTCAACAAAAGCGCATCCGCTAGCGACATCAAGAAAGCGTACTACGGTCTAGCCAAGAAATACCACCCAGACACGAACAAAGACCCGGGGGCGAAGGACAAGTTCGCCGCGGCGCAGTCGGCGTACGAGGTGCTCTCTGACCCGAAGAAGCGGGAGGCGTTTGATGCGTACGGCCCTGCGGCGTTTGACCAGAACGGGGGCTTCAATCCTCATGCTGGGCAAGGCGGACCGGGGCCTGGAAACCCCTTCTCTGGCTTCGGTGGCTTCGGCGGCGGTGGTGCGCAAGGCGGGTTCGGGGGCGCGCAGGGGTTTGGTGATATCAATTTCGAGGATCTGTTTAGTGCATTTGGGGGTGCGCAGGGCGGGAGAAGAGGAGGGAAGAAGGCGAGGGGGAGCCCGTTTCAGGAGGAGGTGCTGGTGGGGGATAATATTGAGGTGCAGACGAATATCTCGTTCATGGATGCGGCGAATGGGACGAACAAGACGATTACGATCACACCATTGGTCAAGTGCGGGACTTGTACGGGGAGCGGGCTGAAGCAAGGGGCGAAGAGGACGGAGTGTAAGAGCTGTGGGGGAACGGGGACGCGGGTGCATGTTATGGGGGGGTTCCAGATGGCGAGCACGTGTACGACCTGCGGTGGTGCGGGAGTCACGGTTCCAAGAGGTGCAGAGTGTAAGACTTGTCATGGGGATGGTGCTGTGAGAGAGCGGAAAACGGTCACAGTGGAAATACCAGGAGGAGTGGAGGACGGCATGCGGTTGAGGGTCAATGGCGAGGGAGATGCTCCGCTGACGGGCCAGTCACCAAGTTCGAACCCGCACGCTGCGAATGGAGACCTATACGTCTTCATCCGGGTTGCGTCGGATCCCAAGTTCAAGCGAAACGGATCGGATATTCTCTACACGGCCGCAGTGCCACTCACGACCGCTATCCTGGGAGGAGAAATCCCCGTTCCTACGTTGGACGGTGAAGTCAAGATCAAAGTGCCAACTGGCGCGGGAACTGGAGACAAGATCACGCTGGCTGGGATGGGTATGAAGCAACTGGGCGGGCGGAGGAACCAAAAAGGAGACCTCCGCGTGGAATTCAAGGTCCAGATGCCAAAGTATCTGAGCGTCAACCAACGGACGATCCTGGAGATGCTTGCGGACGAGATGGGCGACAAGAGTGCTCACCGCATCATGAACCTGGGAAGCTTCTCGCAAGCATCGGAGAACGTGAAGAAAGACGTCAAGTCGGCAATGGGCGAGTCGCATAAGAACGAAGGCATCCTGAAATCCGTATGGCATGGCTTGACGGGGCAGCACAAAAGCCTCGACGCGGAGGACGACGCAAAGCCAGCCACAAACGAGAAAAAGAAAGACGAGAAAGCAAAAGACGACGAAGAGGGGCCGAAGAAGGCATCTAGAACGGGGTCGTAAGGGCCATCTCCCCTCTTGATTCAGCGAGCAATCTAATGTACCATATGCTATTGAGTGACGGCGTTTGCTAGAGGCAGTCCGTCTGCGGATAACAGGGACATTGGCAATTGGCCTGCATGAATTGGCGTTTCTTCCGCATCTGGAGTTCCTGTACTGTATCTAGAAGAGCGATGGTCAGTGTACTATAGAATGCTATCACCTCCCAGCCCTGCTCCCCAGCGCTTAATGCGCCCCCTGTATTCACCTGTGACTGGCTAGGTGTCATCCCAGCGCGCCAGGATGGCCTTTGCGGAGGCTTGAGGCGCAGGGCATCGTTAAGCCTCTGTTAGCCTTCAGGAGAGAGAAGCTTACTGGGGTGATTTGGGATGGTGCTCGAAGATAGAAGTTCTCCCAGCCGTACTATGCGGTTGCAGCCCAAGAGACTCGACGTTCCAAAGTTGACGGCGCATGCCCCACTCCGCTTCACCACCTTGACATCTGCCCACCGTGCCACCACGGATCCTCAGATCCTGTACATATCGACGCCCAGCATTTGCAGCAGTTCGGGGACGCGCTCTCTCCGCTACAGCTCCAGGACGTCCACACTCAGTGCCTCCATGTGCGAGTGCGATACCACCGACGGCCGCCCTTAAACGCCAGGACGCACCCAGCCGTCGCCCGCATCACCATCCCCGGCCTTGCATATTCGATGCATCTGCAATTCGCGACATAAGCCTCGACGATACAGACCTACGCACATTCACCGTTCACGTCGACACCACAGGCGGGGGAGTTGGAGACATCTGCCCACCAACAATCCACCTGAACTATCATTGGCAGCCTCCACGCCGGCCTCCTGCACGATTGCGGCGCTGTTTGTTCACTGGGACGAACACCACATCTGCCCGGTCCCCACACGATACATCACTGCGGACAGTCCCCAACAGCAGCACCGGCGGCGCTGACCCCGCCACGCTTCGGCCACCATGGCGATGCAGACGCCCATGATCTCGGTGCCGCTGAAGCAGACGAACGAGATTGACTGGATCACCCCGCTCAAGGCCTACATCCGCCAGACATACGGCGATGACCCGGAGCGGTACTCGGAGGAGTGCGCGACGCTGAACCGGCTGCGGCAGGACATGCGCGGCGCGGGCAAAGACAGCGCTGCGGGGAGGGACCTGCTGTACCGGTACTATGGCCAGCTGGAGCTGCTGGACCTGAGGTTTCCCGTTGACGAGAACCACATTAAGATCTCGTTTACTTGGTGAGTGAGCTGAGTAACATTCCAGAGAGTGGTGGGGTGGCTGCAGGGCGGATTCTTGCATTTGAACGGGAGCTAATATCATGGGTCTAGGTTCGACGCTTTCACGCATAAACCCACCTCCCAATACTCCCTCGCCTACGAGAAGGCTTCGATAATATTCAACATCTCCGCTGTGCTTTCCTGCCATGCTGCGCTTCAGAACCGCCATGAGGATACGGGCCTCAAGACTGCGTATCACTCGTTCCAGGCATCGGCTGGCATGTTTACGTATATAAACGAGAACTTTCTACACGCACCCTCGACAGATTTGAGTCGGGAGACTGTAAAAACACTAATAGCGATAATGCTAGCACAGGGCCAGGAGGTCTTTTTAGAGAAGCAGATATCAGATGGGAAGAAGGTGGGGTTGTTGGCGAAGTTGGCGAGTCAGGCTGCCTATCTATATGGCCAAGCGCAAGAAGGAACGCAGGACAATGTGACGAGGGCTGTCTTTGAGAAAGTGTGGTTGTTGGTCACTCAGGTAAGGACAGAAAGGAATGATATCGTGGCGGTTTGGCTAACAGTTGCAGGTCAAATTCAACTACATGTCATCTCTGGCCCAATACTACCAGGCTCTCGCGGATAACGACGCAAACGCACACGGAGTATCAATTTGTAGGCTCACCGTTTCTGAAAGCCATGCACGAGAAGCAAATCGGACCGCGAATGCTTTCCCAACCTCTGTTCCCACCAATTCGAACCTCACATCGGAAACCGGCATATTTCTGGCAGATATGACGAGGAAGCATCTTCAGAACATTCAGGAGAAAATTGCGGAGTTCACGAAGGACAACGACTTCATTTATCATCAGGGTGTTCCGACGGAAGCCTCGCTCTCCCAGATCCCGAAACTACCAGCGGCGAAGGCAATCCCGGTCAGCGAGCTGTATCAAGGTCAGGATATACAAAGGATAATTGGACCCGACATTTTCAACAAGATTGTACCCATGGCGGTGACGGAATCTGCGAGTTTGTACGATGAAGAAAAGGCAAAGCTGATAAGAGCGGAGAGCGAGAAGGTGGAGATTGCGAACGACGAGATGGCTGCAAGCTTGGACTACCTGAAGCTTCCAGACAGTCTGAACATCCTGAAAGGTGGCATGGATCAAGAGATGATGGTGGACGACGAGTTTCGGAAATGGTGCGAGGATCTTGCTGGCCACGCCCCTTTCACAAACGCATTTGACCAGCTGAGCACGGACAAGTCCGAGATAACGGCGATGCTGGACCACAGCATGAAGCAGTTAGACATGGAGGAAAGCGTGTGTGAGAAGATGCGATCGAAGTATGGGCCGGAATGGACACAGCAGCCAAGCTCGAGGCTCACAGCAACTCTACGGAGTGACATCAAGAACTACCGGGGGGCGATTGACGAAGCTAGCACAAGCGATGCTCAGCTCTACAGTACTTTCAGGCAATGCGAATCCGACTTTGATGAGATGCGGTCGGCTGGGGAGACGGATGAGGCGGACGTTCTCTACCAACGTGCGATGATCAAGGCTGGCGCGTCAAGAGGTAAAGGGAAGGGCGCCAGTCCGTCGTCTGCCGAAAACCTCATCGACGATGATTTTGAGGGCGGTCCAAGTGTTGCCGAGCAAATATCGCATGTGGAAGACTTGCTACGGAAACTTAATCTCATCAAGAAGGAACGCGCTCAGGTTCTGAAGGATCTCAAAGACAAGGTAGGCAGAACGAATCATGGTGGGAGGTCATGGAAGCTAACAAGTGTATAGGTTCACAGCGATGATATATCGAACCTCTTGATCCTCAACAAGAAATCTATATCGAATCAGGAGACTCAGGTCTTCAAGGCCGAGCTCGAGAAGTTCAGACCGCACCAGAACCGATTACTGCAGGCGAACCATAAGCAGACCTCTCTGATGAAGGAACTCACCCGAACATACAGCGACCTTCTACAAGATAAGCGAGTGCGTTCAGAGCAGACGAAGTACGAGGCGTTCTCACGGCAGCGATCTTCCGTCATGACCAAATACCGAAAGGTCTACCAGTCTTTCAACGACCTCATTGCCGGCCTTCTGCGAGCCCAGGGTTTCTACTCGGAAATGAAAGAGACGGTGGAGAGCCTCCAAAAGAACGTTGATACCTTCGTGAACAACCGACGATCAGAGGGCGGGCAACTCCTCACCAAGATCGAAAGCGCACGAAGCAGCGGTGCCGGTGCCCAAGCAGATCGCGAGCAGGAGAGGCTAAAGGAGCTAATGGAACGGATGTCAATGGAGCCACCATCCAGCTCGCCTTCCAACGGCGCCCCAAAACCAAAGCAACACCGCCCCCCAGCAATCCAAACATCCCTCCAGCCCAAAAACAGCACCGGCTTCGCCCAATCCGCCCACCCCCATTACAACCCCGCCGCCTCTCCCCCCATCACGCCCCGCTACCCCCTCACCGCCCTCCCAGGCGGCCACCAACAACAACAACAACAACAACAACAACAGCAAAACCAGTACATGTCCCCCCAATCCTCCTACCAACAGCCCCAAAACAACGGCTTCCAACCCCCACCCCCGCAGCACCGCGAATCCTACCCCCGCAATGAACCCTACAACCCAAACGCCTACGGGCCCGTCTCGCCCCCCGCGCACCAGCAGTACTTCTCCCCGCCGCCGCCGAACCCCTACGGCGGGCCTCAGAGCTCGGCGTACCCCAGCGCGACGACGCCGAACCCGCATCAGCAGACGCATGGCCAGAGCCAGTATGGCGCCGCCATCCCGCCCGGGTATGTGCCGCCGCCGCCGCCGCCGGGCCCGCCGCCGAGCCAGAGTCAGGACTTTGGCGGGTTTGGCGCCAGTGGGGGGAATTATCCGAGTGGGCCGGGGGGGTATGCGCATGATCCGAGGAGACCGCCTCAGGGGGGGCAGGGGAGTCAGGGGCAGGATCCGTGGGCGGGGTTGGGGAAGTGGGCGTAGGGTTGTAGGGAGGGAAGGCTAGAGGAGAGGGGAGAGGTGTATATGCAAGCTAGAATTGTGAGCATTTTCTGTTTTTGATTGACTGAGCTGGGTTTCTTTTCTATGGGTGACTTGTTTCTTTGATGCTGTTGTGCGCTTGTGGGCTGTTTTTACTCATGGCGAGGAGTTTGTTCTTTTTCCAATTGGATGAAAGAAGAGAAGGGGGAGGAGGGTTGGGGATGGATAATTAGGAGCGGGGGTTTCTTTTGCATCTGGGTGGAGGGAGGGAGGTGGTTGCTAGATTAGGGGAATGAGATATTCGTTGTCCCTGCATCTCCCGTATATGGAGAGAAAACAGATGGCGATCACGAGGTGCTGTATCCTGAATTAGAGAACTGAAAGGTACCTCCTATGAAGTACTAACCTCTTCCCAGATCTCCTCCCGCTTCCTATTGAAGTTAGTTAGCGCTGTATACTTTGTTTGTAAGCAAAATAACGCCAGCTTAACTTCGGCTTAACTTTCCACCAAGGCCGCACTACGATAGTTTATACCCACCTTCAGCTTACTTTTCTATTGTAAATAGGACCCTGTGTAGTATAGGATAGTACTGTCGATGACTCTACGTACTCTATAGTATAGCTAACGTTCACCCCCGAACGAGATTCACCCACCTCCGGGAATTGGTGGAGTGTTTCGCGAGCAGATTTGGTCACGCTTAGAAGAATGTAGACTAGCGGATCGGCCCCCGAAATCCTCACCAATCCTCGGAAGTGGGTGAATCTCGTTCGGGGGTGAACGACGTTAGAGGAGATTAAAGTGCGATTGGAGCGGCTCCGGCTGGTGATTGCACCGCAGGCAAGGGTAAAATCCTTGTTACTTATGTATGTAGGGGGCTCTGGGCTCTGTCCTTTTCCATGCCAGTGAGTCTGCAATGGACCAAGAGGCTCGCTCCTTTATACACAACACCATATCCTTTGACGTGTGGCTCTGGCTGACGGCGGACGTATCGTATGCGCGTGGTCTATGTCACGATGGCTGCGCATACGGACCCTCTTCAGGTCCCCTTTTCACGCGATACTGGGGACAGCAACACGCAGATAGTGCAAGTCGCCGAGCTAGAAGTCCACAGTCTCTTTGCCAGTCTAATCAGTCCCAGGCTCGAAGAGTACCCCACCCGAGCATGCTCTCCCGGCGACAGCAAGGCAGACTCTTCTCGAGGAGCGGACACGAACACGAGTCGTAGCGCGAGATCGACACACCTTGAGGCGACGAACACGCGGACCTTGCATCTCAGTTCACTGGCTCGCTCGGCCATATCTGCATGGTCACGAATAAACTCCGTGTCTGTGATGATATGGGTGGCTTCATTAGGCTCATTCATTCTGGTCCTCAACCTTGTTTTCCTCCTCGTGGTTCTATTCGCAGGTCCGAGAGGCGCAGACGGATTTCGAGCTTTAACAACCATCCAGCTGTACAGCTGCCTCGCGTTGGTTCCAGGGCCTGCAATACATCATCAACATATTCGCCATGGCTCTCCTCGGCGCTTCGAATTACTGCATGCAGCGCTTGAACGCCTGTACTCGGAGCGAGATAGATCTGGCCCACCGCAGAGGATTGTGGGTGGAAATTGGGGGTTCAAGCATACGAAATATACGGTTCATGCCTTGGGAACGAATTCTGCTATGGCGCATCCTGGGAGCCAGCAGTCTGCCAATCCATCTCCTATGTGCCACTCTCTCCCTCTACGTCAGCCCCACCTACATCGCGGTTTCTATACTGACCTAGGGAGCTAGGTATAATTCCGTCGTGTTCGAAACCACAGGCGCTAACCTCTATCGCACTGCCGCTGTCTCTTCGCACTTTATAGACTCGGCCAACCGGACATTGCCCATACCTGCTGATTTGAATTATCCGGATTGGGGCGACATTGACCTAACCAAGTACAAGAACATCTCGAATCGCCACTGCATATCACGGTACTCCGCCGCGACCAAAAGGGAAAGCATGTCGTACGTGACTGAAGGCGGTTCTGTCGTCGCGGTATCGTCTGATCCGCGTCTCGCGAGCGACGATTTGTTTGCGTAGTTACGGCGATTCCTCTGAGGACGATCTGTGGCGGAACTTCACCGTATCCATGGCAAACGCAACGACGGCGACTAGGCACGGCCTTAGCTTCCTCGATATGGGCCAAGTGCCCCTTGGGAAAGCGTGGGTCTGTTTAGATCAGATCGTGATTGGAAAAGGGGGCGCTTCCGTCGGCAAGTGCAACATGACGGCCCTGGGAACGAGTTTGGCGCGCTGGACATTGAACAGCCATCGCGTATCGTACTGCTTGTCGGATCCGCAGCCCGCGCGATGCACAGTCCAGTTCAGTATCACTCTCTTGTGGTCGTGGTCCTCTGCAACGCTTTGAAACTACCGAGTATGGTGTATGTCATACTCCGCGTTCAGCGCAGGCCTCTGACCACAATTGGCGATGCCATTGCTTCTTTTCTCGCCCAGCGTGACCCCATCACTGCAGGAAAATGTCTTCTGAGTAAGGCTGATGGCGCAGAGCGAACCGGCCCTAACAAACGTGACTAGGACTGGGCCCAAGGCGTAGCAACGACAGCGCGTTAGATAGCATCGAAGTGTTAGTTGGAAACGTTGGTTAATTAATCCTTTCAGCCGTGTAAGCACCGTCGTTGCCATTTCCGTTATGGTTGTACACACATAGCCTTACCAGCCTAAATAACCACCCAACAATTTTCCCGCTGTCCTAGAAATGCTCCTCAGGATCCACTGAAAGTCGCTGCTAATCCTTTATCACAGCGCCGGTCTGACATTAGCCGCGTCAATTGTCCTCCTAGGATCTAGGTTCCACGCCAACCGCCTCGGCAGCTCCCTCCATTCCTCCACCGGCTTCGACCATTTCGTTTCGGCTCCGACGCCATCGCAAGCGGCGAAGTCGTGCACAACTTCAACCTCTCGGTAGCGTAATTCGTCCTTCTCGCCAACACGCCCCAACTCCTGGTGTCTCTTTCCTACTTCCACCTCAACGCAATCCTCACCGCCATGTGCACCGACTCCGAGTGGGCTAGCTTTGCGACAAAACGAAAACCTGTCCGTGTGTCCTCTCCACACGGCCAGCAAACCGCCACCTACTGGCTGCAGCTGCCGTACAGATACGCCATACCGTTGCTCCTCGTCATGACAACGCTCAACTGGGCTGTCTCACAGAGTATGTTTTTCGCGTCGACGCTGTACTACCGCGACGGGCAGGAAGTACCCGAGTTGTCGGCGCCCGTGCTCGGATGGTCCGCCAGCGCGGTCCTGCTCGCTGTTCTCCTCGGCGGGGCGGGTCTCGGGGTCTGCGGGGCCCTCGCGGTCTTCCAGCGCTATCCCCCAGGACCGCCACTCGTTGGTGGCTGCAGTCTTGTCATATCTGGCGCGTGTCATGCGCGACCCGACGATGAAAACATCGAGTTCGGTCCGATGCAGTGGGGTGTCATCAGTGAAAACGGAAATGGGACCAGTCACAGCGGGTTTGCGAGCGGGGATGTGCGGATGCCGTATCACGGTCAGATGTGTGAATAGATGGGTGGGTTTGTTGGTTGAAGGCGCTTGGCTGTGGAGAGAGAGCAGAGAGAGCGGGACTGAGTTATGGAAAGGATGGAAGGGTATGCGGTCGGTCGGGAACGATTTTCGAATGTGCTTTCTTTATTCGTGGTTGGGTTTCTCGTGCATCTGGGGGGAAATGCTGTTAACGAATACAGAGGCCTGGATCTGGGCTGTTAGGCCAGGGAAGTGGCTGGAATCTGCTGGGACGCTAGTTGTCCCTATTGTAGAGTCGGGTTAATACTTACTTAGCTTGCTCGGGCTTGCGTAGGCTGCCAATATGGAAGACCGGATCAGGACGATGCAGCCACAAGCTCAAGTTCGCTTAGGCACTGCTCAATGTTATAACACCCTGTATTCAATACGTCCCAGGAGTAAAGATTGGCGCTGAGGTTAAGAGAGGCCAGTGTCTGGGACGATTCTTGTACGGCGGGAGCACAGTCATTGTGTTGTATCCCAGGGGAGAGGTCGTGCTGGATGAAGATCTGCTTAAGAACTCTGTGGAGCTGGGCTGCGAGACTCAAATGAGAGTCGGCTGGAGCGTGGGTAGGAAGTAGTAGCTGATGTAGACATCGTGCCGTTGCGAATCATCCGGGATCAGGTGAGAACAGCTCGAGATTGTTCCAGAGACGCAGCAACCACATCGTACTCCTTGTTAGCGTTGGCAGGCATTTCTGCAGTCCTATAGAGCTGACCATCTTGAAAGAAATCGCCACAGGCACGAATAGGACGTGGAAGTGGAAAAAAGGTGGATCGAATTGGCTGGCTCGCATGATACTTCTGTTTAATCAGAGAAGGAAAAGACATACCTGAGTGAGCATGCGAGAACGTTGGCATCATAACCAGATTTCGGAGAGGGTGTTGAGGAATGCTAGACAGCGGTAAACGTATAGAACTCGAGTATAGTTTTCGAGTTGATTTGCTCGGACTAGACTACAAAGAAAGCTGACTGGCAGAGAAAAGGGGTATTGGAAGCCAAAATTTTCCCACATAGACGCCGTATTGAAGTCCCCTAAGCATGCCTGTGATACGTAGGCGGGCAAGGAGAGGACTTAGTGATCTGCGCACCGCACCACGCGCAGCCTACGATCGCAACATCCCCCTTGCGCGTTCCGAGGCCACAGCACGCGCAATGCGCGATCCCAACCTCCGGATTCGCCTTCCTATCGCACTCACAAGCCAGGGCCTTCTCCTCGTAACCGTTGAACCGCAAGCTCAACCCGGCATTCACCAGCAACGCTTCCTCGGGCGGGAAGTACGCCCTGTACTCCTCGTGATACTCGAGATGGGGCCGGCGTATGACCAAGTTCTTCTTGTAGTGATCGCACAGGCGCTTCAGGCGCTCCATGTCGTCGGTGCACACCTTCACGGCGCACGACATGCAGTGCCAGCGGTCTCGCGCCGTCTCCACAGAGGTGCATAGGCAGGGCTTCGAGGCGGAGATGGAGGTGGCGTAGGGGCAGGCTTCTTCCATGCAGAAATCGCACATGTAGAGTTCGCGCGCCTGGGAAGGAATGCGGTCGAGCTGGAGGGATTCGTAGGTGCCGCGGCAGGCTGAGGATGATATGTTAGTAGATGCGCTGCAGATATTGGGGTTGGTGTAGAGGTGAGTTTGTCGCTATGGTTGGTTCGAGGGTGAGACACCTCCAACGGTGGCAGCGATATGGCAAAAGAGCGTACGTACCTCTGCAAACCATGGCGTTGCACCTCTCGCAAGGCTGCGCATCGAATTTCTTGCAGCACTCTATCGGCACGTACGTCGGGAGTTCTTCGTGCAATTCGCACGCCTCCAAAGTGTCGCGGAAATGCTTTCGATTGTCGCAAGCTGTGAGCATACTCAAGCCGCGGAGCGTCATATCGGTTGTGTTTGTGCATTCCCATAGCCCGGAGCTGGATAGGGCGAGGTTCCTCAGCTCGTTGGTGGTGAGGTATGACGCAACGCTGCGGAGGATAGGATAAAGGGAGAGGACATCGATGAGGTTTGTGCCCTGCACTTTAGGCGCAACTCGAGTAAGAGAAGCTGGATTGGAGGGAGGAAACATTGTGGATGATGGTGGGGTGGCGCTATCAGAGGTACCCCAGTCCTCGTCGGTGATTGTAGAAGAGGTCATGTTGGTATCGGTGAGATTCGCAATCGTGGACGGGGATGGGTCGCCGAGATCTTATACGCGGTGTCGGAGGCAGCGTTCAGATCTGCAGAGACCGTGAACTGTCTTAGGCAGCGTCAAAATCCGCGATGGGCTGGACGTCATTAGCAGGGCGCATCGTGAGTGAGTGGAAATATCAGGGTCTAGTCACCTCAGCGACGGCACGGCAGTACATTAAATGCATCCAAGATTGAAGTGAGAGTTGATCTGACGGTGTCTCATTCTATCATATTGATGGTTTTGATGTTGATGTAGTAAGAGAAGGCGTAGCGCCAGCACGGAAATATCTGAGGACGTCGTTGCCAAGCATGATGTAGCGACAAGTTCAGTAACCAATCAGCGCCAGGATAAGAAAACCCGGCCCTCGACCAATGAGAGGTCGCCCCAATTTTTGATACACTCGTAGATTACCGTAAAGAAATGCCCAAACGTAGAAAGAGATCATCACGTGACTTGGCACGTGCAGGGGTATGAGTAATAGGGTGAATCCAAATCCGAATCCTCGAGACCGCCAACCAACAACGCCAAATATGCAATCAGAAACAGTGGAGGGTGTAAAGGACTACTTCTGTGTAGGATACTGCGCACCTGCAACAAGCGCGGCGTCGGGGTGCTGCTTGCGCATGTGTCGTGTGAAGTTGTCCTTCCGACTAAACCCTTCAGTGTTCGAGCATCCCCTTATGGGGCAATGCATCTTTTGCTGCGGGACAGGCAGTGTGCGATGGGTGCGCTGGTGACGGTCGAGGTCTTTGGGATAGATAAAGGCCTCGGAGCAGGAGAGGCACTTGTACGGCCGCTCGGATTTGTCGAGATGCAACTTGGTATGACGCCTGAGGGGTCAGCGGGGAAGTTAATGATCCAAGATGGAGAACCTTACCTTAAATCACAATGCCGGTCGAACGCCCTGCTACACTCTGGGTGCAAGCAAGGGAAGCCGCCTTTCTTAGGAGCACTCCGTCTTTGCGTTGACGTAGAGATTCGGTCTCCTGGGTTGTACAAGGTTCCCGTCCACGCCTGCACCGTGCTGTGCTGTATTGTAGTTGATTCACTATTCAACTTTTGCACATGATCATGTTGGAGTGGTCGGCGGCTGTGGTCGTTGTGGTATGCGGGCGCCTGCTCAATCTGGTTCTGCTCTGGGTCTCGCGGCCATTCTGGGTGCATGAGGAGATCGTTGGCATTAATAAACCTCTGCATGGGAGGAATTGCCTAGCGGTACTTAGTAGGTGTAAAGCAAGAGCAGTCGGGCATACTAACCGTCAACGGAGCATAGCGGTGCCTGCAGTAGAGGAGCGAAAAACCGCAGAGGTCGCACAGCGAGGAGAGAATGCCTTCAGGGTCGGGATAGAATGAGTCCCCTGACCCCACCGGCAGACTGGACTCCATGTGCGAGCTCTGTGTTGCTGTGACTAGGTCTAGGAGGAACAAAAACGTGAAGAGAAGCAGGACAAGATTTCCCATGATAATGTGGGTGCTGCCTTAAGGGCGATGAGGGCAGAAGAAGGCGAGGGCGTGTGCAAAGGGCGTGGAGGAACTAGAATGTAATTAAGACGGAACGCTGCGTAAGTGCTTCGACGTGGTGTTGTGTTAGTCGTTGAGGTAAGTTCAGGGCGAACAAAGTTGGGATGGATGGATGGGGTGTGTGTTCAGCGGGCGGCCGCCTGAGGCAAGCGGCCAGTGCCATCATCGCGCTGGGGCGGAGCAGGGTGCCCCCCACGGAACTCTGGTCTATCTTGAAAGTTCTATCGTTCTGAGGAGTTAGCAAAGGGCGGAGTTCGAAATACTGGATGGCGACGAGTGGAGTGCAGGAGAGACGGCTGCGAGTCGACGGGGAGGTGCATCAAGGGGCGCGCAATCTCCATCCCGAGGATCGCTCACCCGTGTCGAATCCGTCCTTGGCGAAGGCGAATTGAGGGGATGAGAGACAGTCACGGGATACGAGCTTTGAATGCCCAGGGACCCGTTTCGATGTTGCTGGATGAGGAATTATAGTTGGGAAGATACAAGAAACTATAATTCGAGAATTCAACTTGAACAAACAATGAAACGATTATAATCACGTGGTAACGGGCATGAATCGTGTCAGCCAATCAGTCTCTCGTGACAACTCACCAGGCTGAAGCCATTGATCCATGACACCAGCATCGTCGATGTTCGAAACTGGAACTTGAAAGGCTCCATGAACCAGACTCTTCGAGTATCTCTTTGCACCCTTGGGTGGTGATGATAAGGATTTGAAGAAGGGAGAGATTGACGATGAGTTGTCGAACAGAATTCGAAATCAAGACCAAGGTGTAGCAGACAGAACAGGCTGATACGAGAAGACAGACAAACCCCGGCGGAAGCCCATATTTATACGGACGCGCTCGTCCCGCAGACTCATCACAATCTGGGCCAGGCAACACAGCCCTGTGCGCTTGATATCCCACCGAAACGAAGCGATGCAAGGTTGGTGATCTCATTGCGCCCAATGGTACCGAAATGAGGCGGTGTGTTCCTGGTCCCACTCCAATCATGATGGGGATAGAAAAATTACTCTGGAACCTAAAAACCTAAAACCAGTCGGCATATGGATGGCCAAACCGAGGGGCCCAATGTTTGCTTTCGATGGATCCGAGGGGCCACGTGGTTGGTGGTGAGAGCTCTGGAGCCCAATGCGGACGCATGGGCGAGGAGGCCTTGAATCAGGCTATCGAGAAGCAGATCTCTGACTGACCTCTTTCCCACTCGATATTGAGGAAGATTCGATCATGTTTTCATGAAATCCTTTGCGTAATCAAATTCGAGTTCGAGGAAGCCTTAAATTAGGCTGTCGCAAAGTGAAGCTCTGACTGAGTAATTTCACGTTCGATTTCAAGAAGCATTCCGTCCTTGCTTTCATTATTTTCTTTTAATAATCATATTCGAAGTCGATCAAGCCCTCAAATAGCCTGTCGAGAAATGGCTCAACCGAGCTACAAATACGTCTCTGGATGAGCTATCTCCCAATCGCTTTCAGAAAGAGTTGCATCGAGCCTTTCACCAGGCTGTCGATACAGTTTTCTGATCGAGCTTTCTCGCAATTAACTCAACCGGGCATTGAATCGCGCCTTCCGCCAAGCCTTCCCACACACTCATTCGAATGCGCTATTATCAAGTCGGTACAGACGCCAAACTCGACTCATCAGACCAAAGATTGCTTCGAAATCATCCAATCCATATTCACCCCATCTCTATCATTCCAGAGGACGCTTCTCCAGGTCCAATCTCGCTTATTCGCTCGTTTCAAGCTTGGAGATCTTCTCAGCCCATTCCAACCCCAATATATCATGTAGAAGACGCGTCCAGCATGACAAAGTTGGGTCACTACGAAAGAGCAAAGCGTTCACGTCACTGAGTCCGCTATCATAGACCTCAGTCGAAACCGGGACATCCGCTTAGTAATGGGGCATGAGGGTTTTCCATTGCAACACCATCTTTGTCCAGAGGCGGAAGCGGGCCCCAGTGCCGTCTGCCCGCAATCTCCCCAGGAATCCATAATTCTGATTGCACGGCATCGCAGCGTGATGGATGCTTCTGTGAACTGGCAAAGTCCGATCAGCGTACATCATCTATCGACAAATTTAGCCTTCAAAAGGGTAGCACCTACTACCGTTAGGAATAGGACCTGCTCTTGGACGGATGTCTATAATTATGTGGGCGATTGGTCAGTGCTCGGGGTGAAAGCAGGCATGTGGTGTACCTCCTAGGGTAGATTAAAGAGCAGCAGCTTCGCCTAGAGGCCAGCTAGAAAGCGATCATTTATCCGCAGTGATTTGAGGGCTTCCGTGCGTATAGTAAGAGCGGCTAGCGCTGAGCGCTTATCTGAGGCGAATGGAGCTTTAATCGCGAGCACTCCTCCATTATGCGACGTCGCAGTAGGCGAGAGTCATCAGAAAGCCGCCGCAGCGGGACGCTTGGGTAGAGCCCTCCATATTGGATTCCCGTCTCCTCCTGGGCTGTCTGACAAGCCTTTATGATCCCATCTGCTTTCGCTGCGCCTTATGGTGGGATGTTCCTATATGACCTCCTAGGAGCATTAAAGCAACACTCGTGGCGAAAGTTTCATCTCCTGCATTTCGTCCTGTGCTAGAGCGTCCTTCTCGTCACTAATGACGTGGTTGACAAATTCGATGAATTCGACGCTGGAGGCTTGGACACGGACGGCTGGTCCGGCTCTTCATCAACGTTATGCCCGTCGGCGGTGACCTCCGAAGAGAGCTGACTTATCCGTGGGCTCGAATGAGTTTCGTGTGATGTACGAGGCGTAGCTTCGTGAGATGTAGCTTCGTGAGATGTATGGCTTCTGGTCGATGGGCGAGATTCCAGTGGAGTTTCTGGGTTCGATCTGTACCCAGCTCCGTCTATCATAAGAGAAAAGACTGCTGTGTTTGGGAGCTGCTGTTGAATCCGATTTATGGATGCTCTGTTTAAGACATATTTTGCCTTGCAGTAGCCCAGCCACTATGTTGTCGTAGAACCTCTTGCCCTTGTCTTGCCTGCGCAAATACCTGCCGCTGTATGCTACTCCTCGCGATATTCAGCTCAGCCTAGTGCTGGGGGAAGACGATAAAGTTAGGGACCGGGAAGCGATAAACATGTGACGTGAACAGCTACAAAGACAAATTGGAGCTTCGAATTATCTGCAAAAATACTTGGTACCGTAAAGGCGCGGCATCAAGGCACTTGATGAGTGTGAGCGAGCTTCCACCGGTCACAGGAGAAGGGATGAGGCTGACACATAGCAAAGTCACGTGCCGCATCGGAGCATCGCCACAGAATAACGGCGTCCCGGGCAGCCGACTGGGGCCCAATGTTACCTTTGTACTTCCTTCCTTGGCGTCAGCCCAGGTAAGAAGGACCCGAGTAAGGCTCTCTTACTTAAACATGGGATGAGAAGCTCTCCAAAAGCTCGGCGTTTATATTCTCATTAGTCCAATTGCTTTGCTAGAATAGCCCTTCGTGGACGCGCCCTGAATCGTGAGTCGTTCTTCCGACTTCCATTATCTGATCTTCGTTCTACCCACCAAAGCTTCCAAATGTTTGGATTTTTTGAAAGCGCTCCCCCTTCATCGCCTCCAGACCCTGCTAAGCTCATACTTCAACCCAATGAATGTCAATCTCTTACCCTCCCCGACACGCGCAACCTTGGTTTCGCAACATACGGCTCAACAACCCCCTCCGATCCCGTGATCTTCTTGTTCCACGGTCTCCCAGGGTGCCGCCTCGTTGGTCGTAGCTGGGACAAGCTCTGCCAAAGAATCGGTGCCCGCCTCATCACCATCGACCGGCCCGGCTGTGGACTTTCAACGCTTGCCGACAGGGGACTCACCGACTGGCCTGACGATGTTGTGAGCCTGGCAGACCATCTTGGAATCAAGCGGTTTAGCGTACTAGGGGCCAGTGGCGGCGGACCCTTCGCATTAGCATGCGCACGTTTCATTCCGAAAGAGAGACTTCGAGGCACGATTGTCGTATGCGGTATTGGGCCCATAGAAGCTCTGCTAGACGCAGTGCCGTTTCTCTCTTGGCGCTTGATGGGCCTAACGAAATGGTTTCTGAAAGTTGCGGCCCGCTATCTTGTGCTTCCCTCTCTTATGCGCCCCTACCGCACTGGAGACCCCTCACGTCTCAAACGCGTGCTAGAGGACCAGGCCACAACCCCGGAAGAGAAAGCACAGTTCAATGATGAGAGCAGCGACACCAATCTCGACGATGCTGTCGCAGGACTCCTTGAGGCTTTCAAGCAGGGCACTGGGGGGTGTTATCAGGACGGAACTGTGCTTGTCAGAGATTGGGGATTTGACTTGAAGAATGTGGACAGCGAGAAAGTGTGGATGGTGCATGGGGACCAGGATGCTCAAGCCCCCGTGAAGGTCGCGCAGTGGATAGACGAACGGCTGGGCGGGGGGAGGTTGAGGGTTCTAGAAGGGGAGACACACTTCACTATTTGGAAAAATCATTCTGAGGAGATATTTCGGCAGAGTGCGGAGGCGTAAAACATGATATGGTTCTGATGTCGCCTGGGATGTATATATAGCAACTCTGCTCGGCCATAGGGATTTGGCGCCCTTGCACCAAACAATGAGACCTCTTCTCACAGTTTTTACGAGGTTTCTCAAACGTACGGATGCTTGCCACCATGAACATGCTTAAAGTGACTTCAAGGCGTTCGCGTGGTCCTGGGATACCTCAATCCCGCTCAATAGAGAGGCCGTAGAAGACAATTCAAGGTCCCGGCCCGGTAGAGATTGACGACGTTCAAGGCAAAGCGTAGGGAATGCTAATTTGCAGGGGTATCATTCGAAGGAGTAACGAGGAAAGGTATCTCATGGCTATTGGAATATTGAAGATGAAAGAGGTTCGAGGTTATGTAACCGTCCACGTACCGTCTGATATCGATCCGGACGAGATCGATCGCCAAGCCAACCGATACATGAATAAGCGGTGTGGCGGCTCATGATACTTTCAATTCGCAAACGAGAAGTCTTTAATGGGACAATGCCTAGCAGATATGTGTGGACTTGGTGTATGTTCAGGGTGTTTCGCGAGCGCGAGTCATGTCACCGCCCGCTCCTCTCCATGGCAACACGCTTGGCCAGCGCCCGACCACAAAGAGGTCGCAGCTCGCGGGGAGAAACACCAAAAAAACCCAACCGTGCCTCTCACCGCGACCACTGCTCCCTCTCCCAATTCCGCCGTACGCCCTCGCATCCCTTTCTGCCATATCCCGCCGCCGCACCCTTCACAATGGTAAGTCGCCCTTTCCCATGCTCGCACCCTCCTTCCCCCAGGTCGCGCCCTCCTACTCCGAGTTAAGGGTCCTGGCTACTGGCCTGGACTCCGCTCCACCACCACAACACCACAACACCACAACAACGCCCTCCTCACCACCCGCACAACATCCTATCCTCTACACACACACCGCACTCTCCACGCTTTCTCCCCTCGAACCGAAAAACAACACGCGCAATGGCTACCATGGCCGGCATGTACCCGCCCACCAGCTCACAACCCCCCGCGCAGGCCTCGACCAACTACCGCGAAGCCTTCCAGCTGTACGACAAGCGCGGCAAGGGCCGCGTCGTGCGCGAAAACCTCGGCAACCTGCTGCGCGCGTGCGGGCAGAACCCGACGCTCGCCGAGATCGCGGACCTGGAGCGGAACGTCGGGACGGATTGTGAGTAGTTCTCAATGTTGGTGCGATGATGGAGTTGGGTAGGCTAATGCTGTGCGGTTGGCAGTCGACTTCGAGACCTTCTCCAAGATCTTGAACCGCCCCGGCGGCTTCCGCGAGCCGATGGATATCGACGACTACACGAAAGCCTTCCGGCTGTTTGACAAGGAGAACACGGGCTTTATTGGCCGCGGGCAGGTCAAGTACGGTATGTGTGCAACTCTCCGCCAAAAAAAAAAAAAAAAAACCGGGCGCGCGAGTTTAGCGGATTGGCAAGGAAAAAATTAACTGACGGCCTTCGCAGTCCTGATGAATATGGGCGAGAAGATGAGCGAGTCTGAAGTCGAGGATCTGTTTCGGGCTGCGGACGTCCACAATGACGAAGTCAACTATAATGGTGCGGCTTGAATATCCCCCCCCTACTCTCGCCCCGTTTTCTGATTCATAGCTAACGAGCCGCCGCGTGTGGCTAGATCTCGTCACGACGATTTGGAATAACTAGACCCCCTTTCTCTCTCCTCCCTACTACTCATTCTCCTACCAAAACGACAGACGAGAGTTACGGCCTGGTTGGATTACACGGGAGGCGAGACAGGGTGCTTGGGAACTGGTCTTGGCGTTGAGCCGCGCGGCTCGGTTTGGTTGATATTATGCATCGGAGGGGAGCACTGGAGGGTAGAACCTGGCCTTTCACCTTGTTTGATTTGCTGTTGCTAGCCAGACACAATTTTTCCGGCGTGGAAATTGCGAGGTTAGCAGTGGGTAGGGTGGTGTACATTAGTACAGTACAGAAGCGTATGAAAACCTTTGATCCCTTTTGAGAAATCGCTTTTGGCATTGAAAGAGGGTATTCCGAGACCTGATATTAATAATACAGGAAAGCCATCCTATGCTGGAGTGGTTGGATTCTCGCTCATATCCCAACCCCTTCAAAACCGATGCTGCCGCTCATGTCCTTCCCTCTCGCCATGTCCTCGGTGCTCACCAAACCCCCGGGAAGCAGATACACCGCGTCCTCCCTTCGTCCCTCCTTTCCCCCGTACTGTCCCCAGTCCAGCTGATAGCCGATTGGTAACCTACATCGTCCGCAAAGCTGCAGATACCGCTTCTCGAATCCATCAGTGCGCATAACGATCTGCGTCTTCTTATTCAACACTGTGGAGAGGAGGAGTGCATAGTGCGTGTTTGGTGGCTTGGCGGTGCTGGCGCTAGGCTTGGCGTCGATATCTGAATCTGAGTCGTCGTGGGTCGGAGGTGGAGGTGGAAGAGGAAGGATGTAAGCGCGGTCCATGGAACTTTCGGAACGTCGTGCTAGACTAGGGAGGGAAGTCGTGGTTGCAACAACGAGGTGGGTGCAGAGGCAGTGGTAGATGTGGATTGGGGATGATGATGGGTCTGCTAGTGCTGTGATGGTGGGGGGTTTTGTTGGTGGGGGTGCTGGGCCTGTTAGGGTCGCCATGGTTTTGTTGTTGTATGAATGCTATGTCGAATCGAATAGTAAAAAGTCGTGGTGAAGATTTACACGCTATGGTGATTAGTATGGCTGGCCACGGGCACGTCGATTGAGCCAAATAAGGAATGGCGGCTCTGGAGATGGTGAAGGGAAAAGTTCAGAAAGGATGCTTCTGGGGGTCAGTCCGAGGACGCGGAGGAACCAAAGCGTGACCTTGATGGTTAAAAGGGTCCCAACGATATTTCCTATGACCGTGCCAAGTCTCTCAGAGTGGTCTTGGCTTGATTAGACCTCGTCCCAGCTGGATGCAGCGTCGTCCGAAATCGATTCACTGTCGTCTTGGGTCGATTCAACTACCGTCTGAAGTTGGTAGAGGCGTGTCTGACCCTGAACGAGGGGTGTTCGAGCCTGATTGGGGGTGGTCCGCGCTTGGTGAATTCGTCTCTGAGGTAGGCTCGGAGGCGTTTGCGGCGGTAGGTCTTCTCCTACGATTGAAAAGTTCTTCGCGGGCTTCTGGTGATGCCGGCTCGAAATCTCGGCGAGAGGTTCGACGTGGACTTGGACGGGGAACGTGATAAGTGGGGCCGAAGGTGAAGAAAGCCCTTGGTGGAGCTCGAGGTGATGGAGCGGGAGACTCTCTGGAAATATAGACACCGTCCTGGTACTGAAAGCTGCCGAAGTGGACGATGTGGGAGAAGGCAAAAAAAGCTCTTGGGGGTGGTGGCGGCGGCGGGGTGGATTCCTGTTCTCCGAAGCTGATGAGCCCGAACAACATTTTGCTTAAGCTAAAGCCCTTGGAAGAATGGAGATGGGATGGAGATAAAGTGAAGAGAAGGTGGTACTTACTTGCAGAAGGCGATTTCTGTTGCAATTGGGAGTGGAAGGCAGGTACAATGATGTGTGCGGTAGTAGCTTCCACGGTTCATAGGGCTGAAAAAAGCGGCATCACGATCTCGAGTCAAGCTCCATCTCAACCTTCTCTCCACTCCATCACAATGCCTCCCCTCACAACGAAGTCAATTCACTTTGGCTCTTTCTTAGTGACCTCTCAGGTACGCTTTGTAGTCGAATATCTCATCTTCGGCAACTGATTTACCTCAGGTGTTCCATCTGACGCCCTCCTCCTTCGCGCTGGTAAACCTCAAGCCTCTACTTCCCGGCCATGTACTCGTTTCTCCAATTCGAGTCGTCCCTCGCTTCAACGACCTCACGCCTTCAGAGGTGACAGACCTCTTCCTCACAGTCCAAAGCGTGAGCCGGATGGTTGAGCGAGTCTTCAAAGCATCTGCTATTAATATCGCTATTCAAGATGGAGCAGATGCTGGCCAGAGCGTTCCCCATGTCCACGCCCACATCATACCCCGGAGCTCAGGAGATCTCAATGATAGGGGAGGCCAAGATGCCATATACGGGATGATGGAAGGCGAGGAGGGTGACCTTGGTCGCCAATTGAAGGAACGGGATGCTCAATCAGGAAGAGCCAAGTTTCCAGCCGTCGATGCGGACGAGAGCCGGAAACCTAGAAGCGATGAGGAGATGACTAAGGAAGCAGAGTGGCTAGCTCAAGAGATGGAGAAGGAATAATCGTCTTGAAGGTAACAAGGCATCCTCGACGACGCACCTCCTAGATCACCGACATCCTGTTCATCGAATCGATATCGGCACGTGATCAAGAAAGCGTAGTCATTACTGCTCGCGAGCTCGTACTCGAAGCCGTTTCGCATTGATCTTAGTATATTCACGCAAAGAGTGAGTGTGGTACGGCCTTGCGACGTGGCGCCTTTCAAAGCTCAGATTTATGATATCCAGGTAGTCAAGACTAGCCCTACTTCCACATCGCTACTCAAAGGAACTCAAACAGCATCGTACACCCAGAGGCTGCAACAATGATACTTTCTCATTTATGCCGTCATGTGGTAGGCACAAGTAGAGGGCAGACTATGGCTTCGACAATGGTTGCGTTGTGTGTTACCCTAGAATGCTACTTTATCTTGGATATCCGCGCGATTGTTTATTCCGTCTTTGATTATGCTCGTTGTCAACGCAGTAGATTCATAGCTTAGTAGCACATCTGTTTGAAACCTCCCTTGGGATAACCACATTACAGCATACCCTCCGTCGTTCGAGAGACTAGCCCTAGTCACAACGTATTCGTTATAGCGAATCGAATTTTTCCATTCTCAACTTAGGAAAACCCGCCATTACCTTCAAAAAGACGCGCTGCGTGTCCGGCGACACGATGAGCTTCCTCCTGGACATCGGCGATTTCACATTCAAATCATTCCACACGCCCAAGCACACTTCCACAGGCCAACTCACAACCCGGTCCTCGACGAAATCCTGTGGATTGCACCCAGCTTGCTTCAGTGCCTCGTTCCATGTGTCAAGCAAGTCCCGGCCGATAACGAGATCGGTAGCTGTCCGAAGCTCGCCCTCGTTGCCGTTCCAAAGGACGGCGCAAGGGCAGCGAAGATGGGGATCCTCGCCACTTCCAAGAAGGAGCACAAGCATGCGTAGGATGTGTTGGCGGATAGTATCCCGGAAGCGCGGCTCGTAGCGGAGAACGTTCAACCCTCCGATAAAACGGTGTATAAGGTGCGAGTTTGCTCGGCGGCAGAAACCACCAAAAGCAAAAGATCTGGCGCCAGCTGTGTACGTTTCGCAGCCTCCTGTGCGAATACTTTGGACGATATTCCGGCGCTGTAAAGACCGGACAGGATGCTGTATCTCCGGTCTAAACGGCTAATCAGGTCGCGGTGATTGATAGTGTTGTACACGTATATGCTAAGTAGCATACGAAAGACCTTCTCCGGGCGTTCGAGTGCCAGATCTTCTATCCCGATGGGCCATTTGTCGTGGTAGAGATAGAAGGAATCGATGGGCGCAGACCATGGCCCAACCTCTGACGACTCCCACATCTGAAGGCGCAGATCGGGGTCTTGGTAAGGGCCTTCGACGGCGTTGTTGAGGCAGAGACGGGCGATTTCTTCCAGTACTCTGCGTGCTTCCTTGATCTGTGCGACATTGCTCGGTATCGAGTGTTGGCCACGAACTCCGGCACCGAAAGGCAAAACCTCTTGCTAACGTAGCCGACGCTGCTAATCGTAAATCGCAGACATTGCCTTTGCAGGCTCAGCACCGCATTTGACCAAATACTGAGCTAGTATGAGGACTGACTTGGTAATGAATAATCGATCCAGAGTAAAGACTCCCAGAAAGATGGCATGCTCTATCAGGCCCTTCCCGGATGTATCAACATCCTGCACTGAAGCTTGCCCACACGAAATAAGCTCGATCACCTTGACAAGATGACCGCGCTGGACTGCCTTGATAATTGGTGCATCATCCGGCACCCGGCTCACCGGGCGTAGAGTACCCCATGGTATCCGGACACCGCCGTAGATGCTGTTCCATTTGCACAGCAGCTGGAGGCCGCCAGAGTATATTGACAAGGAGGGGAGGAACCGGAAGGTAGTATGGTATGAGGATCTACGGACATCTCCATTTGGTCGGCGCTCAATATGATTGGTGGTGCTCCAATGGAGAAAGCCGAGTCCGACTGGTATTGCACCACGTCGTGTTGTTATCTGAGAGCAATCGGAAGCAAATAGGGCGACGGAGCTCTCTTTCAGGCTCAGAGAGTGCTTCAAGCTGCCAAGTTCTTCGTCCGAGTGGACTAGGGTGGATAGGGAGTCGGATAGATCTGCGTCAATGTGCTCTAATGCGTCTTCGAATATATCTTCAACTTCAATATGATCAAGAGTTGCCTCGCCCTCAACCTCAGTACTATCCGATCCATCATTACCCGTGGAGCCTGGTGTAACGTTTGCTCCTTCTTCTACTTGATCATTATGACTTTGCATGATGGACGAGTTTGTTTCGATCTGCAACGACGCCGGATCTTCAAATACACTTCCGCTCGAAGAATGCAGAAACATACTAAACTCGTCGAACTTGTCGCGTAGCTCTTGCATGTCTCGCCGGTTCATGGCAAATCGGTCCCTTATCACGCAAATTAGCATTAATTCGATCACCATTGGAAGGGTTAAAAATCCTGGACGAGGTTCATTCTGCTATTTTAACGCGCAACGGAGCATCCTTGATACCGCATACGACGAGGATCGCCCATAGGAAGAGACTCGTAATCGAGAAAATACCTCCCTCGCTTCTTGCGTGTGCTGCGAATGCAAAGTCAACTGCCAAAGTTGATTTGGCTCTTTCAATCATCGCAAGATGTTTCTACAACCTCTTTCTCTCGCATGGCCGTAAAAGATATTCTTCCACTTCTTCCTGACTCTACCATCTCCTTGCCCTCGCTTTTGTGTGTCCACCAACGACTCCAGCGCAGTGATCGCTGCCTTAAATTCGTTGTACGCGGTTTTAGCTTGGTCGCTTTCGCCTGAAGATGAAAGAAGCCTTCGAGATTCGACTTCCCGGAGAGCTTCTTTGAGGACGTCAAGGTATATCTGTAGCTCCGCGTTGGTTCTGGGTGCGTTTTTGATGTCCTTCAGGAAGCTGTAGAGAGAGCTGGTGCCTTTTCCAGCCTGGCTAGCGAAGCCGACGATCGAGACGATTCCAGCAGCGAAAACGAACGCTTCTGCCATGACGATAATCTAATGAGAAGTTTATGGCGAAGGCATATCTTGGTCCAAAATAACAAAGCTAAGGGTGTGCTCGGGCCGCTGGGAAGAGAGGAAGCAAGACAGCTAAGTGCCATTGAGCACCGCCTCAGAGAAGGCGGAGACGGCATGTTGTGCCCTGCTACATAGAAAGGCTGCAGGTTGCCGCCGGTTTGTCTCCCGGAATAGTTTGGAAATAAATCAGAAATTAGTTTGTGAAGGCTGGAAGCCTTTGAAAGAATAGGACGACGTCCACTAAAACTGAGGACTTGCGCGGCTATGTCCCGTTCAAGCAAGTTCCTGGAGAGGCGGGCGGCACAGCAAGGTAACAATAACAATACAACATGCGAACCAATAATATTCTGAGGGCGCAATCATCCCAATAGGCTCACGATGGTTCTGGTAGCACTCTGTGTTTTCTACTTCTATACCACCTGCAACGCCTACGCGCCGTAAATTGCGTTTTCTGCTTACGGGTGGGACCACTTCTCCACAAATGTAGCCACCTTCGACTCGCCCATGGAGAGCTCGTCGTTTTCTGCATTGAAAATACCCGCCTCTACCTTCTCCAGCTTCGCCCCAAGCTCTTTCAACCGCTCGTCGAGGATTTGATCCGTGAAACTGACGCTCTTGTACTTCGTATTCTCGTAGACCGCATCCCGCAGCGCCTGGGCCTCCAAATCCGCCTTTTCCAATACCTCGCCCAAAAGCCGTGACACGGACAAGCCTGCGGTGAAGTAGTTACGATTCAGCTTTTCGATGCGTTCTGCGTCCGCAGTTTTCACTGCGTTGATGATGTCTTCGATGGTTTCACTGCGGCTGGTGGTGATGTTGGTGTGCCGGAGAATATCACGGAGCACCGGAGGAAGTTGAAGGGGCTCTCCAGATCGTAACTTGACAGGTGGCGAGAGGAGAGACTTGAGAGCTACGCTTTGCCGCTTCAGGGACTTGGCCTGCGTGTCGACGGGTGGCGGGGCGATTTGAGAAGAGAAGACGGTGTTGATGCTTTCGACAGCTTCCAGAAACCCGGAGAGATCAAGCGCATGCGAGTTGATGGTTTCAAGGCGGGTGCTCATGAATTGCAGCGTAGAGAGAACCTACGGGTATCAGTATCTCCTATGTGATTGAGTACAGGAAATGGATTTACATATGTCAACCACGCCTTCTGCGCCTGCCGCCTCTGCTCCTCCGCCAACTCCCGAGTCGAAACAATCGGCTTACGCAGCTCATGCTCCACGACCATTTCGGCCAAGGGAGCGATCTCTGTATACAGCGTTTCGAGTTCTTCCTGCAGCCCTGCTTTCTCGGCGCGCAGCTCCTCTTCAGTTTCGTCGGGGAGCTCAGAGTCGGGACAGCTGGCTGCGTTAAGTAAGTAGGTTCCGTCGACTCGCGCTTTGACTTCTGCGGTGCGGAACGAGACGATGGCTTCGCACCAGTGGTCGATGGCCTTGGCGTCGTCAGTTGCTGGGGGGCTGGCGGCGATGTTTGAGGCAATTTTGGGGAGGGCGGTTAGCATCCTGTCGTCGGAGGCGAGACGTTCGGTGGTGTAGGAGATGAGTGAGGCGTGTTCTGCTTTGGTGTCGTGGGTCGCGGTATTTAGATGTGAGGATATGGAGCTAGAGAGTTCCTCAATCTACAAGGACGTCAGAATACGAACGGGCAGATTTTCCTGATACTTGAGCCACATACCGAAATCTCTAGACGTGCCTTCTCTTGATGTTCACGACGACGACGGTCATTTCGCATATGCTCCACGGTCAGATTGGGCCTGTTAAGCGCTTGCAGATCGTGCAGTGCATTTTTCTGAGACTCGAGAACTTTGATATGGTCTTCAATGGCAGCGGTAGATGTCTGCAAGGAGGCGACAGCCGCGGCTAGATCTTCATCTCGATGGGGGAAAAGCTTGGAATTTTCCGTCTCGAGTTTCTGTAGACGACCATTGGATGACAATTGACGATATCTACGAAATGCATGAGAGATTGATCTAAAGGAAATATATTTAAACGTACAGGTCTAGTTCTTCTTGGCTCAAAAGTGTATTTTGATCGAGATATTCATCCACCCAAGACGCAGCTTCGTCTTTGGTTACATCAGACTCGAACGCGAGAAGCACATCGTCCAGGCTGACGGCAAGATCCCGCTCTTCAAGCACGGTGAGCAGGTGGTGGGCCGCGGCTTCGTCTGACATGTTTTGATGTTGGATCGCGATGTTTTGCTCAGGGATGAAGTTAGTGTTGTGGGGATGTGAGATGGGTGTCCGCAGTCCACCGTAGTCTAGGGCGGGCCAGAAACTCGCGATATGCCAACGCGTCAATTCACCACTTTAGCTTCTTTTCCTCCACCTCACGCGTTCACAACTACAGAATGGCTCCAGCAGCAGTTGAAATACTCTCTACACCCACTCAGAAACCAGATACACCCACTGAAGTGCCATCAAAACCTTCCAACATGGCCAAACACGAAGAACACCAATACCTCGACCTCATCCGCAACATCCTCGCCAACGGCGAGCATCGCCCAGACCGGACAGGAACAGGCACATACTCCATCTTCGCGCCCCCCCAGATGCGCTTCTCCCTCTCCAAACCCTCCTCAGATCCGTCCCAGCCCGCAACCTCCATCCTCCCCCTCCTCACCACCAAGCGCGTCTTCCTCCGCGCCGTCCTCGCCGAGCTCCTCTGGTTCGTCGCCGGCTCCACTTCCTCGAAACCCCTCTCCGAACAAGGCGTGAAGATATGGGACGGCAACGGCAGCCGCGAATTCCTCGACAGCGTTGGCCTATCGCACCGCGAGGAAGGCGACCTCGGACCCGTGTACGGCTTCCAATGGCGGCACTTTGGCGCCGCGTACGTCGACGCGACCACCGACTACACGGGCCAGGGCGTCGACCAGCTCGCGGAGGTCATCGACAAGCTCAAGCACAAGCCGTACGACCGGCGCATCATCCTCAGCGCGTGGAACCCCGCCGATCTGGCGAAGATGGCGCTGCCGCCGTGCCATATGTTCGCGCAGTTTTATGTCTCGTACCCCCGGAGCCGGGCTGGGGGGGTGGAGGGGGAAAAGCCGCGGGGGATGCTGAATTGTTTGCTGTATCAGCGCTCGTGCGATATGGGGCTCGGCGTGCCGTTTAATATTGCGTCGTATGCGCTGCTGACGCATATGGTGGCGCATGTGTGCGATCTGACCCCGGGGACGTTCACGCATACGATGGGGGATGCGCATGTGTATCTAGATCACGTGGATGCGTTGAGGGTGCAGCTGGAGCGGGAGCCGAGGGAGTTTCCGGAGTTGCATATTCAGAGGGAGAAGGGGGGAAGTATTGATGGGTGGAGAATGGAGGACTTTGTTGTTAAGGGGTATGATCCGCATAAGATGATTGCTATGAAGATGTCTGTATGATTATGGCGGGAGGGTATGTGGGCGTTGTTGTGTGCTTTTGGATGTATAAAGGTGGAGCGGATACCCGCGAGGGCTACGATAGGTAATGGTTTCAACATATCATGGTTTTGAGACTTTCTATTGAAAGTGCCTCTGCGTGCCTAAGTGTATGTTCTCATGCGGAATTGTAAAAGTGTATTGAATCACCCTTGATAGTGACAGGAGAGTGTACACAGACCCATGATGAGAAACTTTTCTTGCTAGAGTAATTTCAACCCCGGTATTTTATTGTCTTGTACATAGTTACGTTTGAGGTATCTATGAACGTAAGACAGCGAGAAGTCAACAAGTTCTCATCCGTCGAAAAGTTTCCGAATCTTGTCAAGTGTCTCATCCGAAGTTTTATTCCTGGTCAGCGCTCATAGCAATAAGTAGAAAAGAGCGCTTAGCACGTCTCGTCTCACTTCTGCCTAACATGATTTCCAAGGTACCTTCCGTAGTTTAATACTAGAACTCACCGCACTAGTAATCAGTTGCGAAAATCAAAGCCGGTTGCTTTTGTCTTAGCGAGTGAAAGGTAGTTAAGTCTCGGTGATGCATCGAGGATGGACGTCCGCGAGACCGAGCGACGTTGCTTTGAGGCCGCCGAGCCCAATCTCTCCTCACAAGGCCAAATGCTAACGAGTCTACGTTTTCTTTCGCTAAAGAAGCATTTTAAGTTGATGGGAAGCTCTAGCTCTCATGAGCTCTTAGAGCATCAGTCTGTTGACACTGCCCGCAGGGCGCCTTTTGCGTTCTGCGCAGGCTGCGCGACCTAACAAGTCTGCGTTACAATCTTCTTAACTAGAGATATTATTGCTCAAGCCTCACTTCAGATAGGTAAGACAAGGCCGATCTTGATAGTCATGCCTTGCTGGGGCGTTATGCCACTATGTTGCCCGGGCGCACGGGGGGACTGTGTAGCTGCGCCGGCTGCGTTATGCGCGAGTTGCGCAAAAGTCATCGAGGCGGATCTACGCACCCGCCAATCACATCAACCTGGGTACCAAAAGTCACAATCCGGCTTGTGGCTCATATATCAGACTTTTGTCGGAGCCACGTTGCCAAGCATATCTCACCACTATCCCTCAGATATTCACCTCTGTCCCTAAAAAAGGGCAATACTATATCGTTCATCGCAATGGAATTGCCACACCAAAAGTCGAAGCGTAGGCCTCTCGTGTCTTCTATCGCAGAGACATGAAATCTCGACTAGCGCTCTCGTAGCAGGCAAGAATCCGGTAGATGAGAGATGTAAGAGGGCTTCGCTGTGGATCCTCGCGTGACGTTCGATTTGTAAAGAAGCAAAGGACTATGTAAGAATATCGCCCTGTTCATTCTGCTCCCCTTTCTCCCTCCACCCCAAAAAAGAAAAGGTGAAAAGGCGAACGCAAAAGGGGAAAATCAGGAAACCCATATTCAGAGAGGATAGAGCTGACCGCGATGCAGAGTTGCAACTATCAAGGCCAATCCATGATGCCAATAGGAGCTTACCGTCTCAGCCTGCATCGCATTGTTCTCTGCTCCGCTCAGCGATAGACTCCTATGTGACAAGGAGACTTACCATCTACAATATACTGGACTCTTATTCAACACCTTATAGCCGCGGGCTCAATCTACGTTCTATTTCCCACTCCTCAGCCTCCGTCTCGACACGGCGTTGGACCTCAGCCACCTCCTCTGTGAACGCCGTAAAGGAGATCCAATCCCGGAGTCTGCCGTCGTTGCCAATTGTGACTGCTCCAGGGTGGTCTCCTGGGACCATAACGGGAGACGGAACTGGGATAGGAGCCGGAGGTGGGAGAACTACAGTCGGGCCTTGGACTAGAGCAGGGCTTCGAACTGCTGGAGTTTCTAATCGACATCTGTCAGCAGGTATCAGGATGAGGTCATGTTCCGTCACCGAAGTCTCGCACGACACCCAACAGCCCACTTGGATTGCCTCAGACACACTGAGGATGACCAGGTCACTTCCAAGAACGGCGACAAAAAAAGAGCCTTACCTCGTCGGAACCACCCCTTCTCCCATATCCTCAGCCACCACCTCTTCATCATCTTGAAACCAAATATGAATGCAAGAATGCCTAGGACCAATGCGAAGGTGGGGAAGATTATTGCAAGCGTCTGCATGAGAGTCAAGTGCTGAGTCTTCTTCACTGCCAATGGCAGACAATCTAAACGATACTCAGTTGACTACCCCTTTTGGGTGCTTCACCCACTCATGGTCAATAAACACTCACCTGTTAGGTTGGCCATAAGGAATACGATGAATATCACACTCTGCAATGGGTTAACTTGGCTTGCCAGGCGAAGGTCTTGTGCTTGTCTCACTTGGTGAAATGGCTTTCGGATCGCCATCTCTATGGTGCCACACTTTATTAGAACTTTTCCACAGATGCACACGTTCTGAGTCGGAGGCCTTTCTTCCGTCCGATCCTGTCCAAACCTGGTGGATGTGAGGCGGGACGCGAAGGGAGGGGCGAGGGCGTAGGCGTCGCTGGCGGGGATGCAGAGACCCACAGGTGCGCGATCAAAATATTGACGGCTGAGTATGAAGTGTGTCTACTGACAAGTCGCTTTGGTGCGCTGATGGATGTACGAAACGAACGCCGTTGCTGGACGCTGAAGTCGAGGTTAACGCCGAAAATTGCACAACTCGCTGTTGATCGGTGAGCCATCTGCAGCACCGCATCGCCACGCCGTCGCTGGAGCATGAAGGAGTCCTCACTACACTAGTAAGATACTGCGAAGGTCTGCTAGTCGATCTAGATCAATCGATGGCGTTCAAGTTGCCTGTGGGAGGCTGGCGAGTGGGAGCAGGTTGCGATGCGTGTTGGCTCCCGAGGAGCTCACAGCTTGCACCGTACACTAACTAACTCCACCAGTCCTATGCGGCTGTGTCCCAACATGCTCATGTTGAATTACGCCCCGTTTAGACTGACGCTTGGTCGAATTACGGCACTCACCACAGCTGCCTCGTTGGAGCGCAGGTGTCAATGGTATGGAGGACCGACCTGCAGCGCGCTCATCACTTCATTTCCATCTCATCCTCCTCACTCTTCTTTTTTTCTTCTCTCGAGTATCTTCCCGATTCTTGTTTCTTCATGATGCCGCTTTTATCATAGTGAGGCGAAAAGGAGACCGGCATTGGCGAGCATGTCTGCCAGCTTACGGCCAAGTCGTTTCAGCCATGCCTGCCGCCCTTGCGCACGTGCCGAGACGACGAATCATCAGAACCAAGTGGTGCGGGAATCCAGGGCCGCCCCCCGTCCTGCTGCTTGACTGGAGGATGAGGCCTGCACACGCGGCCCGTAGATTTAGCAATACGACGAGCGCCCGAAAAAGAGCGATCCAGACGCCGCTTCTTCACCGCTTGTTACGGAGGTATTGCAAGCTCGGATCCCCATCTCAAAGTTGCAGAAAAGAGCATTTATCTTGCACCGCCACTAGCTACGAGACTGCCGCTTTTAAACGATACTAATATTGCCTCATGGCATGTTTTCGTCGCAAAGATTGACCTGTGTTGTGTCCCAAGCCTTGAACGCACGCCGCGCTTCATTTCTACCGGGAAACGGTTCTTGTGTGTGTGTGTGTGCGCCGATTAAACGCATGATATAAGAAACGGGTGTCGGTAAAGTCATCTTTTGTACCACCTAGATAGCAATATAACTCTTGGTTGCAATTCCTTCACCCACTCGAGATTAGATCATGAGGACTGGACTTTTCCAGTAACAACTCTTGCCAAAACTTGGGATCTTCGGTATAAAATTCGATGAAATCTGAGAGCTCCTTGACGGAAGGGTCCGATCCTACTTCATCGAATTGAGTAGCGCCTGTTTCGTGAACTGGGTTTGCACAAACTGACTCTCCGTGACCAGAGTCTGCGGAGCTAAATGCATAGCCAAAGGTTGACTGGATTTGTGATGATTCTACCCCAGGAGGATAGGATAGCTCGAGATCAAGAGCTTGTGTCGGGTCAGGAAACTGCATGATTGACTCGAAGCCATCATCAGAATTCGAGAAGGTTGTAGGGGGAGGGAAAGGCGACAATGTTCGGTCACCTTCTCGACCCTCTTCAACTGACGGATTGCCATGTGAAGCCTCCGCGGATTTGTCCGGCGTCTCTTGTGTAGATTTCACAGGCGGACGAAACCGTTCGGAAACCTGTTTGTAACAGTTTCGAACAGCACTCTCTATGCGGCTCTGAATATCTTCGTCGACTATATCTTTCAACGCCCTTGAAACGTGCTTTGGTAGCTCACGCAGTAAAGAGGCCTCAAAGGCCTGAAAGGTATCAGTACTAGAGCCGTGTCCCATAATCACATCTTTGTAATCTGCCTGCATTTAGCAAAAGTCGGGTCGAGAGGATGAATGGTCTTACATGGCGAAGGAATCAAGTTTTCTGTGTCTTTTGGAAACACAATTCGATACATGATTCTCCACTTCTCCTCTTCGGCTTCACCGAATGATCTCTTTTTGCTCTTCAGCATTTGGGTTTGTCGGGAGTCTATTCCTTCCATATACGATTCGGGGGGTTGAGATTTCGTCTCGCAAGCTGCCAAACTTCGTGCATGGTCGTGAAGGCCATCATCTGTGGAAAAGGTCTCAAAACAGCGCGGGCACGTAGGCGGTCTTTTATGCACGCGATAGAGGTGCTCTCTGGCTCATAATATTAGCGTATATACAACGTACTTACCCTTACAGCGAGCTGCTGGAATATATATTTGCGAGACAGAGTGTAAATTATGAATACTACTTACTTTATCCTAGCTATGCTACGAAAGCCCGACCCAAAACAGCTTAAAGATCTGCACCGCCATGGATCGCGTGTATAGTAGGGACACGCGAAACGTCGCTGTTCAGATCTTGAAGCAGCGAGTTTGGGCGTTTTGCGTCCACCTGAGGCGTTGTCATCGCTTTCGCTGTCTACAGTGTCCTTTTTCCTCTTGCTGCCGAAGCCGTAGGTTGATGATGCGCTTCCCTCGGTACTACGTATCGCGCTACTCCGATCAGTACTTGATACCGATCGCTTGCTCGTCGACCCGGTCGAGGAGCAATCTGTAGAACCATTCTCGCCGCGGGCACAGAAATCGTGTCCCGTTTTGTTACTCGACCCTGATTGCAGAGCCTCATCTACTGTTTTTGAAGCAGTTCCGCGGGAATGAATATCGTGACTATTGTGTAGGCTGTCGCTTTCTAGTGAAGGCTTGCATTCAACGGTTGGTCCGGGCAGAACGGAGGATTTGTGGCTTTCGACCCGAGAGGACAGGCTGGGCGCTGTGGCAGCGTAAAGAAACGCGACTATCCAGAAGTTAGCTCGGAGCAATCGGCGAGAACGAGTACTATCACTTCTTCTTAGCCTTGACGGAACGTGGACTGGTCTTGCTAATCTGCGCCGACGAGGTCGACACGAAGTCGGCTGGGGACTGCGCGACCCACACTTCGTGGACAAGACGTCTGAAGGCTCGAAGACACTGTTTCCAATGAGGGCAAGAACTGTTGTAGTCATCTTTGCTTGGGAGATGTTTCGTACATTAGGAGGTTGGTGACGAAGGTTAGGCTGTAGAACGGCGTCCGGTGAGCTACTCCAGCCTTGCGCTGGCGATGCGGCCAATCAGGAGGCTCAACAGGATGCGGCCAATCAAGAGGCTCAGTCGGATCGACCAATCAGAAGGTGCAGCTGGATATGGCCAATTAGGATCGGGTGACACTAACTAGCCAACCAGGAGGTTGAATTGGATGTGGCCAATCGGGAGGGTCTACTCCTCCAGGCGTAATTAAGCCAAGCACGAGCCCCAACTCCTGGACAGTGTAGCACGCGTGTGTAGGTACTAACCTGGCACCTATGGTATCCACCCACTGGAAATACAGTCACATTTCAGCATCCTTCTGGACTGTGTTGCTGTGGAGCCGTTGGGGCACTTCAATGCGGCGTCTATGTTGGGAATTGTCAGCTTCGGATACCCCTCTGTCGGTCAGCTTTCTCTGTAGGCTAGTCCGAGTACTCTCACTTGCTCTCAGTGACCGCGTGCACAAATCGACTCGGAAATATACTCGAGTTCTATACGTGTACCGCTGGCTGGCATGCTTCAACACCCTTTCGCAATTCTAGATGTGATGCAAACCTACTTACGTGCTTGATCTACCTAGGTGACTGTTCATATTCAGAAATTTGAAAGCATATTGAGACGCCCTTGACGGTGGCAGGAGATTGTAAACAGACTGGTAGGCTACCGAAAGCTGGGCTACCCCTCACAATGGTGTCGAGCGAGCAAGAGTGGAGCCCAAGCAGTGGTATATCCATGTGTGTGCCCATGCTCATGACCCAGTACAGTGCCTCGTCATAGAGATCCGTACACTCGGTTACCATTGCATGAGGGGCTTCAGAGTGTTTTCAGCATCTCGAAAAAGAGAGAAGTGTGGTATTTTGGACAACTAGCGAGGCCGCCCCAGACAGCGCCAACAAGGTGTACGCAGAGTGGAAGTGTATCTGCTGCCCTCGGGTTCTAATAGTACATACGCTGAGGCCCCTCAGACAGCGGCAGGAAAGCGGACGGATATCTATGGCAAGGCACTGTAGTTCGGAGGTATACGAAGTTTCTCTTCATGGGTCAAGAAGCAGTCCAATTTCTACTGCGCTGGCCTTTTCATCGTGTGCGGAACATTTAAGTCCATTGGGGTGCCCTGGGCGGTGGTGAACGAGTGTGCATGGAGGGAAAGCAAGTTGCTCAGAGCTGGGCCTCAGATTCAGACACATGAGTCCCATTGCTTGGACACTACTCTTGCTTGCTCGACACTACTGAGAGGAATAGCCCCGCTGGTAAGTAACCTGTTAGTCAAGAGGTAGTCTAATTCCCCCTACAACAACCTTTACATCGAGATCAGATCTTTGAAAAACCCATAGAGGTACCCAAAGCAGTAGCAAAACACAATCGCAAACTTTTGATGCTACAAGAATATTAAATTGGTTGAATTGAACCATCGCGGTTCGAGGGTATCAGCCGCGCGCTATGCATCATGAAACTAAAACGACCTAGCCAACGCCTTTTGATGCTTTTGTACACCAAAACCCCCCTAAATATTTACTAGATGTGGAAGTTAGGTTGAAGAAAGATGCGCCCAACGTGTGTCTGGAGACTCCTCGCCTTCATTACTGGGAATTGTTAGTTTTACTCGGCCTACATATCGGATATGCATCGAATCACTGCGTTAAAGTACATACCTACCAGTCGTAAATCCAGCCCGAATTTGTTTCAATAAACTCGGAGCAGGCCTGCTTGAGCGCCAGGTTTGGTCTTAGGTCTTGGACCCGGAGTATTTCGCGAGTGAGTGGGTCTGTCTCGCTGCGCTTGAGGTGCTCGATAATTGTCGCGCGTTCGTAGGACGAGCCGTTTTTAGTGACCACAGCTTTGTGAGGTGTCAGTAAACGTCCCCCGGCCTGATTGTGGGGGCGATGTGCCCTGAATAGACTCACGATCGTGCATGAGCTCAAACGTGATGGGATCGACCAGGTAGTCCGGCACCTCCCTCTTCATCATATGCTCTGGGTCTGAGATGGCGAATGCGGTGCGTAAATCGTCGACTTTCTTGCGATATGTCTCGGTGATGCGCTTGCGCTCGTCCTCGGCTTCGATCTTCCCCATCGTGCCATCCTCGACGGACCCGTCTATGTCCGACAGCTGGTGCTTGCAGTCGACGTCCAGCTTGCCTTCTACCTCAGCGATGAGGTCTCCGCGCCGCGCGATGCGGTCCTTTTCACGATTTTCCCACTTCAGCTTCTTGCATTTGAGGACGAGGGTGGAGATCAGGAAGGCGTTCGAGGTTTGCTTTTCTGAGGTGACGCAGAGCTCGTAAGCGCGGAGGGCGGACGTGTAGGCTTCGTTTGGGTGGTGGATGGCTAGTTGTGCCTGTGCTAGATTCAGAGATCGGATGAGCATCCCGCTTAATATATTCCAGCTTCCAAGTCCCCATAAATAAAGAATCGTGAGGGACATGAACATGCGCGGAGGTCTGGGGAGTGAAGGCCCGACGAACATACCCAGATAGAAGTACGCCTTCATATTCTCTTGCAGCAATTCGATGCTCCTCAGGCAATCATCAATAACGTCCTGCCATCGCTCCAGCTTCATACGGGCATTCGCGCGGTTGGTGTACAGCAGCGGGTTCTTGCTGTTCTTGGTGATGGCCTGCGAGTAGCACGCTTCGGCTTCGGCCCATTCTTGCTTCTTGAAGTGCGCGTTGCCCTTCTCCTTCAGCTGCTCGGCAGCATAGTCGTTGCCCGCCATGTTGTCGACTTGTTGGCGTGCTCGAAGGGAGGTGGTGGTCGTGGTCAGGCACAGACCTGCGGAGGTGTTGCGGAGCGGAGCTGAGGTGGGGTGCGCGTATTGGGTGGTAGAAGCTTCTGGATTCAAGGGGGCTGAGCAATGCTGCTTTGGGGTACAGGACAGGGAGACATCACGTTATTATTGGCGCAGTGAGCTCGAAGAGAATCGAGTGTCATTTGAAAGATATTTAATTCGCTGTATACATATGCCTTGGATTTGATTGCGGAGGTATTTGTGTGACTGACTCGTGTCTAGACAGCATACCTCGAATGCAGGGACTCTTAGGAACACTGCAGCCCTCATATATCGCATTTGTTTACTCGTACGCTTCTCTTTTGCTAATTCTATAATCACGTATGGACAGCCATGGCAAATAAAATAAAAGCGTACAGCTTGAACCCCTACTCCGCACATAGCATATGCCCCCACTTAGAATAGTGGATGGTAGCTCTGGGTACCCTAACCATCCTTCAACCGACTCCAAACGTCAGCTATCAAACCTCCTCTTCATGGCTGTCCTTTTAGTTCATCTTCGTACATCATGCACAGCTGCTGTTCATCTCAAGTCTTGTCCATGAGGCAGAAACCATGCAGCCAAGATGCAGCCACGCAGCCAATCCCATTCCTTTCCTGCAGATTCAGCTCCCCCGAAGCTGAACCTCCTCGAATCTCAGCCTTCTCCAGCCTGCCCAGCAGCTACAATTTCTTTTTGCATGCCTCATGTGCTACATTCTTCCAGCTGAGAGCCGTTAAGATGCCCAGGGTAGCATCCTAGAACCATCTCATATCCGCTTCCGTCGCTACCCCACATGTCGGACCTCGTCCGCGACTCTCGGCTCAAGACCTTCTTTCCGCCAGACCCCCGGCAAGGCGAGGTGCCCATCCTGACAGCACGCGTGTTCGAAGAGTCTGGACAGAACCCTCACGAACGACTTGTCCAGCGGAAAGAGGTATGGAAGCGGGAGCGCTTCATTGCCCGCGGGGCGTATGGGAGTGTGTGGTTAGAGAAGTGTGTGAAGGGCGCCAGAGCCCAAGAAACACGGGCCGTCAAACAGATCATGCGATCACCTCAGCGGGCTTTAGGCTCTAAGAAGGTGCTCGATTATGATACAGAACTCGAGAATTTTGCGAAGTTCTCACATCGGAATGCATGTGCAGTTGAATTTTCGAAACGAGGCTGACGCTGGAAACTGTACTGACTCAGTCGCAGTACAATCGATGTTTCGTTCAATCCTTCGGCTGGTATGAATGGGAGAACGCGCTCCTCATAGCTATGGAGTATCTACCGCTCGGTGACATGCAAGATTATCTTTTGGAATCCTCCCGGCTTTCTGAGCCAGAAGGGCAGCAAGTCACCTCTCAGCTGCTCGAAGGCCTCTTATTTATGCATCGGAATGGTTTCATGCACCGAGATCTGAAGCCAAAGAACATTTTGATCCGATCGAAACCTCCTCAGCCATGGTGGGTAAAGATTGGAGACTTTGGCATCAGTCGACGAGCCGATACCGAGTTCTCTGCCACAACAGCCATCCAAGGGACAATGGGTTTCTTAGCACCGGAACTGCATGGACTCGTTCAACCAAGTAGTGGTCGGGGTCGTCACATCCTTGGAGCTTCCGACATGTGGGCTCTCGGCGAGACAGTGTTCAGGCTACTGACCAGTGCAGCCTCATTTCCTACGTTGAGGGAATTGATATCCTATGCTCGGGAAGAAACGCCTTTTCCCGCCAAACCCCTCCTGGAATGCGGCATTAGCGAGGCCGGTATCTCGTTCGTACGTGAGCTTTTAGTTGTGGACCCCAGGAAGAGAGCGACGGCTGATTCTAGATTGGAACATGAATGGATTTTGTCGCAAGGAGCTTCGATGGAGGTATCCAGACCGCCTTCCCTGTTGTTTTCTGGACTTGCCACGTAAGCATGCTCTTCTTTAGGTTTGCGTCGAGTGCATTCCATTAACCAAACCCAGCGACGATCTGAAGACGGATGAGCCCTCGGAGGGCTCTTCTGCGAGTATTTTCGAAGCATCCGCGGCATGGACAACATTGGAGCCCTCTCCAAAAGCAACCCAAGAAAAGAGCATCACCTTCGAAACTCTGACCGAGGACGGAGGTCAATCGGCACAGGGCTCTAATACAGAGCGCGCGCGTTTTCCCCGCGATTCACTTTCTCAGACGATTGGGGGAACAAAATCGGGACTGGTATCTTCACAAAATGCGAAAGCCAACATATCCGATCCGAAAGACAGAATGAGCCCACGTGCCACTCGTTCAGACCTCTCGCCGGATGCATCTGGCCAGGAACCCCCGATTCGTTCCAACCCAGCGCCTGAATTTCTAAGACTTCCTGATAGACATTGGACTGCTGTAGCTGGCATAGCCTTTAGGGTCCAGCCTACCAGGAAGCGAAAACCTCTTTTCTCCCAACCGGACTCGAATTACGTTTCACAAGAAGGTTCCACTGCTGCCGTTGAGAATCATGTTTCAAATCGGGAAACTCTGAATCAAGCTCAAACAACAATTGCCATAGCGCGCGATGAACGACCTGCATATTTCAACTTTCACTACGACCATCTCGATACAACCAACCTGCACAAATTCCCAGAAGCTGCAACTAGCGCTGGTGGTACAGCCGCTGCTGCTACTGCCGCAAGTGCGCTTCCTGGAAACGATGGTTTCGCAACTGCAAATAGCTATCCAAACTCCAGGTTGAACTTCGTTCCGAAAAGTATAGACTGGGAAGAAATAGGGCGGCGACAACATCAAGCGGACGTTGACCGATTACGGCAGAAATACGGATATTTCCAAGTCATCCAACAATCAAATCCCACTGCTGCTTCCCATATAGGTCCTCCATCGAGAAAGTCTTCAGCTGAATATACTCGAAAGATAGAGCAACAAGAGAAGGAGGCCAAAGAGTAAAGACAGCGTGCTCTCGATGCCTACAACAAGAAGAAGGCCGAGGAGGAGGCTGCAGCGAAGGAGGCCAAAAAGCAAAGACAGCGTATTCTCGATACCTACAACAAGAAGAAGGCCGAGGAGGAGGCTGAAACGAAGGCGGCTCGCGCCCTCGCCATTATGGCCTACAACAAGAAGAAGGCTGAGGAGGAGGCTGAAGCGAAGGCGGCTCGCGTCCTCGCCATTATAGAGTATGAGAGGAAGAAGTCGGATGACGCGGCAAAAGCTAAGAAGCAGAAAGAGGAGCTTATCTTCCAGCTCGAGATGGAGAAGAAGCAGGAAGATAAGGAGAAGGCCGAGTGGGAGGCTTTCCTTCAAAAGCAGAAGGCTAAAGAGGAGGAGGAGAAAGCTATACATTAACAGACGGACGAATTAGCGTCAACGCAATCCACACTCCCTGCCCCAATATTGTACAACCATACATCGAAGGGGGTGAATGGTAAACCCAAGTATGAATCCGGGTACAATCCAGGATTGACCATACCGGGCTCGTTGTGGACCCGCAACGAGGGGAATCTTAGCCTTCCCTCTGCTAGTTTCAGGGTCAAGTCGGTTCTGGATATACTGAATAACCGCCAAATGAGCCAGGCCTGGCCTGCCGTCGTGTCGCCGGACGGACTTTGGGTTCTATCATCCTCTCACCGTCGTAAATCTGTGCAAGAGGGTAGTACAGGCCGCGCCTTATACAGCATGCCCACGTTAGAGGATGAAATGATACCCGTGTTCTCTCCGGACAGCCAGAAGTATATCAGGTCTCGCAAAAACAAATTCTGGTTGCACAATGTCAAATCAGGCAGGGATGAATACCTGGTTACTACTGAACTTGAGCACAAATTTACTTCCTTCGCATTTTCCTCGGATAGCGAGAGCTTTGTGTCAGGCTCAGGAGACGGTACAATTCGACTGTGGTCGTCGAAAACGGGTACACTGTCACGACAAATCTTCCCGTACTATGGGGCTGCAACGGGTTGTTGGAGTGTTGCGTATTCCCCACTTGGACGAACAGTCGCTGGTCTGATATCTAAGCCCTATAAGGGGGGCTTGCCAGTATCTCTGGATTTGTTTGACAGTGTGAGTGGGCAAGAAATTATGACCATAAGTGTAGAATACACTGGTATGCCGAAGTTGGTGTCATTTTCACCGGACGGGAAGCACGTTGCAGTGACGGGATCTAAGATTGTCACGATATTTGACATCAACTCTGGGAAAAGATCATGGGGATTGAGCGAAAATTCTGCTCATGATCCCATGGCGTCTGCGTTTTCTCCTGATGGAAACACATTCGCTGTAGGCAGCTCTACATTGAGAATTTGGGACATGAAGGCGCTCAAGCGTCGGCTGGTTCGTTTTGAGGGCCATGATGGCCTTAATCATTCCTTGAAACGACTGAGAATCAACACCATAACGTTCTCTCCAAGCAGCATGAAGGTCGCCACCACCGCTCGTGGAAGCCGATACGTCAGGGTGTCCGACGTGACTGGAGCAATCGCATCTCAGCGTGGCCCACCTGACAGACAAACGACGTCAGGCGACTGACATTTACAACCAAACACGCGCGGTTTTTGAAGTCCGACGATGCCACGAGCAGCATTTTACATTCGATCAATTGGTAGAGGACAGCACTACTCTTTATTTCTACACTACTGTTGGCTACACTTTACTCCTTCTGTTTTCGTATCTAATCATGACTTCGTAGCATTCGTTTCTCTTTCCAACATCACCATTAGCATTCGAGGTCTAGCACTCCCTATACACTTGGAATCACGCCTATCCTTCCCATCGTCGACCCCTGGCACCCATCACAGCCCTCTCCACCTTCATGCTCCCCACAAATTTCAATCGTCTCGCTACTCTTTGACTTCAACGAGTCCGGCTCCGGTGAGTCGGGCGGCGACCATGCTGGGACAGCCTGCGTCACAAAACTGGGCAACTTCGCCTCCCTCCCCTCCTCCGGCCCCTTTGCCCTCAATGCATTCGAGAACGACGGAATGCCCGGGACGCCCAGCCGCGACAGCTCCACCAGCTGATTCAGCACCACAAACTCCAGCTCCAACTTCACCGCATACACAAACGAATGAATGAACAGCTTCAGCTGGAGATACCCCGCGAAATCGATCGCGATAAGTGCAATATCAACGGAAATAATGACGATCTGCACAAACAGCAGCAGGAACATAGCTTGCCGCGTCTTGCCACGCTGCGCAAAGCGGGACTGGAGATACTGGTGTGCGGCGCGGACGTAGAAGAAAGATATCGCGATCTCCTGCAGCGAGAAGATCACAATCTGGACTTTCTCCATATAGGAGTACGGCGCTTTCCACTTCGGAATCAACGAAGCAGCATGATGGCTTCCATGCTTCGCCGCATACTGCGAGCCCGCGATGCCGAGCGACATGGTCATCATAAGAATATGAAGCACGACGCCGTTAAAAATGATGGTGTAGAGGACGGCGCGGCGGACGGAGCGGCTTTCGAGGATGATGTTGAGGCGCGAGTAGAGGACGGTGGAGAAGCCGGTGACCATGGCGACCCAGCCGAGTTGGGCCATGAGGTCGCCGAGGGGCCAGGGGGTGGTGGGGACCAGCAATTGGAGGACGTAGCCGAGTTGGCGGATGGAGAGGCCCCAGGTGGTGATGAGGATGGAGTAGAAGTAGAGGCCGCTGCGTTTCTTGAGGGTGGTGAGGAGGCGGATGGTTAGGGGGACGCTGGACCAGATTGCTACGGCGGCGAAGGCGATGAAGACACTAGAGCAAGGTTAGTTTGAGGAATACGTGAGACTGTTGAATGGGTATTCTCACTTTAGCCACGCTGAGCCGGTCCCGTAGGTGCCGAAAACTAGTTTTGGCATCTTGTCCTGATCAAGATGGTCAAACGCGGTAAAGATGAAGATATTAGAGTATCAGGTTGGCTTTTGTAAAGATTTATTTGACTTGAAGGGAAGAATGAAAGCGATCACTCAATTGAACGATGCTGGATACGTTCAACTTCAAAGACATCAGTCAACTTATATAGAATACAGCTTCTTAAACCTCTCCAAGTCCCCAGGGTCCTCTCATTTCTATAATTAAACCTCGTCCCCATATCACTATTCACAACTCCTCCCTTTCGGACCGACATTCAACCCCAAACTCTCCATTTGTACTGAAGTCGTCAAGGCCAAAATTCGGCCCGTCTACAACTGACCTAAATATAGCCTGGTGTCCCTCTCGGCTGGCGATGACTGAGCATCCCTGCAGCATCCATGCAGCAATCCGCATGGAGCTAACGACCCGATACAGCCTTAGCGTAAGTTTTCGTCCTTACTCATCCCCCCATCCTCTGACAAAAGCCATGTGGACGATCGACGACGTAGAAGCGAAGAAACATTAGTATACATAAGGGCCGCAGAGCTGGCTCTGTTTTTAGGATTGTGGGCATGGAGAGCCACTCGGCATCTCCGTCTGGCCCTCGATTTTGCTGCAGTCATGACTCGATTTGGAGGACGATGGGGTATTCCCGAGCCGCTGGCACTATAAACGAAAGAATCTGGATTAGTTGGTGGGAGATCTGCTATTTCACGTGCGTGTACGGGCGCCCCTCACATAATGTCTTTCTCTTCAAATAGCGTCACGAGACTGGAAAACAATCGTACATACTTCTCTCTAATTCATAACTTTCAATTCATGCCATCGTACTCTGATATCTGTTGACCCATCAGAGGCACCTGACATGCAGCATTGCTGCCAGTCTCACAAGGAGTAACACTCGATATCAAGTCTTAATCTTGACCTTTTTCTCCACCAAGCCCTCCCCATCATCCTCACCTCCGCGTAGCCGCTTCTTGCCCACAACCCCCGCAGCGTCCCCAACCGGTCGGTCTTTCTTCAAGATCGTCCAAACCTCTGCCAAATCCACATACACTGGCTGTCCATTAACCGGCGACAGCGTCCGCATCACAGGCGGATCGAACCGAAACTCTACCCACTCCGGCACGCTTTGTCCCCAGTTCCACCCCAACGCCTCCTTCCAGTACTCCACCACGTGTTTGCGCGCAGCCTCCATAACCTCCTTGGTGGATTCCTGGAAGAATCGATACTTATTTGCCAGCCCGACCGCCGTATGCGAACACTCACCCTCGTGAAAATAACCACAATAGAGGCCGCCGGCGTATTGAGCGCGGCTGCAGGCTTGGGGTAAGACGAACGTCCCCTTCTTAATAGCCCGGACCTGACACCAACGCAGCCGCGGCTCGTCAAGCCACGGACGGATCATGAGGGGTCGGTTGGACCAGTTGACGGGGAACTCGAACGTGGTGATGTGGGGGAGGTGGACGCGGAGAGCGGCTGAAGCGATGGTGTTGTAAACACGGCTCTTGTTTACTGTAACCATGTCGATACCAGTAGGGTCTGTACTCAGTCGGATAGGCTTGCTGAGGCCAAAGAGGGTGTCGGTGGTGAAGGTGTTGCGAGTTCGGAAGGTTTTGGTGGCCTCGGCGTGCAGCTGGCGGCAGATTGTGGTGATTTTGAGGTCGACGTTCTGCCAGATGTTGGTGGTGGTGCGGCTCTTGCCTTGGTACTAGGTGAGTGGATAGGGGTTTTTCTTTGGATTGTACGTCACTATGCAGCAGGCAGGTATTGGCTTCCTCAGAAGGGAGTCTGATCTTTACTACGTTGGCCTTAACATCGTACTTAGAGTTTTCAAAGCCTATAGGGCTACCCTAAGTGGTCGCAAGATGTGACCAAACTTATTTTCTGCTACTGTAATGTATTTCAATGACCAGCTTTCAAGAAGGGGAGCTTTCTTACCGCAAGCTAAACGTACCGAAGGAGAATAGTATGCTCGCATAACGAAAGCTGAGAAGGAAAGATAATCCTGAAATAGCGAATCAATCAATTTGTGTTATGAAGACTTCATTGACCGAAAGGCTCATCGCTGGAGACTTTCTTCGAGATTCAGTGACATATAGCTAGCGGTTAGCTAGAACGGATGTATACAAAGTAGTGTTGAAACAAGAAAGCCGTAGCCTCTCGCATGTGGGGCGTTATTTTATGATATAGGCTCTAGATGAATTTGTTTCAAACAGTTTGTGCCATTCGGTATTGTTTGAGTCTTGCATGCCAACAAGTAGCGTCGCCATTACAACCTATCTCTCATGAACCACTCGCACGTAATCACGTGCAATCCCATTCGAGGACAAGCTCGCCTATCTGTGTTCTCTGTGATTGGTTGACATGGCTTAGTCATGAACCCTCGGGATTGTCGGTGTGTTTTTCCTCCTCGTCTCTCATCAAACATCAACATCTCAAAAGAGCGTGCTATGAATGAAGTACAACGAAGACCGCGGTGGACCGGCGATGTCCAGGCGGTGTACACCCACGACCTGAGGCTGAACATCCTAGCCGGGCTGAGGACTCAACCATTTCGGGACTGGCTCTGCAGAAAAGTAGCGGAGTTATTCGCCGACCTCACCATGTCTACAACGTCGCACCCGAAGGTCGGCGATGTTTAAAAACCTTGGCGAGGGAGATGATTCGATCGGAGTTTTTGCAAAGACTGAGATTTGAGCAGATTTAGGATTGAAGAGGGAGGGTTCCAGAGCACGCCTCGGGCACCGCTCTTGTGAGATTCCTTGTCCCTAGATGCCAAGCTCTTGGCCTTCTGGCGGAGCCTCCGCCAAACCGTATAGCTGACTGCCAAGTACCTCTGGCTTGCAGGCGCATTTTTATTCTTACCGGATTCTACGGTCCTATCGAATGTTCAACGCTCTCGCCGACCCTGTAACGTCACACTGTACTCTGTTGTATCTACCGCTTCTGCGTCGCCTGAAGTCGAAGGAAATTCCAAGCCCCTTTGGCCCTTGGAACCATGAGCTATATAACATTGGAAGCAATGTACTCGTTTGATTCATCCAGCTTCAATTTCAACATCTTCTTGCATTTCATTCAAGTACTCTCTATTTTCTTCTCAATCTCTCAAAGTTTGCCTTCCAATTCTTTCAGCCGTGTCCAAAATGCGTCTCTCATCTTTTGCTTCCCTTCTCCTCGCCAGCACCTCCCTAGTCACTGCCCGTGTCCTCCCCCGCGATGATGATAACCGCGATGAAGTGGTCTACCTTCTCAATTGCAAAAACTACTTCGGAAACTCAGTATTCAACTCGGGCTCCAAAGATGCACTTTGGCTCCTCCCCAACTTCGAAACCTCCCGCAATGCTGGACAACATCCGATCGAGGCCTATCCCTCCGACCATGGCTTAGGAAAAGACTACGGCGACATGGACTACACCGTTGGTACCGAAGCGCAGCCCATCACCGGTACCCTGGACGGCCGCCTCTTCCAGGTCTGGGGCCTGGCCGAAAAAGGCGACCCCAACACCTCCCTTACCGGCGAGGCCAAGCTGGGAGGACACGACATGGCCTGCTATCAGGCGCCGACTGTCTTCACCCAGACCATCTCGAAGGACCGCCACTACAAGTGCGTCGCCCGGTACTGGTGTACGCGCCGAGATCGCACGATCCGCCGCACCTCGTTCGGCATCTCCAACACAACCGCTGACGTGATTCTGACGAGCGGGTCGCCCGGCGACGCCACCAGCGCGGTCATTCTAGCGAACGTCAAGGAGGCGCTGCGGAACCTGCAGGTGGCGTACGACGGCGACCTCTCCGACGACGCGGCCGTGTTCACGATCAAAGACACCGAGTCCGCCATCTCCTTCGCGATCGACTTCGACGAGAAGGCGGGCGACCTCAACTTCGACCCGAACCGGCTCAAGGACATGGCGGACCAGCTGGTGGACAAGCTCGCCCCGGCGATTGCAAACGCCGCGAAGTTGGTCAAATGCTCACAGGGCTGGGGCGCCCAGTATGCGAGCTGCACGTACAAGCTTGTGTTTCCGGAGCAGATCAAGATTGAGTCGCAGATTACACTGCAGGCGAATCAGAACTGGATCACGCAGGACAAGGTGAAGATAATAGTGGGGAAGAAGGCGGGGGGGAAGGATGAGTGTAAGACAGATGGGGCGGTGGCGTCGGTTTTCGCGGGAGTCTTTGGAGCATTGGGTGCGATCACGACGGGGGGTATGAGTGGGGTGGCGCAGGGGCTGGGTGGAGTCTTCGGTGCGATTCATGCCGCGAAGTGTGGGCTTCCGATCTAGAGGGAGAAAGGTGCTGAATCTCGGTTGTGATGTTGTGCTGTACATAGGTTCTCCCATCTGTATAGAGGCGGGCCGCGAGGTTGATTTGTTGACATATTTTCAGCATAGCGTTATAGAGTGTATTACTAGATCATTCTCCTTATTCTGCTGTGCACATACGTCCGGCCAATAGAAAGAGTGCGTCCAAATCTTACGGGAGAAACTGAAGGGAGCGTAGGTGCGCCCCTTTCTGGATGAACTTGAACTCTCAGACCAATGCATGAAGCCTGGCGCTCTTAATGCAAATCACAGTGTTTCCCCAAAGCTCTGGGCAAGCCGGTGCGTCACTGCTTGGGGTGGCCTTACGGGTTTTGAAAACCGGTAGCATGATATAAAAGCTGAAAAAAATAGGACTTTGACGGCCTCCTGACCGACCGGCTACTGATAGCTGGAGTAATCCTCCCGGTGGTACCAAACAAGCAAGAGGGAAGCTCCGACAGCATGATGTCCGATTGCCTAGACCGATAATCTAGAATTCTAGGGCTCCGAAAGAGAAGATGCATGGAAGCGGACATGCATCAGCACTAAAAAAAGTGGAATAGATGCGTGCGTTTGCCACTGTTTAGGGGACCTTGAAGGACTTTTTGCAACCCAAACACGCTGTTCAAGTTAACAGGGTGGAGGTCACACTGCTTTTTGACGAACCGGCTGACGGATAGCTGGGCCTCTCCTCATGATGTTCTTGATGCAGCAAGAGTGGAGCCCGAACATCGGTATATCTATACGTCTAATCCCATAGACCATTACCAAAGCCGAATCTAGAGCTACATTGGGAGCGCGCTTGCTCGTGGCCTAGATATACACTCAATCATCGTCTGTGCGAGATGCGATATAAGCAGAAGGAAGACCAGCAGAATAGACGTTCTGTATTTCCATATGGCAGGTACATAGAGCCGAACGTGGTGGGTGAGTTTGTGAACGAGCTCTTGGTGACTTCCTGAGAATCTGCCGCTAGCGTCTTTGCTACCTGCCATCGTGTCCTCTTGATGGGTCTTGTTTCGCGAGACGCTATCAATTAGCTTATTAAAAGCTTCAAGAAGCTCATCTGTCACTCCAGCTCTTGATTCAAGTATTTGGCGCGCAGTCTTCCCCTTTTTATTCCTTGCGTCCAGATCAAGCCCTTTCAACACGGCTGAAGCGAGCAGATTAGCCACTCTTGCATCACCAGATGCTGCTACGTTGTGAAGGATTGTGAAATTATATTTGTCGACGAAAGTGTAGTTCGCATTTCTCGAAAGCAGCAGGTCGATACAGAGTACTGCGCCGCGTATAATAGCTTCAGTGAGTGCCGTGTCTCCTTCCCAATCCCTGTGGTCAATATCTGCGCCTTTTGATAGGAGGAAGTCCGTGATTTCTAACTGGTTGTGCTTCGCTGCGTGGGCTAGCGGTCCGGAACGACAGATATTGGAGAAATCGTTTACATCCGCACCCTCGGAAACCAATAACTCGACGACAGGGACGCTAGCGAATGCTGATGCGAGATAGATTGGTCGTTCATCGCCGGTATTAACGTTCGCGCCCGCTGCTAGGAGAGCTTTTACACAAGCAAGAGAGTCTATCCGACAAGCTTCCATCAATGGAGTAGCGTTGGTGCTCACGTTCCTTCGGTTAGGGTCCGCGCCGAAGTCTAAAAGCAGTCGAACAGCATCAGCATTGGCTCCATATGCGGCCCAATGAAGAGGAGTACGTCCCGAACCATCCGTAGCGTTGATCTGGACACGATAGACTTCCTTGGCAAGCTCATCGCGTAAACAAGTAGGGCGCAGTCCTAGTACAACTTTGTGTAAATGCGGAAGATCAATGTCAGCCAGATAATGGCGCCAGGGTAAAAGTTTTTCCAGCTCCTTACCAATCGCTGGGAAAGCACTTTGATTGAGGATCCATTTAGCTGCGGTGGTTGTCGGTGGACGCCCGAAATCGTCTTCCAAGAATATATCCGCTCCTGCAGCTAGAAGTAGTTTTACTATGGCGACGTTACCATAGTGCGCGGCAGAGTGCAAAGCGGAAGCTCCATCACTTGAAAGCACGTCGTGTAATTGCGCTCTCCCCTCCCGTGTTTCAAGTGAGGCCTTTACTCCTAGGTAGTCTCCATTCATGACGAGCCCATACAGCGTCCTGAAGGCGATTGCAGAGTCTCTTGAAATGCGACGCCGGACTATCAGGCCGACGTTTGGAGTCCCGTTGGACATGCTCAAAACCGTCAGAATGGATAAATTGAGAAGCCAAGACGGGAATGAGTATGACAACTCAAGAGAACTGAACTTCGCCCTGAGGCAAGACGCTTCGTGTGTAGAAATATTACCAGTTGGAGTGGAATAGGCGACTGTTACCGATCCAATGATATTGTTGAATCCAGCCAGGTAAAACCGACTATATGAGCGATAGAAATGGCAACTACATTTGCATGAGCTTTTGCAGACCACTCGCCTCGGAGTGGCTAGGCTGATCACGCGGCTTCCAGGTTGAAATGCCTCTAACTCGCGATTTGCAGCATTGAGGTCAAGTGACTCCTCGCAACCCTCGAAAATAGTCGATGTTGATGTCGGAATCGTAGCATTCGAAGTCGGGGTCGCTCTCGGTCGGAGCACGTCCATGACGGCTTCGTGTTGAGTCCGAAGAAGTAGATCTAGCTGTGCTCCACGTAATCTGACAGACTTCAGCACGATATACAGTTCAATCGTTATACTCGGCCGGCGTACGCTGATTGAATGCAAAGTATCAGCATAATGTTCGAGCGAACTCTCCCAAGCTGACTCTGCAGATCGGCCACTTTTGATCTTGCTTGAAGCCACCTCTCCTTGCGAATACGCCGACGGGAATCAAGTGACGTGCCACTAATTGATTGAAGAATACTTTCGAGGCCCATACAGACCGTTCTTGCGATGTCGATTTGGGTAGTAAAGACTTCAATGAAAGGATCGAATTCGGTAACATCCGTCACGGTGTCACAAGCTGTCTGCAGCTGCGAAATAACACGGCGCGAGGTGTGAATCTCTTCCGAAAGATCGAGTATTTGGGTCGGGGCACTGCGCCATGCCTCGATGAGCTTCCAAACCTGCGACGATGTCCTGGTGGCCACATCTAGCAAGCCAACAACGCCTGCGATTCCGGACAGCGGGTCAGCCATGGTCCAAGGCAAGAGGATGAATTGTGTGATAGTTCCCTAATACGAATGAAAGGGTATTGGGGCATGAGTCTCTTATCTTCATCGCTCCGCCCTGTGGTCAAGGGCGAAGGGACAAGGCTGAAGTCTGCCTGCAGAAATACCCCACACGATGTGTTATTTCGCGGGCAATCCCGGCGCAAGGCTGATGTTTGTCTGATTCTGCCTCGCGAGTTGACGACCTATGGAAGGTCGTGTGCCTCCTAGCTTTGGTAAACTTTATCGGCACATCAATTGATGGACTAGAGAACATTTTATCTGTCAAAGAGCCCGCTGTGTAGTTCCGATGGGATGATGGCATGCGGGAGATGGAGCGACGGTATGTGACATGTACTGGATCAGGTAGAAAATGTGGGTAGAGAGAAGGCTGCAAGCGTGACAGGATATATCTGGGCTACGCGTATTCCTAGTCCCGGCCGTCGTCCCATCATCGTCCTCTTGACCGGGTGATTGGGTGCTGCTTAGCGAGACGCTGTCCAATGAGTTGCTGAGGGCTCATCTGTTCCTCTAGCTCTTAACTCTAGTACTTGGAGGTTAGCGCTCGTTCTCCTATTTTCTAGTATGAGCTTGCTCATACTAATAACATCGCGAAACCCCCTGCAAGAAAACTCTTAAGACTCGGCTTCTTATTGGATCAGCCGCTCCACGCTACACGGACTAGTAGAATCGGGCTCCAGGACACTCGACTCATACGGTACCATCTCAGTATGCCCCAGGGAGGGCAGACTGTCGTTTATAGTTCTCTGCGTTCGTTGTTGAAGTAGACTAGGGCCCTTGAGCAAAAGATGTAAGGCTACGGATCAGGGTTTCTAGATCGAAACTTTATATACTCTATGTATAAACATTCTCTAGGCTCGTGTGCACTAGCTTAGCACTGCTTGAGATCCTCTGATACATTATCAAAAATTGTAAATCTACGCTTTTGACAAGCGTGATAGCTTGCCGGGCCACCTCAGACGGTCTTAGGCATTTAACGACCGTTCCCCTGCTCGCTAGATTCCTTTTCGTAGTTATGTCCTGGCTGTCGAGCCCTCGAAGGTGGAGCCCGCTCAGTGTGATAAAGCAACTGGCGAAAGAGCTTGCCAACGCCGGGGGTCCCCTAGGGCGTCAGCTCATAAGAAAAAATCAAGCAAACATGAGCCTTGCGTCGATTCTTCCCACGGATTACAACAAGTCTGCGCATAATTGTTTGTCACTGGTAGAGGTATCCCCATGGGGTCTCACACATCTGGGCTTGATGTCAAGTTTCAAGCAGTGCAAATCACACTGCTCCTTGACTGACTGGCGACTGACCAGCTGGTCTACTGCTCGCAGTGGTATTAAGTGAGCAAGATTGGAGCCAAATAGTGATAGATCCGTGTGCCTAGGCTTATGGTCCAGTGCTATATAGACCATCCTGTGGTTGAGGTAATCTAAAGATGCGAAATTTTTCAAGAACGAAGTAGCAAACTATACGCTTCAAATCAAATAGGGTAGCAATCCGCATATTTCCACCTTGATTTCGTAGTGCAGGGCCACCCAAGCGTTAGTAAGTAGGTAGAAAAAGGCTCCAGAATCCAGCTCTCTAATTTGAGCTCTGTAGGACTTTACATTATGTTTCGATTACCAAAACATCATTAGGGAGTTTAAACGATATCGAGATGTAAGAAAACGGCAATAACAACACTTGAACTGATCTAAGATCTATAGGACTTTACATCATGCTTCGAATGCTAAAACGTCACTGAAGGAAGTCAAACGGCGTCGAGATATCAGAAAACAACAACAATAACACTTGAACTGATCTGAGCTCTATAAGGCTTCACATCATGTTTCGATTGCCAAAACAGTATCGAAGGAGGTCAAACGGCATCCAGGTATGAGAAAACATCAACAACAACACTTGAAATGATCTGAACTCTATAAAACGTTACATCATGTTTCAATTGCTAACACGTCACCGAGGGAAGTCAAACAGCGTCGACATGTTGGAAAACAACAACAGCAACACTTCTCAATTCGACCGCCAGCTTTTGGGCACTACAAATCGGAACCTCATCATCTACAACTACCAGATCAACACCTCATCTAATCCCTAACTGCTCCGTTTCAACGCTGTCTGACTACCCCAATACCTTTCCTGTGCGATCAAAAGCCTAGAACCACCGGTGCAAATTGCGATCCAACATCTCTTCGAACGTCCCGACGGAAGATTTGAAGAGCTCCTGGAAGTCGTCTTCGTGGGCCATTTCAAATACGCGGTTTCTGGCGATGTCATTGTCCGTGCCGAAACAGGTTTGAATGGCTTCGCGAACGATCCGGTCTACTTCAACGCCAAACGCATGTGGCTCAGATATGGCGGCTAGGGCAGTCCACTTGGCAAGCTCATCTCCTAAATTGGCTAGCTGGAAATGCTCACCCTTCATCCTGGTGGTGCAGAATTGCTCCCACGGGGTCAAGGCATGCCGCCAACCGTGCTGGAAACCGGACAAGTCTAAAGCCCATTTCTGTCCGTTATGCAGTTCGATGCGAAATAGGGTGTGTGTGTAGGTCGAGCCGTCACGCATGCCATATTGGGACCATTGGCGAGGTGTCCAGCGTGCATTTGGAACGACGTGGATCTCCTCGATATGCCGAACATATCCTAAAACCTAACGTCAGCTACGTTCAATTCTGATTGTCTTGGATATTTGCATACCTCCGAGAAGCGAGAACAGGGCAGCAGCCATTCCGCAGACCGAGAAGTCACATCTCCAACCGTAAATCACCGCCAGCTTCAATCTCCAGTCCAGGTCAAGAGCAAGCGGTACTCCATATCTCCGCACACCGAGGGGGGCCACATCATGGAGGAAGGTATGCACAAACCCACCGTCTACGAACGCAAATCTGACGTCTACGTTCATCGTCTTCTGGCAGATCATCAGGAACCAGGCGAGGATGACGCTGGAGGCCCGCAGCAGCACACGCATGTCTGGGGTATCTTTCATGGTGTAGAGAATGAGTAAGTGAGCGGTAAAGAATCTTTCGATATGAGCGCTGAGGATTTAGAAAGCTGGCCACGGAGAATATGGCCACAGAGGAACATATATAGCAGAAGAAATAGCACTAATAGTGAAGTTGAGGCACGGTGAACAGTCCCAAATAGGCTAGACATTGTAGACCAAATCCAAAGGACAAACTCGTAACTCTAATCTACACGAATGGTGAAGATTGTTGTGGTCGAGGTCTGGTAAAAATTGCGGGAACAAATAACCTTTACTGTACTCCTCTCTTTGGCTGATTCGCTCGGCATGTGTGGTAATAGTAATTATCGATCCTAAGAAAGACTTACGGCTTGAGACTATAGATTGCTAACTGCGGTTCAACTTGCTTCAAAGAGCTCTTATATGTCAACAGAAGATGCAAAACCCCGAGAATGCCGACTAGAAGACCGGTTATTAAGTGAAAGAAATGCATCATCAGCAACCTATGAGCAAGAGGGAATGTTCCTTGATGTATTTACAGACCATTTTGTTGCTTAATTTGCCAGCATCGCGCCGTTGTTTGAGGTATCTCAAATACATGAACGCTTTGAGATATATTACAGCACGTTATACGTTTCGAACTGAATGCAACGATACTTTCGTTATTTCCCGCTATTTTCCCGTGAACTGAGGTGGCCCGGTCCTAATAGAACTTTTTAGGAACAATGTAGGTCGTGAGCTTCGTGTTGGATAGAGGAGGGTTGCTATTACATTTCTAGCACATTTTCAGCACGTTTTCTGTTGCAGCTTACTAACAGGCTAATATAGACTTGTCTTTCTTTAGGAACCGTCGTCCAATCTACGCTCTTGAGGTTTCGTTTCTTGTCGTGTGAACTCTTTGAACCAGATCAAACAGCGGCAAGCAAGTGGAACCTTGTATCAAAAGGCTTTCCGTAACCTGTTGTCTTTGGATTGCGGGTCATGTTCTTGTCCGTTTCGTGCGCCCCGGTGGAACGCACCCTTTTGCCGCTACGCTTCCAAGGCATTTTGCGGAAGCCAACTAGCCCATAGTGCCGCAAGATGCAGTCTGAATCATCATTCATTCCGGACTTTACACGTTGCTGCCTGCCTGTGCTAGTCTTGTTCTCACGACGAGGTGAGCCATCACCCGCTTAGGATATGTCGGACTCCCGAACAACTTTTCTCCCCTGTCTCATGGCATAGAGTACCCGACAAGGAAGTGGACCGGAACCGTCCCCCCGGTCACTGTCAAGCCACACTCTTTCACCACGTAGCGTTGCATGTGACTTTGGCCGTGGACAGTTCTGGTCGATTTCCCCTTCAAAGTACTCTGAATCCGACCACCAACCCATCACCCTACAATCCTACTCCACGACTCAGATCTACCCACTAGTATCACCACATTAGACCCAAGCCTCCCTACACACTCTGCTACGTCCTAGTCATATCCAACCCCACGATGTCCGAATCCAACACTTCCACCGAGCCACACTCCCCTGCCAGCCAGACAAACCCTCCCCCCGCCCGCTTACACGCCTACAACGTCAACGACGCCATCGACCCCGAGCCGAGCTTGACCGCGCATCAGCCAAACGCCATGGGCCCTGACCGCGCTCTCGCGAAGGACGGCACAGACTCGCCGGAGACCGACATCGCCTCGTCCACCCCATCTACCCTACCCCCGCGCGCTCACCCCTCCACCACCACGCCCGCAGCCCCCACACAAGAAGCCGAAGAAGAGTCCGACCTGAGCGACGTAGACGAGGCGATCTTGTCGGCCGCCCCAGCGCCATCTCGCCGATTCGCCGCGGAGCCATCAGTGCGCAACTGGACGACGAAACAAGCAGCCGCACCAAAGTACACGCCCGCACCAGCATCAGAAGATGAAGAAGAGGAAGAAGATGGCACCCTCTCGGCACATCCAGGCCTATCCCACCCCAACGCCGCCGCCGCCGCCACCACGGGCCAGCGCCAGCCCTCCGCGTCCCTGAAAGCCGCCATTGCGCGGGAAGTTGCCCAGACGGCTGCGGAGGCGAGGGCAGAGTTGGAGGCCCGGCAGAAGAAGAGGAAGGAAGGGAAGGGGGAAGGGAAGGAGAGGGTGGGGTGGGAGCCCCAGCCCTACGATACGACGAGCATGCTCAAGCAGCCGGGCAGCAGATTTGGGCCTTGGGATGGGGAGAGGCCGTACTAGGGTGCGGAGCTCGGGGGTCTTTGGGAGGGGTTTAGATGGAGGGTGGGATTTGGGTGGAGCAGGTGGTGATGGTGCTTTTGGGTTAGAGGGGGGTGGGGAGAGTCGGGGCGTTGGGTAGGGTGGGTAGGAAGGGGAGACGAATGGGTAGATTACCCGGGTAGGCGTTGGATTTGGCTTTGGAATAGAGTCATGAGCAGTAGTGGCATAGCATGCCTTCAGATTGCAGCTGAAGACAATGCTTTTTTTAACTCCATACCGGCGCTTGGCTTCTTTCAGACTTTTTGAATATCCGTGATGAAATGTGGAAACTTGCAGAGCATAGATCAGAAACTCGCTTCATGGGAGCAATTTCCTGCTACTTACCACCGCAGGGTCTCTCAAGTACGTTTGACAGGCTGGGGCGAAATGTAACGTCTTAGAGGAGCGCAAATTGGAAGACTGCTTTCCAGGAGGCACTTTTGGTACTTGCCGCCGCATGGCTTCCTTGAAGCTCGCTCGACAGTTCAGGGCGAGATATGCAGTCCTGGGATCTCGAAAGGTGTGCGATTACCCAGGAGAATGTTATGGGTATCGTGAATTATGGTAGATACGCATGTCTTTTGCCTAGCCCCACCTTCCGATCGAGAAATCTTGCATCGAAAGCTCTTGCGTTACCATTCTCGACAATGTGGTGCGATCTAGAGGAGGCTCATCTCGGTTGTCCCATTCGAAGATTTCGAAGTCTATTTCGGTGAAATCAGCCGCGGGAGGGACATGAAGAACAAGCTCAATGGAAGCCCAATCCGGGTATCTTTGTGGAAGATGTAAGCAAAAGTCCTGTTTGCTCTAGATGCGTCTAGCATACATTGTTGGTCAGCGCAAGACTGATGCGTTGAAAAGCACGCGCAGAATTAGTGATGCCGATGAACAATGGAATAAGTTGACCGGCGTCTTACAATGAGTAGACGTCTAGGTTTCCGTTCCAATGAATCATTAGCTCGATGGAGAGGATGAACTAGACGATGGTTCTGATCTGACCACCTAGAAGTGCTATGCGACTAATATCATTCGATAGACGAAGTTGCGAAGAGGGAAGGTCAGTTCCCACTGTTTGCCCTCTAGAGTAGGGCAGAATCTTACCTTTCATTGATCAAAGAGCTGCTATCCTTATCATAGGCATCCATAGAGACGCCACTAGCCGACGAAAACGCGGTAACTCTGAGAAGGTCTCATAGGCGAGGAATCTGATCATAAGGCACTGTACGATACCTCACACTTCATTCTAGACGTCGAAATCCTCTAAATTCTATGCAGAGTCTCAGCTACTCGATGTCATGTTTCTGGCGATGCAGCGTGTCCCTCAAAGCTTTTCTTTTAAGCTTCCGAATATGACCTTGCCCGTTTTCATGACCGTCGGATGACCTGTGTGCTCCAATACTCCTTGCACGGTGCCCATGAGCGTCAAGCCACCCTCTTGAAAGATCGCCATCAGTGCAGAAGGTCACGTCATCGTGATGCATTTCCTGGAAGTGTAATGAATGTATATGAGAATTTGAAGAAATAACATCTACCATTTTCTTGTCGAGTTAGGGAGAGGAGTCATGAATCAAAACATGGCGCGAAGACAAGAGACGCTGTAGAACTTATATGTAGAACAGGAAGTCGATGGAAATAAACTACGAACGAATTGCATTCTTGGGCCATTATCAATTCTTTTTCGACCATAGATTACGCAGCGCTTTGGAGAGACGAGGTCCCTCCATGAAGACTAAGAGGGCCGTTGACTCAAGGATAATCATTACGACCGTTAGGCCCATCCACCAAGAGTTATAGAGCCGCCTATCATGCGTAAAATCCTTAAGGTTCAGGGCCATTAAAAATATGGAAAAGGACACAGGTATGAAAACGAAGGCTAAGCGGGATAGCCTCATTAACTGCTGCGTATGTTCCATGGCTTTCCAGGACTCGGAGAGGGAGATGCTGTTCTGGAGAATAGTCATGATCTCAGCGCAGCGACGGTCTAGCATTTGTGCTCGATTGATGAGGTATTCAAAGTCATTCTGAAGACGCTCAGCTGCTGCTTTGGCTACCTTCGCTTCATCACCGCGGGCTTTGGGCCATTTCGGGTGAGTTGTGTTTCGAATACTTTGCAAAGTCTGTTTTAGGTTCTGCATGTGCCGAGAAAGAATTCTTTTCGTATATATGACGTTTTGCGAGCTCTGAGTGATGTCGATATCGGGATGCGTATACCGATCGAGCTTGACATCGACGAAGTTCAGGAATTGCATTTCCGAAGACGCAGCGAGCGAAAATATCTCGTTGAGGGCGTAGAAAGCATCGGAAGCCATCACGTTAGGCAGTAACGATCGACCGTATTGTTTGTGAAGCAAAGAAGCGCTTGGTGCTTGCTTCAAGTATATTTTGCCACGGTTTGGCGCACTTGATGACTTGAAGCGGTACCCTAGAGCCATCAGGTACTTGTGCTGGAGAGTGCGCAGTAGATGACCCAATTCAGGGTCCGTAGACCAAAAATCGTCTGTATGTTTACTGAGAGTGTTTCCACTATCAATCCAAACGAGCACTAAAAATGGTTAACATCAATGTCAAGTGTTGCCGCATCACTACAGGAACTTACTGGTGAACCCCTGGCCTGACTCTTGCATACAGATGGATATCCTTTGTTCGATGGCAACATGTGTCTCATCGAAAACATAGAGGTCTCGAATCATGGAATCTCCCTGTTGCATTCTACCGTGCAAACCCCCCAAGATTTGATCATGATGCGCGGCCAATGCCACGGCGCGTGTTTTTCGGATCTCATTAATAGTATTCTGATCCATCCGTATAGGTGTGGCGTTCTTGGCAGCATCCCTTACTCCAATGGTCATGATGGCCAGCTCGATGAGATGCTGTGAAGATGACGGGATCGCAGGGATCGAGAATTTGTGCGAATGTTGACCTGCTGGCCGGAAATCTAGATGGCGACAGAAAAATTCTGGGTCGACCCGATATTTAGCACCCACGTTGGATATCCATTCTGCGGTCTGGTATCCTCGAAATATCAATATACGGCTTGTTGAAATATCCGATGAGGAATTCCTAGTGGAAATTTCTTTTGGACTCCTGATGTGTATTGTTTTCCCAGCATTCGTCAAGTCTGGCGACTTTTTCAACTCATTCCGCTGCCCATCCTGAGTAGGCGCCCCGAGTTCGTGTAATGTCACCCAACTATCCTCAGCGTCATGCCCTCCACCGTCAATTCCGAACTTCGAAAGTTGCTCGCTATTGGGATATGTGCCCAACCCTTCGAGACTCTGGTCTTCACTATTGCGCAGGTGTGAGTACTCATCGAAAACTTTGGCATACTCGTTTGGCGTAACTACACGCATATCTATCAGCATTGAGGCCCATATTATCGAACGAATGTGAAATACAAGAGAACAGGGCTGGACCTACCCGATATTAAAGTACAGGATGATCTGCGACTCGATGTGCTACTCAGACTGGCTGGGGGCAGTTGCGGCCCCGCTTGGCGTCGCTCAGGATCATTCGTCTCGAAACCTGTGGGAAGCTTGTCTAGGAAACCACTATACACTCCAACATCACCTAGGTCTTGGGGTGATATAGCAGCTTCTTGAGACAAAACACCATGCATCAATCGTCTGTCTATATCCTTAATGATGTTGGACATCGGAAGGATATAAGCCATGCGCGAAGAGATACTTCCAGCAACAATGTGTCCGCACACCGTGCCCGTATTGAAATCGGTGACAACGGATCCGCAATCTCCTAGCTTGATTGGACCGTTGATTCTTACTGCGAAGGCTTGTTGATACGTCGCGCTGTTAGGTAATTGGATGAAAGATGGTGTTCCACACAGGATTCCAGTCAGAGGGCCAGAAGAGCCAAGCACAGTCGTGATCGAAACATCCTCTCCTTCGAAATTGGCAACGTTTTCGAGGGACACAACGGGTAACTCCGCGGGTAACGGTTCTCCTAGCACCTCCACCAAAGCATAGTCGAAGTCCGTCGATCTTTGCACGCATTTACCACAAAAAAAGAAACCCGGTGGATTCTCCCGAAGGTCGTCTACGACCGTCCATGGGGAACGAACGGCGTCGCAAGGGTCGGGACTGGTCTCCAGTAAGGATTCGGGGTGCAGAGATGGGCTGGAGATGGTATCTGTGGCTATATCGGACTGTCCCGCAGGCGCGCCGATTGGAGTTTCTTCAACGGGGCCAATCGAACCATTATGCAAGTAAAAAGAAGTACTTTGAAGGGGCCCGGGATTGAAGGAAGAGCCACCGTAGGATCCCTCCGTATTAGATCTCGAAGAACGATAGAAATTGTTGTTTCCTGAAGACTGGCTTGAGCTATCACTCTCAGATGCCTCGTCTGTGCCTGGGTCAACTTCGAGATCACTCTGGTCTGGAGTGATGCTGTATTGGCTCGTGATCTCTGCGTCATCCTCATACGCTTCGTCGTCAGAATCCCCGAACCCGCCAAACTCGCAATCGCCGTCATCAAGCGGGTCCAACTCTTTTGCATCCTCCATGAGCGGACCGTCCTCCACATCGAGAGCATGAGCGGGAATGAAATAGAATGATTTGTTGCGCCACGAGATCATCGCACCAACGGTAACTTTAGAGGAGTTCCCACGATGTCCAGGGCTATTTCGAACTTGAACTCTCATTATACCGGGCGCAGGGACTTCGCATTGAAAAATGTAAGTTCTCGGTCCAGAGATTTTGCGATCGAGGTTCCGATCCATGACAGAATCGAATGTGGATTGTTCGTGAGGCAGAGGAATAGAACCTCCTCCTGAAGCGTGATTTTGTTCTAGATCCGGGGTATTCAAAGACGACAACGCCAGCGGCCGAGGATTGATGATATGAGGGGGATAATCCCAATGTCCAGTCTCTATCCCGGGCGGAAGTTTTTCAAGGACTTCGCTGCTTCGCAAAGCGTCTAAGGCTTGTTTCCTTGGACTGGATTTGGTGCATGAGAACATAATGTGGGGTATCGCGTTCTCCGGAGCGTTGCCGACCATAAAGATATCGAAGACGACGAGTCTGTTGTTAGGAATGGGTCCGCAACAATGATGCAGCAACTCAAGGATTTCCGGTGCGATCGCTTGGAAGCTTTCCCGGGCCAAACCTCGCGCTTCCCAGCAGGAATACTTTCCCTTCTTACCGCAATATGCTCCCACAGAGTCTTGTGGATTTGCCCACTTCAGTTTGGGCTTTCGGAGAAAGGAAAGTCTCCCGCCAACTCGGGGCAAATCCATGACCCCGTAAGACAGTCTGATATGGTTGTTAAGCACGAGGACGAGGTACTCACTCACTTGCGGTCAAGAAGAGACGGCCCTCGAGGCTGGAATGAAAAATTTGTGAGTTGCTATCTACACTACCCCGCACAGCCTCCCCGAATTCTGCCTTGACAAGTGCGATCCTCGGATTGGAGGAATTGGCAAGGCTGAGACGCAGCCATAGAGTCAGAGGGAGCTGCAAGTGCTGGCCGAAGAGGTAGTAAAATCGTGCAGGAAACGAGGCTCCGAGAACGAGCACCTTATAAGAGAGCTCCAGCCTAACACCCATCCCATGTCTTGGGAACTTCAAAAATATTCTCTCGGCTGATGATTTGTTGATAAAATTTCGAAAAGAAGGGGTCTTTTGAGGTCACTCGGAAGAACAGAAAGTCCGAACACCGATGTCTCTTAACGCCTCACTCCTCACCTCCCCAATTCCTCCATCAACCCAGAAACAAATTGCCGGTCATTTTTGGGCATGCTCTCGGACACATTCGCTTCGACCGTACTTCCACTACTATACAGAACAATGCAGAACGGGAAATCAAACCTGTGCTGGCCGCATGGCGACGCAGAAACATCAAGACATAGTCGACCTCGCGGCTGAAATTATCGCGGGCCTGCCACGGCCGATAATCAAGGACAAACTTGCCGCAAGGCACTCAACATCCGGACCCGGTCTATCGGAAGATTCGCTCAATGCCTCGATAGACTTAGTCGTCCGCCTATTGCTCATGCTCGACGTAGGCGACTTTCGCAATGCCTTTTCGGGCCGGAGACGATTGTTGTGGACGGACGGGACCCTCACGGAGTTTGTGCACAGTATATTTCGGCCGGAATCTATCTTGACCAATGAAGGGATTAAGTTAGATGCCCTGTTCACTGCCCGAAATCTCGATCGAATCGCTGGCTTCAAAGTGGAGTTGACGACGAATTTGGCGGACCATCTGTCTTTCAGAGACTCGGACAGCACAGTCATGGTCTTCCATCATGCTTCTTTCCTCAAGCGCCAACAGGGGTAAGTTATCCGCTTCCAGAGTGGGGTCTCGCACCGCTTGAAAGATAGGTTTGACGAAGGCCTCTACAGTAACCCGATATTTCCAGCCGAGCTCATCACCGAAACCCTTCACACACTTAGCGTCCTCTTCCCTCGTGGCGATAGAGACGCAAAAAGGTGGTACAATAAGCAAGAAGATCCAGAAGAACTGGATCTGGGGCTGTTCGAATGCGGCTTACCACACCGACGAATTGAGGGGTATAAATATTGGCACGATCGACTGGTTATATTGAAACAGGCATTTGACGAGTCGCGGCCCGCCACTTTCTCTCAATGGTGGAATGACAGACGCGAGGGTGTTCAATGGTACTCTCTTTGGATTGCTATTGCCTTCACAGTTTTCTTTGGACTTGTGCAAAGTATCAAAGGAGCGTTGCAGGTGTACAACGGTTGGCATCCTACACCAATCTCATGACCTTGGAATATAAACCTATGGCTATTGGTCCACACTACCCTTGTAGAGAAATAGTAATTACCTCAGTAACGTCCTACCCCCTACACCCCCATCCGAGATTATTATGCTAACGAGAATTGGTGAGGATTTTGATGGGGCGAGCCGCTAGCCCCAGTTCCTCTAAGCGTGACCAAATCTGCACGCAAGACCCTTACTAATTCTCGTTAGCAGGTGAATCTCGGATGGGGGTGTACAATAGGACTACCCGTGGCTTTCGCGTAGTGCAAGTTTCTCGTTCCTCGAAATTTGCCCCACTTCCACCTAACTAGTTAGGTGGCCGCCATCTCAGTGCACCGGCCACCTCAACGAATCATGATAATATACATTCACTATTCTACAGCCCTCCTAGGCCCCCTAGGCACTATAATCCCGTGCGCCTTGTTGTATTCACGTACAGCCTTCCGAGCGGCTACATCCTTAGCCAATTGCTACCTCTTAATCTTATTAGATGCCCT